AGAAAAGAGAAAAATAAAAGGGCTGTTTAATTAGTATTGAACCTCTGAGCATTTACCTAAGAGGGTCAGAGTAGTTTAACTTTTTAATTTCGGGGTTTTTATGAATAAGCATGAAAGCAGTTGAGGTAGTTATCACAAATTTTGCTTTCCTTTCCCCAAGCAAGTTTTTGATAAAATGGCCCTTTACTTTTTTTCTTCCCCTCTGTTTTGAGAAAATTGGCCCAAAATAAAAATAATTTGTTTTTTACAAATTTTACCCCACCCTTGTTGAAGTTAATATATTTCCTGCTTAATGTTTTTAATTGAAAGCTTTTTTATATTTTTTTTCCTTGTATAGAGGAAAAAGGGATTTCAATTTTAAACAAACTCTTTAAACCTTTTTAATTTTTGAAAAATTCTTTAAAAACTTTCATCTTTTTAACAAAACTATATAACAAAATATAAACTGCAAATATCTTCTCAGCATTCAAAAAAAAACAACACAAAACAAACAAACAAAAATACCATATTAACTCCTTTGCCACTAGTAATAAAGTCAGGTAAGCTAGCTGAATCTTCAGGCAAACTCAGCCTATAATTCTATATTACTGTTAATGATTACTTTTATAACTTTTTATACATTTTCATCATTAGTTTCACTGTTTAACATTTTCATGTTTATACTAATTTATAGTCAAAAGTTTTTGATGAAAGTATTTGAATTAACAAATTCAATTTTTACAGAAAGGAAGAAATTTCCAAGTCTTATGCATGTTTTGCCTATTTGCCTACTTCAGATATTTTTTTTTTTTTTTTTAGATACTTATTGTCCAAACAGCATAGGGTCTTTTAAAGAACACACCTTGTTTAATACACGCCTACTAAACGGTGGCTCTTTCACATTTTGGTGATCTGTTTAAATGAGAGCCATCGACACTTCCGTTGAAGATTATAATTACATACATTGTCACCAAATTTCAATCTAAAACCCTTAATTTACTCCTTATTAACTAAACAATTTATATCCTAATAAGGTTTTTTGTTGACCCTCTAAGCAACTCAAGCTTGCACGTGCCAAATCGATGTCGTGGGAATTGGCTCACAATGGCAGATATACACGATGGTATAGTGTTAAAAGGACTGACACCAAAATATAGGGTGTCTTTTACGAAAAAGCTTCTGATGAAAGAAGTATGAAATTTCTCAAATTTGCCGCTAAAGCAATCACGTGACGTAACAAACCAGTGATGGTTCACCTTAAATTGAATGCAAATTAAAACTGGTGTATCGATGAACACAAAGAGCCCATGCAAAAAGTTGTCTTTAATGTTGGACAAAAGAAACCTAAATTTTTGGAAATTTGTGTCAAAGAAATACATTTAAAATGATTTTTTTAATTTTTACATATATTTCGGGTTGAAATTAATTTGGGTTCGAATTACCTTGAGTTCGAAAAGTTGTGACGTTTGTAACGTCCTAAATCGTCTCGACCCGATTGTACTCGACACACTTTATGCCCGGCTCGCCACGGCGAGCCGGTATTAGCGGTAAGGATTTTACTGAGAAAGGCAACCCTAAAAACTCCGAATGGCTATCCCCAAAAATTTAATCGAAGCTTGGCTTCCAGCTTTCTACAAATTTATCTATCAGGGCTAGGATCAAAAATTAAAGCCAAGCAATTTGGAATCTTACAATAAGCGTCAAAAAACGGCCTTCAATTTTCCACGCCATTTTAAAAAATTCAGCAAGTATTGTTTTTGAGCGCAAAGATATAATGATGATTAAAATGGTTTGTCTTTAAATGAATCTTTTCAATAAATCATATTTACACTGACTTCTGATTTAGCGATTTACCTGTTTTCTCTGTAGTAACGTTTTTGTTTGATTAATTAACATAAGTTGTACATCTGTTCTTTGCATTTTTTTATTTTTCCTTTTTTCCGGTCATTTTATCCTTTCCGGTAGATTAGTGTATGTATTTACTGGGGCCGGGATCCGGGAACGCCCGGGATCCGGGATCGTAAAGATATGGAGGAAAAACCTAATGAAACTATATTTGTGTTGATTGTTTGTTCGTAATGAAAGGCCATTAAACGTTATTTTTTTTATTGTATTAATGAACGTTAAATTAATTTAACTTATGAATATAAGATTATTTACGAGAGCTATTTATTAACAATAAATCACAATTACTTATACATTATATGCCTAATTAATTGGAAAAAATCAAAGACTATTTTCTTGAATTTGGATCAAATCTCGGGAATCCCCATATGTTTTAAATATTCGATGCCGGGCCAGCTTTTCTGAAAACTATACCTCAACTTTGAACTGGCCAATCCGTGAGATCTATTTACATTTTAATACGATCCCGGCTTTTCATGAAAACTATATTCTTGAACTGGTCAATTCCCGCGGGATCCTTATATGTTTTAATAGGATCCGGCTTATCTGAAAAACATCTTCTTAAAGACTGGTCAATTTCCGGGATCCCTATATTTTTAATAGGATCCCGGCTTTTCTGGCTGAATTGATTGACAACTTGTGTTTACTTTAGGACTTGTGCCTCTCATTCCAATACTAAATAACATACATGTATTACAACTTAATTTTGTATAAAGAGACATCTTTTATGAAATCTACCTATCTAACATTTTGTGGTCAGGTCAACAGGCCATATAGTAAATGTGCATAGACATAGGTTCTTCATTCTATCTGTTTACATGCACCTTCATATTTACTCATACTCATCTTGGTTAAACTGAGAGAACTTTATATGTCACTTTCAGTCAATGAGTTTAAGATTTTGAAATTTACTGGCCCGAATTCCAGTTTTGAATTTATTCTACTAAATAATTAACAAAAATTTTTCTTAAATTTACACTGGCCCTGAACTTATATACACTTGGCCATCGGGCACGCGGGCCAGTGTTGACTTCACTTTTATTTTGATGTTCGCTTGAAGTCTCTTTCAGCTAACAGAACTGTCATTTTTTACATTTTAAACACACCCCTTGAAAAAAAATTACGAAGCGAGTCGCTACTAGCTTTTTTAAAAGCTAACCTTGTCACTTTTATAGTATTGTTAAAAATAAATATGGCCAAAGAAGGAAGGTAATCTATTCAATTTAATAATTTGATTTGGAATTTGAATTGAAAAATGATTTTTGTTGAACTTTTTATTTCTTTGCATTGCCTACTTTGACACAAGGGAACTCTGTCTTTTTTTATTAAATCTATATATATAAATATATATAATATAAACTTTATATATATAGTGGGAAAGGAAAAAAATGACAGAATCTCCTGTGTAATTTGATACTTTTACTTTCGAAAGTAGAGTAGTATTTGGATATTGGCTACCGGTGAAAACCTTTTTCTAAATAATAATATTTTGGATTTGTCAAACTTACCTTTTTGTGATTTTATAAAATAACTACTGAATGAAGTGAAAATACTTATCTTGATTATAATGTTCACTTACTGATGCCATAGGTTGACAAACTCCAGGGACGTAACTGAGCTATTTTGGTATGTACTCCTTAACTAGGGGGGTTCGGGGGCATGCTCCCCCGAGAATTTTTTTTGAAAGAGGAAGCGATATCCTGGCATTTTGTGACTATCTAGAGGCTATATTGACAACATATTGGTAATGATTTCAAACTCTTTTTGTTAATTTTAAAATAGGTAAAATGAACAAGTACGTTACATATACCATAGAACTTTTTTAATATTTATAATCGATTTTTTTGCAGAAAAAATTGTCATTTTGCGACAATAACTGATGTTATAGCAACAAATCTCCCGTATTCAGTAAATTTTAAATAAAATAAAAAACGCTAGAAACGTCGAAAACTAAAGCAAGCGTTTGTTTTAATTGAATTGATGATATGTCATGTTTGGGTACAGAGCCTTGCTTTCTTTTGGAAAGCCGGGTCCGCTGGACGGAATTGTCAAATTCACGTTAGTCCATCACATACGCCACAGCTAACACGGAGACTCTCGATAAAGATGAGTATATTCACACAATGCCCCAATGCTCTCTGAGGAAAGACTGTCATTCTGCACCTTCATAAGTAGCAACTGTTGTAACAATATATTAATTTAAGAACGATAATGGTGTGAAAATTTTGATTAAGTTCAGTGAGTGTTTTGGACTGTTAAATATATTACATAACATTACAATACATTTTGTATATATAAAAAAAAACGCGTTATATTACACGCAAAGATATTTCAAAATCTCCTTTCAGAAATGTCAGTAAATTAATTAAAAATTGTTGCATATAACACAGATTATGTGGATCATGTGAATACATTAAAGGACTCATTTAAGACCTTTTGTGATAAAGTAAATTCATAAGCAGATATATGCATGTACGACTTTAATAATGATGTAACTTGCGTGATGACTCATCGCAATGTTTTGCAGACCATAGAGAATGATAAATTTAATCTCAACAACTAATTTTAGAATATTACTATTCTTTTAAATACATTGTAAATGCATAAAATTGAGAAGGAATTGTACATTCTTTGTCTTTTTCTTCCCTTTTTGGCACGGCAAAGTAATTCTCTCAATCAATTGATTAATATGCCATTGAGAAATTACACCAATTTGTTACTTGTTTTCTGATTAAAAGATGAGATTAAAAATCAAACATTCAAGGCTACGTTGGCAGAACTCAGCCCCCCTTCACAATCCAGCCACACCAGCAGGGCACCCAGAAGGCACCAAACCAAAGCAGAAGAGGACACAAAAGGGCCGATACGGGAATAGTAAAATGTTTGGTAAAGAATTATTGCGGGCGACCTGCGCGCCGAATAAGAAGCACGTTGCGCAAAAACGGGCCAATAAGCCAATGCTAGGGGGATATCTCGGCCAAGAATAGGTTCTGAACAAGACACCTTAAGCTTTTCATAACTTTCCCCTGTTGAATCTGTACAATATATCGCAATATAGATCATTTAAAAGATACTAATTTATACTGTATATGTTATGAAATATTTATATAATGATTAAGTCGAAAGAGTCAGTAGGCCTGTATGTGCCCCGACCACACTACCCCCTATGTTTTTATCACTTTTTTAGAACTTTTAGCGCATGTGATTTTTTGAATACAGGATTGATTTGTACGCACGGGCGTACAGGAAAACATAGTCAGGTGTCTCTCTTGTAAAAAAGATGGGTTTTATTTCCTTTTGTAACAAGATTAGTTTTTTCTTTGTTATTTTTTCACCATAACTTAAATTGAGATATAATCAAGGAAAATATGGTTTAAAATTATCTGTATGACTTTAATACAAACACAACAGCTTAAATGTTTAGTGTAACAAAAAGTGATCGTATTCACAGCTAAAATGTAGTATCGCAAGATCATTTAGCTTCCTTAGAATATTTCTTAATGCGTATATTGTCAATGTTGTAGACAATAGATATTGTCTTTAACATTTTTGTTCTCAACTCTAGTCCTTCAATTTCCGTTCGAAATATTTAAGTTATTTCATTACGAAGTTAAATGTATGGTGACACAAAGTTGACATGTGTGTATTTTTATTTATCTCGTGACCACGAGTTACTAAGTCGTGGCCACGAGATAGCTATGTCGTGGCCACGAGATACTATGTCTTGGCCACGAGTTACTAAGTCGTGGCCAAGAGATAGCTTAGTCGTGGCCACGAGATACTATGTCGTGTTAATTAGGGAAATTCATATAAATGGTGTAATCTGATTGGTTATTTATCTCGTGGCCACGACTTAGTAACTCATGTCACCTTTGTGCCACCGTACCTCACGCACACAAAAACAGACTCGCCAATTTGTTACATAAAGTCGGCGAAAATAAAAGAATTTGGACATAACGTGTCTTATATATATGGTTATACATTGTTCTCGTTGTATATTTGTCTATGTTTTAAATATGAGTCTACGTATAATAAAGAATATAATTTCACAGTGTCAAAACTATTCTACATCATTTGAAATGAATATAAGTTGAATGGATATTACTAACCTATTCTGATCCAGTTACCCTTCTGGCGTGGGTTCGATCCCCGGGAGATGCTTTGGTAGTTTAATTAGCGCGGAGGAAGGTAGTCTGGTACTGGTGTAAATCTCCAGGAACGATGGTTAGGATACTACCCGCCTATATTACTGAAATACTGTTGAGAAAAGGCGTAAAATGAAACAAACAAACAAACAAACAAACAAAAAACTAACTTATTCGAATAAGGCATCATCCTAAGCATACCTGTCGGATCAATTAGCAGCGACGAATATGTTGATGATCTACGCCCAAATTAATGATTTCATTTAAATTGATTTTTTTTTAAACTTTTTCTTTTTATACGACCGTGCGTATTGGCGTATCGGTAGGTACGCTACTGATAACACACATAATTATTGTGAAATTGAATACTGGAGATGTAACTCTGCATCACATCTGGGAAGTTATCGTATGTCCCAGATCACATAGATAACGATAAATGTTATTTTTTTATTTCTCGTATGTTATGAACACTTTTTTCAACAGCAAGCACATGTTAATTAACCAAGTAGTTATAGAAACAGGAAAGATAATGATGACCTTTTTTTTTAAATAAGGAAAATTTAATGTGACTTGATCACTATTTACCATTATAGTTTTACTATACTTTTTTGTCTACAAAAACTGCCACAAAACATTCTTTTTACTTAAACTACCATATCTGAGGCAGTTAGAATTGTCTTGAACACAGGCCACTGACTTTGGAATTGTTAAAACATCAACAAACAAGAGCACCACTAGGCGGAGCATTATATGCCCAAAAGTGTTTTTTTTTAGTAAGGATGAAGCATTTGTAAGACATGGGAATTAGCTTTTTCATCCTATAAAATTTTACAGATGTAGGTTGATTAATACTTAAGTTATTAAAAATGACCTTAACCTTTGACCTTGTGACCCCAAAATCAATAGGGGTCTTCTACCTTATATGGACAATCATCCTATGAAGTTTGAATAAAGAGGGCCAAATATAACTTATGTAATGCTCCAGAAACTGTTTTCAGTATTAAGGTAATTGTGACCTTGACCTTTGACCTAGTGACCCCAAAATCAATAGGGGCCTTTTGCCCAATGTGGACAATCATCCAATGAAGTTTGAATATTGTGGGCCAAATGGAACTTAAGTTATGCTTCGGAAACTGTTTTCAGTATTAAGGTAATAGTGACCTTGACCTTGGAACATGTGACCCCAAAATCAATAGGGGGCTTCTACCCAATATGGACAATCATCCTATGAAGTTTGAATATTGTGGGCAAAATGGAACTTAAGTTATGCTCCGGAAACTGTTTTCAGTATCAAGGTAATAGTGACCTTTGACCTTGTGACCCCAAAATCAATAGGGGTCTTCTACCTAATATGGACAATCATCCTATGAAGTTTGAACATTGTGGGCCAAATGGAACTTAAGTTATGCTCCGGAAACCAAATTGCTAACGGACAGAAAATTGCTAACGGACGGAAACTGTTTTCAGTTTTAAGGTAATAGTGACCTTGACCTTTGACCTAGTGACCCCAAAATCAATAGGGGTCTTCTACCCAATATGGACAATCATCCTATGAAGTTTGAACATTGTGGGTCAAATGGAACTTAAGTTATGCTACGGAAACTGTTTTCAGTATCAAGGTAATTGTGACCTTGGCCTTTAACCTTGTGACCCAAAAATCAATATGGGTTTTCTGCCCAATATGCACAATCATCCTATGAAGTTTGAACATTGTGGGTCAAATGGAACTTAAGATATGCTCTGGAAACTGTTTTCAGTATCAAGGTAATAGTGACCATGATCTTTGACCCCAAAATCAATAGGGGTCTTCTACCCAATATGGACAATCATCCGATGAAGTTTGAACATTGTGGTCCAAATGGCACTTAAGTTATGCTTCGGAAACCAAATTGCTAATGGACGGAAACTGTTTTCAGTTTTAAGGTAATATTTACCTTGACCTTTGACCTTTTGACCCCAAAATCGATAGGGGTCTTCTACCCAATATGGACAATCATCCTATGAAGTTTGAATATTGTGGGTCAAATGGAACTTAAGTTATGCACCTGAAACTGTTTTCAGTATCAAGGTAATAGTGACTTTGACCTTTTGACCCCAAAATCAATAGGGGTCTTCCACCCAATATGGACAATCATCCTACGAAGTTTGAACATTGTGGGCCAAATAGAACTTAAGTTATGCTCCGGAAACCAAATTGCTAACGGACAGAAAATTGCTAATGGACGGAAACTGTTTTTAGTTTTAAGGTAATAGTGATCTTGACCTTTGACCTAGTGACCCCAAAATCAATAGGGGTCTTCTACCCAATATGGACAATCATCCTATGAAGTTTGAACATTGTGGGTCAAATGGAACTTAAGTTATGCTCCGGAAACTGTTTTCAGTATCAAGGTAATAGTGACCTTGACCTTTAACCTTGTGACCCCAAAATCAATAGGGGTCTTGGGGTCTTCTACCCAATATGGTCAATCATCCTATGGAGTTTAAATATTGTGGGCCAAATGGAACTTAAGTTATGCTCCGGAAACTGTTTTCAGTATTGAGGTAATAGTGACCTTGACTTCTGATCTTTTGACCCCAAAATCAATAGGGGTCTTCTACCCAATATGGACAATCATCCTGTGAAGTTTGAATATTGTGAGCCAAATGGAACTTAAGTTATGCTCCTGAAACCAAATTGCTAACAGACGGACGGACTGTTTTCAGTATCAAGGTAATAGTGACCTTGACCTTTTGACTCCAAAATCAATAGGGGTCTTTCACCCAATATGGACAATCATCCTATGAAGTTTGAACATTGTGGGCCAAATAGAACTTAAGTTATGCTCCGGAAACCAAATTGCTATCTGACGGAAAATTGCTAACGGACGGAAACTGTTTTCAGTTTTAAGGTAATAGTGACCTTGACCTTTGACCTAGTGACCCCAAAATCAATAGGGGTCTTCTACCCAATATGGACAATCATCCTATGAAGTTTGAACATTGTGGGCCAAATAGAATTTAAGTTATGCTCCGGAAACCAAATTGCTAACAGACGGACGGACTGACAGACGGGCGCCAGGGGGTATAACATAATATGTCCTTTCGGGCATATAAAAATAGATCAATCATTTAAAATGTAAAAATAAATGTTTGATGCTGATTTTCAAGCTATTTGTGACTAATAATTGACAGTGTCAACTTAATCTACAATGGTGGGTTAGAAAGTGATGTTTTGTATAGATTTACCTCATTTAGGACCTTAAAGAAGTATCAGTATCAATTTCGATCCATAAGTAATTTTTTCTTTGTGTCTCAAAATCTTTGAACCAGACTTTGTCTTTTGGTGGGTTGAAATAATAATGCAACCCGGTCCAGGATTTCACTAATGGTCTAGAAATTTTATGATTTTTCAGCCCTTAAATTTACTGGCATAGGGTGTGAAATTTGAATCATTAGATTTAAACTAAAACATCCCAGCTTTGGATGAATTGTATTATTGTTTAAATAAATATATGTCATACTGGTAGGTGTGTTTCATATTTGGATTCTTTTTATCTTTAAAAGAATTGAAATTTTAATTCATCAAAATGTTCTATATTATTCATTTTCACAAAGATTTTAGGATGAGGATCTAAATTTGTATTTCTAAATTCCACTGTTGGCATAGATTTAACTTGAAATGGTTTAAGCTGAAGAACTTTTAGAAAAATGTCATAATTATTTTACAAGGGAGGCACTTTTGAAAATTATTAATGTTTAATATTCTAGTTAAGTTCTTTTGTAAAAACAAACAAACATGTTTATTGCCAAAATTCTATATCGAGTAACATTTACAGTACATACTACAATGTAGTAGGAACATTTAAGTTTGGCATAAGAGATGAGTGACCCATTCCTCACAACATTAGCATTATTCTTCCTTGATGCAATCAAACTTACATATAAAAGGGTTTAAAGAATGACAATGACTGTTGGAAACTTATAATAGTCTGGTTTAATGTTCTTAAATAGGCCTTTACTGAGGTACATAAATGAATTAGATTACACTGAATCTGTGATACATTGCTTTTATGCCCTAATGCTGCCCATTTGAAAACCAGATGAATGTTTTTTTAAGCTGTTAAGGCTGCTTTGAGTGTTAATTGAAAGAATATCTGCAATATAACTTTTCTAATCATGCAGATCCTATAGGAGACGATCTAGATCTAAATCAAGAGATAGGAAGCGAAAAAGATCCAGGTCAAAGGAAAGGAGAAGGTCAAGGTCAAAAGTAAGAAGATCAAAGTCACGAGAGAGAAAACGTTCAAGATCTCGTGAAAGGAAAAGGTCAAGATCTAGAGAAAGAAAAAGGTCAAGGTCCAGAGACCGTAAAAGATCTAGGTCAAGAGACAGAAGAAGAAAGGATGAGAAGAGAAGATCAAGGTCAAGAGACAGAAGAAGAAAGGATGAGAAGAGAAGGTCAAGAGACAGAAGAAGAAAGGATGAGAAGAGAAGGTCAAGGTCAAGAGACAGAAGGTGAGTTATTTTTCCTATTTTTAGGTGATACACAATCTATATAAAGGCATTAGCTGTGCAATTACTGACACTGTTTTAAAAGTCATCTTGAACTTTGTTATTAAATTTTATTATTTTCTTTTCACAAATTCAAAAAGCAGTTTACCATCGTGTTTGCTTTAAGTTAAACTTTTCTATTAGTTATATAGAAAATCAAAAACAAAACCATCAAACTTAAAATAAATATCTTTTTCCTGATTAAAACATATAAATAGGACTAAAGGTTTATTAGTAGTTGTTGGTTTTACATCTTACTGCTAGAATGTGTTCTGACCTGTACAGAAAAAAAAACACTTGATATGCAGATTTTTCTTTTAAAAAAAGTTTTCATACTGCTCAGAGTTTGCAGTCGGTGGTTATGAATAACTTAAAATAAGGTTTCATGCATGATTCTGTTTTCCCCTGATAATTTCTCAAGATTATGTATTTGATTAATAAAAGATGTAATTTTCTTTAAAATATAATTTAAATTTATGAATATTTCAGGAAAAGGAGTTCTAAAGATAGATCAAAGAGTAAATCACCATCAAGGTATGGTGAAGGAGCTATTAGAGTCAAAGATGAACCTCTTGATAAGGTTAGTATCTATCTTACTTATAACTTTATCTAACTTTTATAAAAAGAATGTTTCATAAACAAGAAACTTCTGTTATAAAACGTTACATAATATAATTATTCACCTTGTATAAATTTTACATTTTACATTCATTTGCTGTTATTTTCATTATGTAGAACTTGTAAGAGTAAAGGAGCACAACACGGGTCCAAAGGCCTAAAACTATAAATATATTTCTTATATAGGTCACCTGGGGCACTTAAAACTTAAAAACATGCAAAAGATATTAAAGAAATATACTCAGAACTTATTTGAGAATCAACTTTTTGTGTTGTTATATAATAACCCCATTTGAGTCATTTGGTACTTTGACAATATAAGAAATCAATCTGGAAGAACAGAGTGAGTGAATGGTCTTAAATTTTGCAAATGGCTTATTATAATTGGTATTGAGATAAAGTCTGATATTTTGTACATGTACTTATAATGTTCATGTATTTAGGTTAATAAACATAACAAAGTTACTGTTGACAAAAGACATTATGCCAGATATGTGTATTATTTTGTCTTCTTCGTTTTTGGGGGAAGTAATGGCCATGTTATTTTTCCATATACTCAACTGCTAGCAATGAAACATTCGTGTTAACTAATGGTCTTGACTTTTTATCAGGAAGAGGAACAGAAAAGACTTGAAATGGAAATGCAAAAGCGACGGGAAAGAATAGAAAAATGGCGAGCAGAGAAAAACAAGACAAAGGAGCTTTTGCCAATCAATATAGCTCCACCATCCAAGAAATGGAGTCTTGAAGATGAGGAGGAAAATGAGGACGATGAGACAAAAACTGACGATGATAATGAAGTTGATCCACTGGATGCTTATATGCAGGTAAGTTGGACATCTCATACAATTTAAACTGTTGTTAAATTTTACAGAAACACTTACCATGTTAAAAATTTGGCAATGAATTTGCCGGGAGTTGAATTTGGAACAGTAACGCAGTATAACGTTGGTGATAAAATAATGCAAAAGCAGTAAAATGCATTTAACAAAAAATTGTAAAATATCACTTGGATCTTGAATCTTTCTTTAATTTTTAGTACATTTTTGTCCCCCGCCCTTTCGAAGAAAAAAGGGGGATATAGAAATAGGCTCCGTCCATCCGTCTGTCCGTCCGCACTCACAGGAGGGTAATTATGTGGCTAGAGGGACAATAGGTAACTGTTCTTTCTCTTTGATGTCATTCATTCCGTAATGCTTTTATGTGGCTATTTTCTTTTGTGTGGCTAAAAAGAACAATAAAGAAAACAATAGAGTAGCCATATAATTACTGTCCTGTGAGAACGTCCGTCCGTCACACTTTTGTGTCCGGTCCATAACTTTGTCATTTATGAAAGGAATTTGAAATAACTTGGCACAAATGTTTATTATAATAAGATGATGTGTAATGCGCAACAACCAAACCCCTACCTCCAGGGTCAAGGTCGCACTTGCTCATTCAAAGTCAACATTGTCTATTTGAGGGTATATGTCGTGTCCGGTCCATAACTTTCTTATCTATGAAGGGATTTTGTAAATACTTGCCATAATTGTTCACAATAATCAGACGATGTGTCATGCGCAAAAACCAGTCACCTACCTTCAAGGTCAAGGTCACAATTGGAGGTCAAATATTAACATAGTCTGTAACAGTGTATATTTCGTGTCCGGTCCATAACTTTGTCATTTATCAAAGGAATTTGAAATAACTTGACACAAATGTTTGTTATAATAAGACAATGTGTCATGCGCAACAACAAGACCCCTACCTTCAGGGTCAAGGTCGCACTTGCTCATTCAAGGTCAACATTGTCTATTGGATATACGTCGTGTCCGGTCCATAATTTCTTATCTATGAAGGGATTTTGTAAATATTTGCCATAATTGTTCACAATAATCAGAAAATGTGTCATGCGTAAAAACCGGACACAAATGTTTGTTATAATAAGACGATGTGTCATGCGCAACAACCAGACCCCTACCTGCAGGGTCAAGGTCGCACTTGCTCATTCAAGGTCAACAGTATATGTTGTGTCCGGTCCATAACTTTCTTATCTATGAAGGAATTTTGTTAATACTTGCCATAATTGTTCACAATAATCAGAAAATGTGTCATGCGTAAAAACCGGTCACCTACCTCGAAGGTCAAGGTCACACTTGGAGGTCAAATACTTACATAGTCTGTTACAGGGTATATTTTGTGTCCGGTCCATAACTTTTTCATAGATCAAAGGATTTTGAAAATACTTCGCACAAATAGTCACTATAATAAGAGGATGTGTCATGCGCAACACCTGCATCCCTACCTCCAAGGTCAAGGTCACACTTAGAGGTAAAAAATTAACATAGTCTGTTATAGGGTATATTTTGTGTCGGATCTAGAACTTCTTCATAGTTCAAGGGATTTTGAAATAACTTGGCACAAATAGTCACAATAATAAGACGATATATCAAGTACAACACCAGCACCCCTACCTCCAAGGTCAAGGTCACACTTAGAGGTCAAAGGTTAACAGAGTCTGTTATTTGGTACATTTTGTGTCCCGTCCATTACTTCTTCATAGGTTAAGGGATTTTGAAAATACTTGGCACAAATGGTCACAATGATTAGATGATATGTCATGCGTAACATCTGTGTCCCTACCTCCAAGGTCAAATTCACACTTAGAGGTCAAAGATTTACATAGTCTGTTATAGGGTACATTTTGTGTCCAATCTATAACTTCTTCATAGTTCAAGGGATTTTGAAAATACTTGGCACAAATAGTCTCAATTAATAAGACGATATGTCATGCACAACACCTGCTCCCCTACCTCCAAGGTCACACTTAGAGGTCAAAGCTTAACATGATAGATTTTTAAATTCCGTGTTTCATTTTATTTTTTTAACAAATTTATTGTTGCATTTGCAGATCTAGCATTGATCATAATTTTGGACTGAATGTCCTGAGATCCATACCTCAATCTTTTGAAATAGCACAATTTTATGCTTCATATAAAACTTCCCGAGGCTGGGGGTGTTGGTAACTCTGTTACAAATTCTTGTTCTCAATATTGTTTTTCTTGAAATATTTTGGTTCATCTGGAGGCGTGCAGCTGTAAATGAAAAATAAAAGTCATTTTTACACTAATTTCATGATGTAATAAACTGAAGTTTTCTTCATGTTTTTCAAGTCAAAGAGAATAGCTGAGCAGATGGCAGAAAAGATCAATGCTAAGTTAGGCTACACGCCACAGATAGAAGACAAGTAGAGATTTTGATGCTAAAGCATCAAGTCGCCGGATAGAAATATGAATTTTTTATCATAAACATAAGAAAATATCAGTTTAATGGTTCGAAATTAAAGAAAAAGAGGAACAATAAATTGAGTAATGTTTATTCATAATAAAACATCATATTTGAAGCAAACTTGCTTAACAATAATATTGTCAAGAAACTGTTATCTTTATTAAATAAGCAAGTATTGTATGGCAATATTGACCTTATGAGACTTATTTATTTTCGGGACGTCTTTCGTTAGTTTCCGTAACTTATTATGATTAATATTAAAGAATTTACTGTAAGTATAATTATATATCAATTAATATTGCTCGATGGCCTAGTGGTAAGTATGACGAGGTTGTTACCTAGTAGGTGTAAGTTCGAATCTTGGACAAATCCTGTTTGTAGTTTTCATAAATTGATTTTTATTATATCTTTTAACTATATGAAACATGTGTTGATAAATCGTGTGTTTCATTTCTAGCACTTTTTTTATTTCATAATTTTGATGAATTTTTATTGCCATGTGTACGACTTTCAAAACATTGTGATTTGCAGTCATAACACATAATGGTTAAGTTTTACAAAATACAAAAAAAAATCATAAAAGAAACATAAAAAATCCCTTTATCGAACCTATATACAGTCTTCAATTTGAAACTAACTGAAAATCTAACATCTTGTCATCGAGGCTTGTAAGGCAAGTGATTTGCTGGTAATTCTACTTGTAATTCTACTTTATACCCATATGGTTTTCTTCAGAATCCGATAATTACCAACACATAATTACGATCAGAGTGACTATGAAAATATATATGCTTAATTATTGCATAAAACAATGCAATTCTACTGAAAAAAGTAGTGTCTGCATAAAAAACTTTTCTTATGCGCTATCTAAAAATATAATTTAGTTGAAATCAATATTCCCGTCGTTACATACGATATAGTTAACATTTAATAGCCTTTCAGTGCTATACACTATCAACACAAAGATAGATTATTAGTTTTCTCTATGTATCCAATACGATTCCGGCCCCCTACCGTCATACCGTTTGACGGAAATCGACGGAATGTAACGATCAATGATTACTAATTATTCATACAAAATTACTTTGATTTGCACTTTATTAGCTGCCAACCATTCACAAGTTACATGTATGCCTGTCTTATCAGCCATTTGTTACTATTAATAGATTTTATAACAATAACATACAACCGGTAGTCACGTGATTCTTACGAAAGAACAGGGAGAAACTGTTTATAATAAATAAAATAATAGAATAGAATAGGTCTCGTAAGATATAAACAACCAGATAATTTACAAGTGTCATTTCAAATATCATGTATGATTTACAGAAACGCTTGACACTTTGAAAAAAGTAAAAGTATCGAATCCCTTAATTCAATGACTTATCCATAGGGATACATTATTAATTCATTTTATAAAAATTGTAATGTTGCTTTTTAAGATGTTAATATTAGAATTTTTCCTTTCATTGAGCAACGTTAATGTTACATAATAATGTTTGAATTTTTAGATGACTGAAAAACAATTGTGGTCTTTAATTGTTCAGTAATTAATGTGCTTTTATTTTCAGATTTATAGGCCTGCTCCTACCATAGATGAAATATTTAACTGTCACAAATATAGTCGCCGGTTTCTACCGGCGACTAATGATAAGGAATTAGAACAAGATACGTTCAAACGATACGAAGAGGAATTAGAAATAAACGATTTCCCTCAAACTGCTAGATGGAAGGTCACATCAAAGGTAACCATTTTACATGATAATGTAAAAAGACACATCATGCCTTCAAAACTTACATTATAATGTTTAAAGACACATCATGCCTCAATAACTTACATTATAATGTTTAAAGACACATCATTCCTCTGAATTTACATGATAATGTTTAAAGACACATCATGCCTTCAAAACTTACATTATAATGTTTAAAGACACATCATGCCTCAATAACTTACATTATAATGTTTAAAGACACATCATTCCTCTGAATTTACATGATAATGTTTAAAGACACATCATTCCTCTGAATTTACATTATAATGTTTAAAGACACATCATGCCTCTGAAACTTACATTATAATGTTTAAAGACACATCATGCCTCCTAAACTTACATGATAACGTTAAAAAAACACATCATGCCTCTGAAACTTACATGATAATGGTTAAAGACACATCATGCCTCTGAAACTTACATTATAATGTTGAAAGACACATCATGCCTGCAAAACTTACATGATAATGGTTAAAGACACATCATGCCTCTGAATTTACATTATAATGTTTAAAGACACATCATGCCTCTGAAACTTACATTATAATGTTTATTAAAGACACATCATGCCTCCTAAACTTACATGATAATGTTAAAAAAACACATCATGCCTCTGAAACTTACATGATAATGTTTAAAGACACATCATGCCTCTGAAACTTACATTATAATGTTAAAAGACACATCATGCCTCAGAAACAAATAATTTTTTACGTCTTTAGAAAGCAGATGAAAAAATGATTCAGGCAAATAGCCAGTGAGTATTTTTTTGAAAACTTTAAAGTATACCTAGAAATAAAAATGTTTTTGAGAAATAAAGATAAAAACATTTCTGAGTCATAATGGGCATTTAAGATTAATGAAAATTCTCAACAAAAAAAAAATATTTTTTCATTTTTTATAGAGCTATTTCGGAAATTTAGCAGTAAAATATAATACATTATTCAGGGCTTACCATTATAAAATTTCTTTCATCCAAATATACGTTAAGGTCTATGGAATGTTAATATTTATTGAATCTATGCTACATGCCTGACATGTTTGCAAATTTTCATTGACTTTTACCATCTAATAAGAAAATTATGACCAAGTGTATGTTTTCGGCCTTTCCCTTTCTGGATCGTGTAAAATTTGCCAGAGTTGAACTATAGAAATGAGCTTATTTTCAACAGATATTGCAAAAACATTAAAAATTTGGTACCAAAATGTAGTACATTTATTATATTATCAAAATAAAATATCATTTGAGTGACAGTATTTGCAATAAAACTTATGAAAACAAAAATATGTTACCATTGTCACTCGGAAAATGGCCAAATCGTGAAAATGTAGACTTGTACTTCAATTTTTCTAACAATTTTCTATAACCTACTTACAAGGTCCAGCCAATTGAAATACATAGAAATTATCTAACATACCATATGAGAAAAATAAGAAAAGAAAGACATCATTTACCATGTTGTTTGTAAAATATACAGCATTATATTTGACAACCCCATAAACTGATTTTGGCCATTTTTCATTAACAGTACACATTTCTTTATGTAAAATTCAAAATACATTTTGAAAAGTATCAAACATTCTTAAAATGACCTAATTATCATGAAGCTATATTCTAAGCATTCTATAAATATGGTAATGACTGTATATACTGAGTAAATGGAAAAATTGTCAACTTGAAATGGATCTCGACGTATTGTTCTGACTTTAGAAAGAGCACGACCAGTGTACTAAACTGAATTATTCCCAAAGTATCACATCTGGAGCAACACAGAAGGATATCATGTAAAAATGCTATGTCATACACTTATTCCTTGAAAAATACTGTGCAAGGGCAGGGATAACAGTTTCTAATGTCCTTTTAGTACTAGTTACTCGTGGCTGACCGTCACATGTACAGTTCTTCATCACGAAAATGTTCCGAAGACCATCTTCGCCTTGGCGCTTAAAGATGCACCTTAGATGTTGTAGGTTCAAGCCGGATGCAGCAATATTCTTGGCTGTAGTTAACTTACACACACTATTATAAATCAATACTCTAAGTGACGGCAAATTCTTTGCTTTTCCCGACTGCACAACTGGGAATTGTACACAGATTTTGCTGAAAATGTGTGTGGCAGCAGATGAACAGATAATATGTCCAAGTGGTGAATAAGTTTACCAAGAATCGAGACATCTTCTGAAGCATTATGAGCACAGTATGAAGCTCCCAATAGATCCTTTGCAAGGTCTTCCTGTTTGTAAGACTTCCTGTTTGGGTATGCTTTTCTAAATATAGACAGTGAATCCGCGCATCCAGCAACACACTTACACATTCTGTCCCTCAATCCTACATTGTCACATGCCGTCAACAAAACAGGAAAGTCAAATCTTCTGCCATTATGCGCAACCAATACAACATTCTGAAATTTTTCTAACCAATCACAATATGATTTCAAAGCTTCATATATGGAATAAGCCTCTACATTAGTTCCATTGTACTGCATCTTGTGATCCACCATTCTTAGGCCGGTCACTTCTTTTGCCTTGTCATATTTGGGCAATGTAGGTAGAACATACATATTGAAAGCCTTTCCCACTTTTAGGTTCTGTGGCAGCAACCTGGGTAATATGTGGGATCTGGCCATCGTGTACTGAAACAAACAACACAATTATTTATAAATAAATAAACAATTTTGAGCTGTTTTATGTGCTCTTATAATAATCTGAGATCTTATTCTAATTCAGCTTGTTCCGAATAAGGATAAACCATTCCTGATATATTGCATATTTTTTACAATTATATTTTAAGAGACGACTAATCACTCAACCTAGTATCGAAGGACGATAACCTAAAATGAAAGCAACTGTGTTACAGTTTTCACATGATATATATCAACAAATTCGCAATACAGGTCTACTTACTAAGGCCAGTTTTCTCCAGGTCAAAAGCAATGTATGTAGGCTGTCCTGTTGGCAGCACTATAGGTTTGAAGTCACCACGAGGGACTGGATCTGGCAGCTTTTGGATGTCAGCATCATCTGAATGCCCGATCTCTGAAATACAAATATATAGATTAGAATAAAACCTATAAAAGGAAACAAAAGGTAGTTTGCAAACTTTGTTTAAGTAAGGTTTATAGTTACAAGCTCCTATAATGATGTTCGAAGAAGGAAAAGAAGAAGGAAAACACCAGTACCTGCAAGACTGACAGTATTTTGTCAAAATACATGTATATGAGCCGTGTCACGACAGAATCAGCGCAGCTGATCAGGATCCATGCTGTTCGCTATCAGTTTCTCTACTTGTAATAGTGTTGGAAAGCGAACAGCATGGATCCTGATCAGACTGCATGGATGCGCAGGCTGATCTGGATCCATGCTGGTCGCAAACCAATTATGTTGGTTTTGTCGTTACACGGCTCATATGTTTGTTCTGTAAGTAAAAAAAAAACAGCACAAATCACTTTACCTACCTGACTGATAGGACATGCCTTCAAGAGCTTCTTGAGCACCTTGTGTTATTGACCGCTCTTGTTTTAGTTGTAGTCGCCGCCGCTTAGTCGATGGCAGTGCCGATCTTTCCTGGACACGCTTCCTATGCTTCTGGCATTTATCTGCATATCTGAGGCTGTGGACACCAGGGGAAAGACCTGCCTCGGAGTGTACCTGACAGCAGTAATCAGATTATTTAGCACACTTTAAAATGACATATTCAGTCAAACATGGATATTGTAAGAAAAGAATTTTCTTGATCTATATATAAACCCAGGCAAAAATAATTCAGATAAAATGGGAACTATTCATAACTCTTTACTATTGTTGAGGAAAATTGCATTATGATTTTTGTAAAAGTAACACCATTATTCAATAAAGTTTGCTTTTCACACCAACACTTAATACATTCCATCAAGGTGCATAGTGGTATATAAGCAATATTTTTCTTCATTATCACTCAACATTTTCAACAGCAATTGCTTATATCTTTATATAAAAGTCATCTTGTGGATTGTTTGTCTCATAAAACTGACTGGCATACAGGTCCTATCTGCACAAAGCATAACTGAAAATTTAATGACAATCTTTCCAAAGTTCTAGATAATAGAGTATTTACCTTATGATAGTCACCTGTCAACATCTTGTTCCTTGAATAATTGAAGTGCTGAACTGGAACAGCTGAACAAAAACAACAAACTTCAATAAACAATTAACATCAATCAACCGTCAAACAAACATTCCAACATTATTTTGGCAATACATCCAACAAAATACACTTCCATGAAAATTATTCTTTTTTTTCAAAGGCTTCAACAATCTGAAAGAGACTGTTTTCTCTTTCTCAAATATAAATCAATGCTTATTACTTTATGACGAGTGATGGTTGAAGTTTGCCAAAATTATGCATGAAAAATTCACAAATATATGTAATACTGAAACATCTAATAACAAGGAAACAGGGTCTCCAGAACTACTATACCACAAATGAAAGGTTGTTATGACTTTCTTAATTGTTGTTCAAAACTATGTCTGTACTGGTCTAACATTTGTAAATAAAATAACAAGCAAACTAAACAGAACAAACTTAAACAGTAACAAGAGATGTACCTTTGAAATGTAGTGACGCGCTTCATTGATGAATGCTGCTGTGGCCTTCACTCTAAAATCCAAAGATTCTGAATTCCCATAATGAAGGGACTTTGGAGCCCTCATGGTGACCTCTCTGTTGGCGTGCTCACACTGCTGACTTGAACCGAGGTCTGCGAGCTGGGGAGCCTTCATCACAACTGGTTCAAACAGTTTTTCTAGCTGAGATCTAAGGTGGTCGTCCTTCAGCGGTCCTTTATAGGGCAGGCTTCTGTGCGAGTATTTAACGCTGCGGTCACGCTTGTACCCACACCATGGAGGCTGGCACATTGTGTGGTCTGCGAATTGATGAGGTACTAAAGCTTTAAGATTTTCTTCTAGTCCCTTTGGATCACCTTGATTCTTTGCTAGAATATACTTCACACATTTCTGAATGTGTAGGATCACTAACTTACTGAGCTTTGTGCTTTTGTCCGCCTGAAGAGCATATAGCTTCTTTCCAATGTTTTTCACTATATGATTTCTGTCAAATTTCTTTTTCAAGCTAATGTTTGATTTTGATTTCAGACGAGCTATCATGGTGTTATCTCCATCGCCTTCAATCACTTCCACAGGGGTTCCGTCCTTGTGTAGCTCATAAACACCCCGCTCACCCGATACACTTTCCATAAGCCTGACACTTCCTGTGTGATCATGAACACAACGATGATCTCTGAAGGTCTATTCCTTTTCCACCATTTGCAAACTCCGCATGTCCGATGACTAACGACTGCTTTCACTACTTTCTTTCCATACTGTGCCTTGCTCATGAAGAAGGTGTGAGCTGTAAAATTTACATATGAACAACTAATGACATCTGTGTATCATTTTGCTTTCTGTTGGAGAACTTAAACATCTATTTACAAAAAGCAACAAGAAATATTAGAACCCACCATGAAAAAAAAAATCTGGAAACAAAGTGATCCCTTGGAAGCATTAATCACAACAAAATTACATAAGAATTCACATTCCAAGATGGTAGTCTTCTCAAAGCAAACACTTAATCAAAACATTGATCACTTAATCAGTACATTTCGATTGCAAATTGCCTTAACGTTTAAAATTTTGTATGTGTTTAGACACTCTTCACTACTGCTGGTGTTGCGATTAAACTGGTAAGTTAGTTTATAACTTATTACTTACAAGTCAAGCTGTCAAAGCCACGTTTGTGCCAGGCAGTATCTACCGCACAAGACATTCCTGTTCTAGAGTGACAAGGGAACTTCGATGCCAGACACACTCGACTTGATGGTGTTTTCTGTGCCCGAGACAGCATTGGATGTTTTTTTTATGTTTTATAACTTGATAACGTCTCCTGTAATATGCAGAAGAAATATCCACACTTTACAATTAACACCACTAAGTAATTTTTGAAAGACAAAAGCTTTCCTTATTTTATCAGAATGTGGGTCAGAATATTAACGCTTTACATGTTGGGAAAAAAATGTTGTCTGCTAAATGTTGTCTGCCAGGTATATGTATTTTTTGCCATTTTTCTTAACAATTGGTAGAAATAGTGTCTGAATGGCTTGGAACCTGTCCAGATGCTGATTTAATTGGCATCTGCTCTAATTCAAAGCAGTTTGCAAAGGCCTGTGTCTTTTTTAGTAAGGTTCACTTCATGATTTGACAGACAGTTTACAATATTAGCACTCTTTTTTGTACCTTTTAAAAGCAGAGGAGCGTCTCACATCATCAGTTTCATCATTATCCTCATCTATATCAGTCCAATCATCATCCACCTGGTTGTCAGGTTGTAACATCAATCTAGCGAGTAAAGAAAAATAATAAGCAAAATTATGTGAGAACTATATATAAGAATGGAATGAACAGTAAACTTGTAAATAAAATACTCTCAGCTGTAAAAATTTATAAATTATAGATCTGTTATGCTCCTGCTTATGATAATGGATATCTTTATAAATGCTATATGACTGTAAATAGACTTACTTTAGTTTAGGGGAGACATCTGGAAGTGGACATACACCAAGATCTTCGATAAGGCCTTCCATCCTGTCAGCAGCTCTCTTGGACTCAGCCACTTCCCTGAAATATAAATGCTATCTTGACCGAGTGTAAACAAAAACATTATAATGTTATGTGTCAGGGTTCGAAATGCCCGGATTTTTCAAACCCTGTAAGCCTGTTGTGTTGACAATGTCATCTTTATAGTTAATTGATTATGATGGTTTTTATACAATTATCAAATTTAAATGTTTTGTTATGTTCAGTCTAACATCCATTCACAAAAGTATTTTTAAAATGTACAGCCAGACTGTTCATCTAACCATCATTCATGGGAAAATCCAGTTCAATACAAAGAAAACAAGCATTTATATAGCTTGGCATTCCCAGAGCAAATCATCATTCAATATCCACATTTTCATTGACCATGTAAATGAACAATTTAGAAATTGTTGATGCAAGCAATTATCTGAATCTTACTTCATTTCTTGATGGAAGGCATCCTTGGCTGCCTCGCGAGTTGACATGTCGGCCACATGTTCAACAATGTTTCCAGCCCGTCTCTCCATGGTCTTTAGGTTTTTGTTACTAATCGGCTTCAGGTTCAATGCAGCCAGGAAGTTATTTACACGTACGGGCCCACCTAAACTGTCGATCATTGCTAAAAATACCAAACAATAGAAGCAATGAAGCAAAATGTTTGATTGAAATCATTTCTTATTTTATACAAAATGTTATCACAAAAGCCATGGGCAAGAAAAATATGTAGCCAACAAATAATAATGGTTCTTTTAGCCAAATTAATGAAACTTTAACAAATGGCTAAATGAGCCTAAAAGCAATTTCAAGAAAAGAATTATCATAATAATTGCTTTTGTCGTGACGCGGCTCATATCGTTTTATCTGGATGTTATATCAAAAACGCAACCAATTTGAAAACAAGAGCCAGGACCGCGGCAAGAACATTTTTTAATTTCTTTTTTGAATTATAAAGTTTAACAGGAGAGTGTAATTTCTTTAAGCCAAATTAATGTGTTTTTTTTCTTTCAGACAAAATGTTATTATACAAGCTAAACAAGGACAAACTCCAGTTGCCAAATTATGAATTTTTGTAATCAAATTTAATGAAATTTTAATGGCTAATGGCAGAAAGCATGCTGAAATTAATACCTTGTAGATAAAAATATATTACAAAAGTTGTATCTCATATCTCATTGTATGGAAGAAGTGAAATACAGTGTAATGAATTTCGTATGATTTCTACATATACAATGTAATTAGTAAAATACAGAGGAAAACAGTAGATAAAGATTTTATTAACGAAGTTAAAGTTAAGTTACATAGTTTTGATCTTGGTCCAGTATGACCAAGTTGTTCTTAAGCAAAATTTTGTATAAGCTGGGTTTCTTTGTTTGGTTTAATTTTTCATTTCTTTTCCATTCTACATTTTTATAATCATAGAGCTTTGAATCTAGAATGGTATTTTCATTATTTTATTATTATCCCTATTGATAATGTATTTCAGGAGGCCCTTGCTCAGATCTGTGAATATTCTGAGGCTGGTATTACAGTAAGGGGTACATATTTCCCCCCGGGGAAACAACCGAAAGAAGAGGAACGTAAGCTGTACCTGGCTATTGAAGCTACTAGTGAAATGGCTATACAGAAGGCAAAGAAAGAAGTTACAAGACTAATAAAGGAGGAACTATTCCGTCTGGTAATTATATTAATATACTGTTTGATCAGTTTTTAGTTAGACTATTTAAAGAATTGGGAAAGATATTGTACTTAACCAGGCATCAGTGTTGGCATTGACATTGCTTTCACACTTTGGTTCAGTGTTTGCATGTAAGTTGGTTTCTCCAGAACTACTGAAGGGAATGGGCTGAAACTTTACACACTTGTTTCAGACCCAAAATCCGGAGTTCACTATTCAATGCCCATAATTCTAAAATGGATTTGGCAGAATTATGTCTCTTTTTGAATTTTGAAAATTCTACATTATCTAGGATCTTGTCATACTATCAGGCTCTGAGAAAAGTCAAGCATGTTGTTCTATTCATAGCTCTTGTTTACCTCTTAATTTTAAAATCTTTCATTCAATGTTTTATATAAATTATGGTCTCTAGGCCAAAATGCATTTTGGATACAAGGTACAAAAAGGTCATGTCAATATTCATAATCTTGCCAAACTGAATTAGCTTGAAACAAATAAATTTTAAATGTTTTAAGATACTATAAGTTTGCATAAAGGCACATTAATCTTTAGAAATGAATAATTTTACCTCTTTGGAAAAACAAAACAAAATATGTGTTTAACAATGTTTAAGTAAATTAGATGCTTATCACATTATATATTTAGTAAGTGGCTCTGAATGTGAAATAATTTGTCATTAAAGTTGTAAACAAAGTGGTATTTTGACTAACATACAAAGTACTTAATTGCTGTAATTGTACCAGTTGCCAAAAAGCAAAAGATGATTTATCAATAGAGCAAACAAGTTACCTTATGTAAACCTTATGTAAACTGTGACAGGACACCAAAGATAAGAAACTTTCTGGAAATAAAAGTAAAAGCATTTTTACATCTTTATATGCCTTTAAGGATAAAAGATAATGATGATATTTAATAACACAAACACGCCCGTTTAACTCACAACGAGTGAAAAATGTCCATCGGTAAAAATGTTGTGAGCAACTTCCGTTCCTCGTTGTGAGCACCCATCTTTGACGTGTGACACGATAAACAAGGTGACTTTTTCATAATTTTTGAAGATTACAGACATTTATGTAAAAATATCGAAATGCAGTTAGCTAGCGATGTGTTTTCCGAGTATGCACATGTAAAGATATTGCCTGTTGGTGGACAATTTGATGGAAATACCGTGCGACGCAGTCACTCGGGGTAGCAGGAAAACTGGAGACAACTTCTCTTTGGACCTAATTTAACATTGAAAACGTCCATTCTGGTGACGTGTTGTGCATTCTAACCTAAAACAGATGCCCACAAGTCTTCAGCGTAAATTATTGTCTGAAAGTCTTCATAGAAACGAAGATATACCCTTTTTTGCTTTAATCCTCGTTGTGAGCACCATAACCTTGTTGTGAGCAAGACAAGCGCAGTGCGAGTATGGTTTTCATATGTAATTCAGATGGTGAAAATATAATTTTCAATCTACCACATTAATTAAAACGTTTTTGCACAGCAGCATTTCTTTGCAAGACGTTGTGCATACCCTAAAGGGAGGCATATTAGTTTTGAACTGTCCGTCTGTCAGTCCGTCAATCTGTCCGAAAACTTTAACATTGGCCATAACTTCCTTAATAGTAAACGGATTTGATTCATATTTGAACACAACATCCCTTAGCACAAGACCTTCCTACGGACCTGTATTTTTTTACCTTGGCCCCTGAATGGCCTTTACCTTGAAGGTCAAATTGTCCAAAAACATTTAAGATTGGCCATAATGTCCTTGCATAATGTTTAGGCACAACACATCTTCGGACAAGGCCTTTCAGCTATCCTATATTCTTTTGACCTTGACCCCTGAATGACTTTCACCTTGAAGGTCAAATTGTCCAAAAACTTAAAAATTGGTCATAACTTCCTTATTAGCATACGGATTCTACTCATATTTTGAAACAACAACCCTTTAGGCAAGACCTTCAAACTGATCTGTATTTTTTTACCTTGTACCCTAAATGACCTTCTAGAACGTCCAAAAACTTTAACATTGGTCATAACTTCTTTATAAGTGGAATTAATTCATATTTGGACACAATGCTCCTTTGGACAAGACCTTCCAACAGACCTATATTTATTTCACCTTGACCTTGAATGACCTTCACATTGAAGATCTAATTGTCCAAAAACAAATAATCTATCTGGTCCATAAATCAAAGGACAGAGCACCACTTCAGAGGCATTGTCAACTTACCGTGATAGTTCTTGTTCTACTTACCTTGGTCAGTCTTCAGCTCAGGATAAACACATGTATGTGTGTATCACACAGATTGTGAAATTGTTGAAATATTCATAAACTCCCCATGATGTTCACTCGTGCCACACTAGAGTATACGAAATAAAATAGCTGATTTACTTCCACTGATTAGTTCTCCTGTTAATCTGATGACTTGTGAATATGAAGAATAATTTTCAAAAAAGAAGAACTATTGCAAAGAAAAACTATTGTACAAAAACGTTTTGATTGCTTTTGGTAGATTGAAAATTGTATTCTTGCCATTTGAATTACATATTAAAACCAGACAAGCACTGCGCTTGTCTTGCTCACAACGAGGTTATGGTGCTCACAACGAGGATTAAAGCAAAAAGGGTATATCTTCGTTTCTATGAAGACTTTCAGATAATAATTTACGCTGAAGACTTGTGGGCATCTGTTTTAGGTTAGAATGCACAAAACGTCACCAGAATCGACGTTTTCAATGTTAAATTAGGTCCAAAGAGAAGTTGTCTCCAGTTTTCCTGCTACCCCGAGTGACTGCGTCGCACGGTATTTCCATCAAATTGTCCACCAATAGGCAATATCTTTACATGTGCATACTCGGAAAACACATCGCTAGCTAACTGCGTTTCGATATTTTTACATAAATGTCTGTAATCTTCAAAAATTATGAAAAAGTCACCTTGTTTATCGTGTCACACGTCAAAGATGGGTGCTCACAACGAGGAACGGAAGTTGCTCACAACATTTTTACCGATGGACATTTTTCACTCGTTGTGAGTTAAACGGGCGTGACAAAGGCCTCAAATAGTATAAAAACGTCCTACTTTTGCCCCAAACACATGTTTTCGTTTGAGAAATGTTGCTAAAAAAAGTGAGCACTTTTTCGACGCCGCCCCCCATCCAAAAGTTGCCAGAAGGGGGATGTGCCCCTCATCGCCAAGAAAATTTTTGGACTTGTGAGAGGCTATAAATGACCCCAGGTCGATCATAAGGTAACGTGTAACCAACTCTGAAAAGCCTTTGACTCTATCTCATTCCCTTGAGAAGTTGCAGCACTTTGAAATAAATTTTGATGGAAAAAAATCGAGGCAAAATAGTGATTTTTAGCAATTTTGAGATGTCCCCTAGTTGCCATGGTAACAGGAAATTTAAGACTTTAAGACTGAGCACGTCGTTACAAAGGCAATGGGCCAATCAACATTTGTGCCAAGTTTGATAAGTATTGAAGCATTTTTCATAGTTTCATAGCAGTTTGAACTTGTAACAGGAGGCTTTTCAGTGAAAACAGCCATTTTTCACAATATGCTCATGAGGGAAAGGGTTAACTAAAAAAAATATAAATGTTACAAAACAACAATTTTTCACCAAAATTAGGTGAAAGACCACATGTTAAAATGGAAATGTAGATTTTGGGTGATTCCAAAGTTTTTCATCATTTTTTGTTAACCCTTTACCTCATATATACGCGAAACAACGCACTTTCGACCCCCCCCCCCCCCTTTTAGGCCTCAAATAGTATAAAAATGTCTTATTTGGGCCCCAAACACATGTTTTCGTTTGAGAAATGTTGCTAAAAAAAGTGAGCACTTTTTCGGCGCCGCCACCCATCCAAAAGTTTCAAGTGAATGCCTTTTTTAGTTTTGAAGATTGATGTTGCATGCAAAACTTTAATCCTGAATTTTCTAAGTTAAAAACGCCATAATTCTGTCAAAATCCATGCTAGAGTTATGAACCTTGGATAGTAACCTCCTACTATGCTCTCAAATAAGACTGTTTAGTTAATTATTAAACAAATATCATAAGTGGTTGATGAGATATGCTGCATGCAAATTTAAACCAAAGTGTTATGCCAATGCTGAGAAGGATAGCCCTACTATTCTCCGAAAAACGAGCTAAAAATAAATAAAGAACCCTCTTACAGTTCAATCATTTATTTTGACATTTGTAATCAAAACTCATGTATAACAACAGGTTGAAATTATAACTGATTCTGCCACATAAACAACCAAATAGGTATGGCATATCTTCTTGTCAACAAATATTACAAGTCTTTATTTATAACTATATTGTGGTCCTTTCATATTGGCGTTTACCTTTGCAATAAATAATTTACACCGACCCTAACAGCATTTAAATAATCAAAGTTCAACTATTTTTTTATGAAATAATACTTATAATCAATTATATTCTGTTTAAATCTGACAAATGTAAACTTTTATAAACAATGATTCAGTTTCTAGCACATGGACTCTACTTAACTCGAACAACAGTTTTAAATGGGTCCTTTTTACATACTCATATTTTAAACTTTACTTTCAATCGTTTCAGTTGATTGACCGACACAGAACTGTACATGTATATACTTTCCCCAGATGTCACCAGGTGTCACTTTGGGAGGAAGTCATTTCGCACCAGAAGGACGAAAAATAAAAAACTTGAATAAACATCATACAACTCTCAGCTATCGATATATGTTTGTTTTGACTTTAATTTGTTGCGGAGATATAGAACTAAATCCAGGTCCAGCACAACTATCTAACGCAAAAAAGCTCAAAAAAAGGACACCAAAATTTCCATGTGTGATTTGTTCTAAAGCAGTCACAGCTCGCAGCAAGGCAGTGGAATGTGATAATTTGTAAAGACTGGTCCCAAACACATAAAAACATCATGGAGTTAAATATAAGATTGTTTATATATCTGTGAAATCATATTTAATTACCAAAATTACAAAAAGTTTGTTATTTCTATAGTCAGAAAAAAATACAAACCTATCCTTTTTTTATATCTTTTTTATTATTAATATCTTATTTGGGCAATATTTGGATATTTCGTGCCGCCGGTAATAATGTCTACTTTGATAAATTGAAAATCCGCGATGGGGGCCTTGACCTTATATTACTTGTATCAAGCAACAATATTAAATTATTGTCATTGTCAAATTATTAAAAAAGAAAAAAGTTTGTTGATTTCTAAAAAAATCATTGTTATAATCATACATGTGTACTGTGGCGAATCGTTATTTAACTGTGGCGAATCGTTAGTGTGGCAAATCGTTATTAATTCGTTAAAAGGACTTACTCCAAATATATGCGTGTCTTTATACGATGAAAGAAATGTGAATATTTCTCAAATTTGCCGCTTCGTTTATCTTGATAAGCAATCACGTGACGTAACAAACCACGTGATGATTCACCGTTCTGCAAGTGTTTTAAATTGAATGCAATTAAAACTATGACAAAGAGCCCCATCAAAAAGTTGTCTTTAAATGTTGGAAAAAGAAACCTAAGTTTTTGAAATTTGTGTCAAAGAATACATTTAAAATATTTTTTTTTTAAGTTTTACATATATTTCGGGTTGAAATTAATTTGGTTCGAATTATCTTAAGTTCGAAAAGTTGTGACGTTTGTAACGTCCTAAAATCGTCTCGACCCGATTTGTACTCGACACATTATCACTTTTATAGTATTGTTAAAAATAAATATGGCCAAAGAAGGAAGGTAATCTATTCAATTTAATAATTTGATTTGGAACTTGAATCGAAAAATGTTTTCTGTTGAACTTTTTATTTCTTTGCCTTGCCTAATTTGATACTTTTACTTACGAAAGTAGAGTAGTATTCGGATATTGGCTACCGATGAAAACCTTTTTCTAAATAATTATATTTTGGATTTGTCAAACTTACCTTTTTGTGATTTTATAAAATAAATACTGAATGAAGTGAAAATACTTATCTTGGTTATAATGTTCACTTACTAATGCCATAGATTGACAAACTCTTACCTGATTTAAAACTGATCATTATTCAGCCATGTGGATTTCTCATCAACCTGTTATTCGTCAAACTGTATTCAGAGGTGTGACGATCAATCTTAAACAACTTGTCCACCAACCTAACTGTTCATAACACACATAATTATTGTGAAATTGAATACTGATGATATAACTGTTCAACACATTGATAATGATAAATGTTATTTTCATATATATACAATCTGGAACATACGATACGTTATAGTACATCCCAGATACAATGTATTTTTCTCATATGCCATGAACTCTTTTTTTCAACAACAAGCACTTGTTAAATAACCAAGTAATTATAGAAGCAGGAAAGATGATTTTTTTAAAGAAGGAAAATTTAATGTGACTTGATCATAACTTTTGTTTACAAAAACTGCCACTAAACATTCTGATTACTTAAACTACCATATCTGAGGCTGAGTTGGAATTTTTCCTTTGAAAATGGTTAATACATCAACCACAAAAAAGGTAAATCATTTAAAGTGAAAAAATAAATGCTTGATGCTGATTTTCAAGCTACACATGTATTTGTGACTTGAAAATGAAAGTGTCAGCTTAATCTACAATAGTGGGTTAGAAACACAATGTTTTGGATACATTAAAAATGATTTACCTTGTTTAGTTTCCATTTCAATAATAGTTTTTGCTGTGTGTCATAAAATCTTTGAACCAGACTTTGTTTAGGTGGATCAAAATTTTGAATATACAAAAAGATCATTAAGATATTGAAAAAAAAAAATCTGTGAGTTGGTGTAGGAGTTATCTAACCAGTTATTAGTTGTAAATAAGTAATATTACACAAACAGATCCAGGATTTTTCCATATTTATAGATTTGTGAATAGTCTATAAATTTAATGAATTTTCAGCCAATAAATTTAATGACATGGAAATTGTGAAGTTTGAATTGTCAGATTTAAACTAAAACATCCAAGCTTTTGACGAATTATTTTCATTATTTTAAATTAAAGTCATACTGGGTTGGTTTCATAGTTGGATACTTTTATGTCTAAAATAATTGAAATTTTAATTCATCAAAATGTACATACACATGTAGTTGCTTTTATTAGTCCCTTATTGGTTCAACCGGAGGGGACTTTAGGTTTGTCTGTCAGTCCATCCGTCCATAAAACTGGATCCCGCGCTATCGCAAAAAGTACTGATCTTGATATATGGATAAATTGCAGTATGGAGATTATGCACATCTTTTTCTTTTCTTCCTATGTTGAAAATTCTGGTTGCTATGGCAACAAATAACTGAAAATATGGCAAATTTAACACATAAACTGGATCCAGTGATAACTCAAAAAGTACTGAAAATATTTTTATGAAACTTGAAATATGGGTAGACGGCAGTTTAGAGATTATGCACATCTTATTCTTTTCTTCCTATGTTGAAAATTCTGGTTGCTATGGCAACAAATAGTCTGAAAATATGGCAAATTTAACACATAAACTGGATCCAGTGATAATTCAAAAAGTACTCAAAATATTTTTATGAAACTTGGTATATGGATAGATGGCAGTCTGAATTTCAAGATTTCTAATTTGAATATTTACGCTTTTTCAGTATAAGTTCTTTATTTCTTAAGGTGTTTACTTCAAACTTTAAATATAAGTTGCTTGTCATCAACCACATCATATAAGACAAGGTTTACAACTCTAGCACAAAAATTATCAGAATTACCTCCCTTGAACTTAGAATTTTTATGAAAAAAATGTTGTCTTTTTAAATAACTTCTTTATTTCTTAATGTATCTACTTCAAACTTCATATATATGTTTCTTATTATCACACAACATTTGTGAGAAGGTTAAATACTCTAGCAAGACTATTTCCAGAATTATGTCCCCCTTGAACTTAGATTTTTTTCGGGAAATTGGTATTTTTTACTCCAACTTCTTCATTTCTTATAGGATTTACTTTAAAATCTCACATCTTAATAATATGACAAGGTTCATAAATCTAGAATCCATATTTCCAGAATTATCTCCTCCTTAAACTTTGAATTTTTCTTATTCATTCTTTAACTTTCTAATTTTTTCTTCATGGATTTTCTTCAAATTCAAAATAAACATTCATTATCAACACCTACATTATATTTTTTTTTAATTTTCATCTTTGTTACTTACTATACATTATAGTTAATGCTATATTTGAAAATTCAATGTTCATAAATCTAGCATCTTTATTTCAAGAGTTATCTCCTCTTCAAGAATTTTGCATTAGAATATGTTATATTTTGGTAACAGGGATGTTTTAAAAAAATAACGTAAGTGTCTCCTCCAGTCTGTTTGTATGTCTGTCTGTCTGTCTGTTCATAAAAACTGTTTCCTGAGATCACTTTTAAAGATTTTTTCCAACAAATTTACTTAAAATAGAGAAAAGTTGAAACATTAGTTTTACTTATTCATCCTGAGAAAATTGGACCTTTTGATTATCTGTTGTATAAAAATAATTTCCTTACTTAAGGCAGGGAAACTTAACACATTACAATGATATAGACAAACTTATAACTCAAAAGATTTAAGTTCATTCATGTCATTCATTCACTTGTAAAATTGAATGGCCAATGGCCCATCAGAATGTTGCTGGGGTTCTAACCGGTAGGGGACTTATGGATTGCTTGCAATACTATGATAATTGCTTGTTCATTTATGTTTACAAAGATTTAAGGATGAGGATCTAAATTTGTATTTCAAAATTCCTCTATTGTCTGTTCTCGTAGATTTAACTTGAAATAGTATAAGCTGATGAAATCTTAGAAAAATGTCATAATTATTTAACTAGGGAGGTAACTTTTAAAAGTTATAAAAGTTTCATATTCTACATGTAGTTCAAGTTCTTCTGTAAAAAAAACAAACATTTTCATTGCCAAAAATATATATCAAGTAACATTTACAGTACAGTGCATACTAGAAGGAATGTTAGTGTGGCAAAAGAAATGAGTGACCCATTTCTCACAACATTAGAATAAGTCTTCCTTGATACAATCAAACTTACATATAAAATGGTTTAAAGAATGATAATGACTGTTGGAAACTTTGGTCTGATTTAAGAATATTTTCTCAAATTCTCAAATCAGTTTTGTACTGTTCTTAAATGGCATTTACTTAAGTTCATAAATGATTTCCCTGAATTGGCAATGCATTGCTTTTATACTCTAATGCTGCCCATTTGAAAACCAGATGTGCGTTTTAAAGCTGTTAAGACTGCTTTGAAAGAATATCTGCAATATAACTTTTTCTAATTATGCAGATCCTATAGAAGACGATCTAGATCTAAATCAAGAGACAGGAAGCGAAAAAGATCCAGGTCAAAGGAAAGGAGAAGGTCAAGGTCAAAAGAAAGAAGATCAAAGTCACGAGAGAGAAAACGTTCAAGATCTCGTGAAAGGAAAAGGTCAAGATCTAGAGAAAGGAAAAGGTCAAGGTCCAGAGACCGTAAAAGATCTAGGTCAAGAGACAGAAGAAGGAAGGATGAGAAGAGAAGGTCAAGGTCAAGAGACAGAAGGTGAGTTATTTTTCCTATTAGGTGATACACAATCTATATAAAGGTATAAGCTGTGCAATTACAGAAACTGTTTTAAACGTCATCTTGAACTTTGTTATTAAATTTTATTATTTTCTTTTCACAAATTCAAAAAACAGTTTACCATCATGTTTGCTTTAAGTTAAACTTTTCTATTAGTTATATAGAAAATTAAAAACAAAGCCATCAAACTTAAAATTATTATCTTTTTCCTGATTAAAACATAAATAGGACTTAAAAGGTTTATTAGTAGTTGTTGGTTTCACATTTTACTGCTAGAAAGTGTTCTGACCTGTACAGAAAAAAAACATATTTGATATGCAGATTTTTCTTTTAAAAAAAGTTTTCATACTGCTCAGAGTTTGCAGTCGGTGGTTATGAAAAACTTAAAATAAGGTTTCATGCATGATTCTGTTTTCCCCTGATAATTTCTCAAGATTATGTATTTGAGTTATAAAAGATGTAATTTTCTTTAAAATATAATTCTAATTTATGAATATTTCAGGAAAAGGGGTTCTAAAGATAGATCAAAGAGTAAATCACCATCAAGGTATGGTGAAGGAGCTATAAGAGTCAAAGATGAACCTCTTGATAAGGTTAGTATCTTTTTTACTTATAACTTTATCTAACTTTTATCAAAAAAAAAAATTTCATAAACAAGAAACTTCTGTTATAAAACGTTACATTATATAATTATTCACCTTGTATAAATTTTACATTTTACATTCATTTGCTGTTATTTTTATTTATAATGTAGAACTTGTAAGAGTGAAGGAGCACAACACTGGTACAAAGGCCTAAAACTATAAATATATTTCTTATATAGTTCACCTGGGGCACTTAAAAACATGCAAAAGATATTTAAGAAATATACTCAGAACTTATTTGAGAATCAAGTTTTTGTGTTGTTATTTACCCCATTTGAGTCATTTTATACTTAGACAATATAAGAAATCAATCTGGAAGAACAGAGTGAGTGAATGGTCTTAAATTTTGCAAATGGCTTATAAAAATTGGTATTAAGATAAAGTCTGATATTTTGTACTTGTACTTATAATGTACATGTATTTAGGTTAATAAAAGGTAACAAAGTTACTGATAACAAAAGACATTATGCCAGATATGTGTATTATTTTATCTTCTTCGTTTTTGGGGGAAGTAATGGCCATATACTCAACAGCTAGCAATGAAACATTCGTGTTAACTAATGGTCTTGACTTTTTATCAGGAAGAGGAACAGAAAAGACTTGAAATGGAAATGCAAAAGCGACGGGAAAGAATAGAAAAATGGCGAGCTGAGAAAAACAAGACAAAGGAGCTTTTGCCAATCAATATAGCTCCACCGTCCAAGAAATGGAGTCTTGAAGATGAGGATGATGATGATGAGGAAAATGAGGACGATGAGACAAAAACTGACGATGATAATGAAGTTGATCCACTCGATGCTTATATGCAGGTAAGTCCAACAACTCGTACCTAAAACTGTCATTACATTTTACAGAAACACTAACCCATGTTAAAATTTTGGCAATGGATTTGCCCGGAGTTGAATTTGGAACAGTCCATTAGCAATTGTAAGGAGTATGGTATCCAAAAAGAAAAAAGGTAAACATCAGTAGCCAATGAAATATAGATTTATAAAATCTCACATATGCGATGGCTTTCCTTCTTCTGTACTGTACTGGTCGGAGACCATCAACCGGACACTTTTGGAACATTTTTCCGTACAGATTTCATAATTTTTAACCTAGAGACCAAAAAATTTGACACAGTTCAGCTAGGTTCTTCTCCTAATTAATAAACTAGTTTGTTTATTTCTGATTATATTGACACTTATATCTGAGCTTGACAAGGAGGGTATCAAAATTACCTAAATTGTCTACACTACAGTACCATTTGTCCGGACAGATATGTACATGATGTGATTTAATTCAGATAAAAGCCTGGGTGCTTTGATTTTTGATTTGTAACATGATATACAATATGTCAGCAACAAATGCTGAAGTTTTGGATATTCTATTATTCACTCTGCAAATGATTATAGCTGGTATATGAGGTCGACATTGCTTCCTTGACCCCCGAATTTCAACGTTAACATTCTTGAAATAGACATTAAAATATTACCATTACGGAGGTTAAAATAAATTCATTTACTTAATTTTAAAAGAAATATGCACTTATTGTTGATAAAAAAGTGACTGACAACCACTGAGCAAAGAAAATACTAAATTAAGCATTTTCGGGGCCGTCCGGGTTTGGTGGTTGTCCGGTTTTGGTGGTCCCCAACCAGTAGGCATACATAAATGGCCAATATTATTGATGCTCACAGGGTTAGAAATATAAAGAAAAGATAGAAAAATAATGTCATCAGCACAATTGTTTCATTACTCATTTTCTAGTTTGATATCATTGTAAAAAAATATATATTTTATATTTTCAGAGTGTGAATGAGGAAATAAAGAAGCCGGAACATACACCGATGGATACAAATAATGTATGTAGTTTAAATTACATTTCATTCTTATTTTGTAGTCTTCTGAAAAAATGAGGTTTGGGAGCATGGGGGGGGGGGGGGGGGGGGGGGGGGGGGGGGAGTTTTCCAGCTATTCTGGTTCTGGTAGTAATTTCCAAGATGTAAGGCTTGAAAATGTTTCTCAGACCAAATTTATATGTATTGAAACAGAGCACTGTAAATAAAGATTTACTTTATTTTATTTGATTCTTATAAATTGTTTCATGCCCACACATTGCTCGAACTTCAATATATCAGGAGCTGAGGAGCATATTGTTTTTGTTCTGTCAGTCTGTTAACAGACACTTTAAGCTTGATCATTACATTTTCATTCTATAACATATTCCTTCATATTTGGAGACAGCATACTTTAGGAAGAAAGATTAATTGTTACATTTTGACCATAAATCTTGTTGGAATTACCGTACCGCATGTATTGTAAAGCCACTTGAAGTTTTAGCTGGAGAGTCATCTTTTGACCTTTATAGTGTCAGTGTAATGTAATTCCTTACAAAAAAAGGATAACAATATCAATCACCTAACTTTGTGCAATAGTGAATACAATGTAGTTATTTATCTACAGTGATTTTGAGAAAAATAAATATCTGTTACAATTGAAAGCATTGTAAGTTTATGAATGATAGGTCCTTCATATAGTTTTCAGGAATTTTCTTTACAAATGTAGATCTAGCAATGATATGATATTGATGTGATATGTTTGTATATTGTAGAGTTCCAGTGGTAAAGTTACTATAATGATATAATGATGTGATATAATGATATGATATTGATGTGATATGTTTGTATATTCTAGAGTTCCAGTGGTAAAGTTACTATAATGATATAATGATGTGATATAATGATATAATATTGATGTGATATGTTTGTATATTCTAGAGTTCCAGTGGTAAAGTTACTATAATGATATAATGATGTGATATAATGATATAATATTGATGTGATATGTTTGTATATTGTAGAGTTCCAGTGGTAAAGTTACTATAATGATATAATGATGTGATATAATGATATGATATTGATGTGATATGTTTGTATATTCTAGAGTTCCAGTGGTAAAGTTACTATAATGATATAATGATGTGATATAATGATATGATATTGATGTGATATGTTTGTATATTTTAGAGTTCCAGTGGTAAAGTTACTATAATGTTTGTATATTCTAGAGTTCCAGTGGTAAAGTTACTATAATGATATAATGATGTGATATAATGATATAATATTGATGTGATATGTTTGTATATTCTAGAGTTCCAGTGGTAAAGTTACTATAATGATATAATGATGTGATATAATGATATGATATTGATGTGATATGTTTGTATATTTTAGAGTTCCAGTGGTAAAGTTACTATAATGTTTGTATATTCTAGAGTTCCAGTGGTAAAGTTACTATAATGATATAATGATGTGATATAATGATATAATATTGATGTGATATGTTTGTATATTCTAGAGTTCCAGTGGTAAAGTTACTATAATGATATAATGATGTGATATAATGATATGATATTGATGTGATATGTTTGTATATTCTAGAGTTCCAGTGGTAAAGTTACTATAATGATATAATGATGTGATATAATGATATAATATTGATGTGATATGTTTGTATATTCTAGAGTTCCAGCGGTAAAGTTACTATAATGATATAATGATGTGATATAATGATATAATATTGATGTGATATGTTTGTATATTTTAGAGTTCCAGTGGTAAAGTTACTATAATCACAGCTGTAGCCAAGAAGAAACCTGATCCTACAGTACAGAAAGGAGAACTTATGCTCAACAACACAGATCTAATGGAGGTATAGTGACACATTTCCCTCTTCGTATATGTATGTGTACATTCTTGCCACATAATAATGCTTTTAGGCAGACTAACTCAAAATTTTCATCTTGATATCTCTGGGCAGTTCCCAATAAATGGAGGCTGCTTGAGATTTTTAACGTTTTTAAGTTTCAGATTGTAATTTGGCTGAACTCTTAAGAAGTATATACATGTACTTTTAAAACAGTTACGAAATATTTATGAAAAATAAACGTTTTAATGACATTTCAAATCAGTTTTATCATGTTAACTTGCAATATCTATCTATAGACATATGATATTGAACATTTTGAAATAAGGATGATAATCTTGAACCTGATTCTTTAGAGTTTTTTACTTCAAACCATTTAGCCCGTTTTAATTCTGATGACGACTTTAAATTCATTTATGTGAGGAAACTGCCCAGCTAGCTTATAGAAGGTTAGTTAATCTGCATAAGTACCCATGGTTGTAATAATGTACTGAGATACCACGATTTTTTTCTAGGATTTTGGGAACAAGGAAAGTTCCCATTTGACAATTCTACAGTTTCACTGTGACTTAAAGCCAACTGCATGATCCTGATTCTTCATCTGTAAATTGTTACGGTATATTATTATTTTTTGTTTGTAGTACTCATCAGAGGAAGAAGAAGAGGATCTCGACTCCACGATGCTGAACATGATCAAGAAAAAGAAGGTAATCATGTTACCACTTTCCTGTCTTACATACAATCATTATATTATAAAATACATTGCTATCACAGATCACATTTAGATGTTTGAACTTGAAGATAAAGTTCAGAGTAGTGTTTATTAGTTACTTGATTACTTAATTGTCTAAGAATTTGAGCGATGGAACTATGAACAAAGAGGGTGGCTTTTTGAATGCTTACATGTTCAAACATAAGAAAAAATAGAGAGGAAAGCGTTATTTGGTTTATTACAGAATTTATTTTAGTTTGACAGTGTAAGAAGCTATAAGGTTATAGACACATTTTTGAATCTGTTCCTGGAACCAACCAGTACTGAGCAATGAGAGTAAAGATCTTTGCTCAAGGAAACAATGACTTGTCCCTGTTGGATTTGAACCCCTGCGGCTAGTGATTATTAGATTACGAGTTCGACTTGTTAGCAACTCGGCCATGACGCCATTTAATTTGTTTGATTGGAGTTTGATGTGACTTGACATCAAAAGATCACATGGTTGATATATAAGGCTCATTCTCCAAATTGTAGAAGCAGAATTTTTGTTGTATTACTCCACCCACATACATGACCATGGTAACGGTATCATTTGTAACACTTCAATCAATAGTACTTTGTAAGAATAGGTATTCTCATACTAAAATGATTTACAAAAATATTACAGGCTCGTAAAATGTTACAAAATAGTTTTATCGCTAAAATAGAGATATTTTGAATCTTTTATTTTGAAGTTATCTTCTACTTCGTTTTGTAGACTTGTATATGACATATACTTTTAATGTTTAATTTTAGGATCTGGCCACAACTGACCACAGTAAAGTGTATTATGCTCCATTTAGAAAAAACTTCTATGTGGAAGTTCCTGAACTAGCAAGGATGACACCAGAAGGTAAGTCGCAGTTTTATTGGTAAAGTTACAATATGCTGGAACCAAAATTGATAAGCTTTTGCCACCAGTACAGAGACATGCCAGCCTGTACTTCCATGCTGTCTGACCAGGCTACATATATTATTGCTAGCTCAATTTTTGGCCGGGTTGCACTGGTGCAAACCCGGGTTATAGTATGGTGAATGTTGGGCGGCGGGCGGGCGGGCGGGCGTCCGGGCGGGGCGGCGGGCCGCGGGAAAAAAACTTTCGTAACAGTTTTCTCAGCAACTACTTATCACAGCCTCTTGATATTTGGCAAACAGCATTGACACATGGTCCCATACTGTGGTATTTCGATTTCAGGTCTGTCGCTCATCCACTTCCTGTTTATCCACTTAGTTAAATTAGTTAGATTTTTTGACATTAATGGTCAATGGTAGGAAATTTTCGTAACAGTTTTCTCAGCAACTACTTATCACAGCCTCTTGATATTTGGCATACAGCATTGACACATGGTCCCATACCGTGGGATTGGATTTCAGTCTGTCTCTCATCCACTTCCTGTTTATCCACTTAGTTAAATTAGTTAGATTTTTAAACATTTTTGGTCAATGGTAGGAAATTTTCGTAACAGTTTTCTCAGCAACTACTTATCACAGTCTCTTGATATTTGGCATACAGCATTGACACATGGTCCCATACTGTGGGATTTGATTTCAGGTCTGTCGCTCATCCACTTTCTGTTTATCCACTTAGTTAAATTAGTTAGATTTTTTGACATTAATGGTCAATGGTAGGAAATTTTCATAACAGTTTTCTCAGCAACTACTTATCACAGCCTCTTGATATTTGGCATACAGCATTGACACATGGTCCCATAACTGTGGGATTTGATTTCAGGTCTGTCGCTCATCCACTTCCTGTTTATCCACTTAGTTAAATTAGTTAGATTTTTCAACATTAATGGTCAATGCTAGGAAATTTTCGTAACAGTTTTCTCAGCAACTACTTATCACAGCCTCTCGATATTTGGCATACAGCATTGACACATGGTCCCATACTGTGGGATTCGATTTCAGGTCTGTCGCTCATTCCACTTCCTGTTTATCCACTTAGTTAAATTAGTTAGATTTTTAAACATTATTGGTCAATGGTAGGAAATTTTCATAACAGTTTTCTCAGCAACTACTTATCACAGCCTCTTGATATTTGGCATACAGCATTGACACATGGTCCCATACTGTGGGATTTGATTTCAGGTCTGTCGCTCATCCACTTTCTGTTTATCCACTTAGTTAAATTAGTTAGATTTTATGACATTAATGGTCAATGGTAGGAAATTTTCGTAACAGTTTTCTCAGCAACTACTTATCACAGCCTCTTGATATTTGGCATACAGCATTGACACATGGTCCCATACTGTGGGATTTGATTTCAGGTCTGTCGCTCATCCACTTCCTGTTTATCCACTTAGTTAAATTAGTTAGATTTTTCGACATTAATGGTCAATGCTAGGAAATTTTCGTAACAGTTTTCTCAGCAACTACTTATCACAGCCTCTTGATATTTGGCATACAGCATTGACACATGGTCCCATACTGTGGGATTTGATTTCAGGTCTGTCGCTCATCCACTTCCTGTTTATCCACTTAGTTAAATTAGTTAGATTTTTTGACATTAATGGTCAATGGTAGGAAATTTTCGTAACAGTTTTCTCAGCAACTACTTATCACAGCCTCTTGATATTGGCATGCAGCATTGACACATGGTCCCATACTGTGGGATTCGATTTTAGGTGTGTAGCTAATCCACTTCCTTTTAACCTACTGAATTATATTTTCGACATTAATGGGTCAATGGAAATTTTTTTTCGTAACATCACAGCCTCATGATATTTGGTGTACAAATGCAACCCGGCCTTTTCTGTCTTTGACCCATTTTTTATTTTGATACAGAAAATTCCTTGATTTTCAAACTCACTGTTGCAAATTCGAACAGAGGGCAAATCCATTATACAAATTTAGCAGGTAAATAGTTCATATTAGAAAATAATGAATGAGTGTAGGTTCAATACTGAATTTATTGACCAAGTTGAAATAAATTAAATTAAGTGAGCCTCTCCAGAGCATAATATTATTTTATTCAAAGAGTTCAATAAATTTAGTAATGAAGCTACACAAATTTAGTATTTGATTGATCACAAGGGCTATTTAGGGTAAAAATGAATGACTTTTTTTATTGACCAGCCATAGCATAACGCTTACATTTAGCATGTCCTTTTGCTGTGTTTGTATAACACAAATGGCATCACATAAAAATATGTGCACGGCTGTGCAATACCATTTAATAACTTAACTAGGATAACAATATGAAAATTGCTGGAAAGCTTATCATCAAAAAAAGCATTTAGAAGACAAGAGGCATTATTCTTAAAGTTATATTTTTCGATTTATGCACCTTTTTAAATTTTTGACAAAATTGCCTATTGATTTGAATAATTTTAAAACTCTAAGATATCATATACTTCTTAACCTTTTCTTGACAAGGCACAGTTGTTTGACAAGGGGCATTATTCTGAAAGCTATCTATCTATATATATTTGGAGTTACTCCTCTTTAACTTAACTTCTTGACAAATTGCTTATTAAGTTAAATGATTTCCAAAGTATGAACGATATTATCAATGTGAAACTTGGAGCGCATCATGATTATGAACAGATACAGCTGTAAATCAAGGGGCATAATCCTGAAAGCAATTTATTACAGATATGCCCCATTTTAATTTACATTTTTAAGCAATTTTTACACTTTTAGTCAAAATAGCCATTTAATTGGATTGATTTCAAAGGTGAAAGATGAATCAACTTGAATTTTGGTCCTTGGAATACTTATTTGTCATGGCATGGCACAGTGGAAAGACAAGGGCATTATTCTGAAAGTTATATGTTTGAGTTATGCCCTTTTTAGCTCGACTTTTCTATGAAAAGGGGAGCTATCCTACTCGCCCCGGCGTCGGCGTCGGCGTCACACCTTGGTTAAGTTTTTCGTACCACCCCACTTTATTTCAGAAGTATTACAAGTATGGCTTTGAAACTTACCATACTTGTTCACCATCATAACCTCCATCTACAGACAAGAGTACATAACTCTGTCAAGGTTTTTGACAGAATTATGGCCCTTTTTTGACTTAGAAAGTGTATTGAGCTTGGTTAAGTTTTTTGTACCACCTCACTTTATTTCAAAACCATTGGAGGTATTGCTTTGAAACTGACCATACTTGTTTACCATCACGACCTTCATCAACAGACAAGAGGACATAACTCTGTCAAGGTTTTTGACAGAATTATGCCCCTTTTTGACTTAGAAAATACATTGAATATGGGTAAAATCCACTTATTGCCTTAACCCTTTGAGATATTGCTTTGAAACTTTTAATGCTATTTCACATCATTACCCCCATCTGTACGCAAGAGAAGGTAACTCTGTCAAGGATTTGTTTTAAAAATTAAGGCCTTTTATCGACTTAGAATCTTGGTTAAGTTTTTAGTACCAGTCCACTTTTTGACTGAACTGTTTGAGATATTAATTTGAAAGTTGGAATACTTGTTTACAATCATGATTCCCAAACATGTCCAGGAGAAGGTAATTCTGTCAAAGATTTTATTTGAATTATGGCCCTTAACTGTCAATGTTTTGTATAAGCAAGCACTAAAAAACTTAAAAAATCTAAAAAAATTCATTCCTATCCACTTGTTCACTTTACCATAAATTATGTCATATAAACATTGCTGTAATATTCAATTCAGTAAAATAATTCTTCACTAAATATCTTAATGCTCATGGCCATTGTTCACTTTAAAAATACAGAGATTCTTGTATTGCCTTTTACTGCAAAAACTTTTTTTATTGGCAAGCAATAAAAAAGTCGAGCGCGCTGTCTTACGGACAGCTCTTGTTTAACTTAGATAGTATATGATTTGTGCTGACTTTTCAATATCTATTATTTTACAGAAACTGAAGAATTAAGAACAGAGATGGAACAAATTAAAGTGCATGGAAAAGGCTGTCCTAAACCAGTCAGAGAATGGGCACAAGTTGGTGTCAGCAAAAAGGTTTTAGATTGTCTCAAAAAGTAAGTTAATATAATCTATGAATCTGGTTAAGATTAAATAAGAGATAAATTTCCATAGTTTGTAGCGTAAGTTTAATGTATTTTCATTTGTACACAGGCTTCCCCACTCAAGAGTGGTGTGAGGGGTGAAATGAGATATGTTTTTAACTTCCACTTGTCTGCCCACTGAAAGGTCAATGCTGCCATTTCAGTTTGGCATCAAAAGATCTGAGTTAAATCATAGTACAATGTATGCAGGAATTGGCAGGGATTTATTAGCATATGATTATTATCTATTGGGCAGAGTTTTTTAGCCTGACTATTCAAAGAATAGGGAGAGCTTTTGTACTCACCCAAGCATAGGTGTCACACTTTGTTAAATTTTTGCATGCAAGTTGGTATCTTCAAAATTACTGAGAAGGGAATGGGATGAAGATTTCACAAACTTATTTGAGAGTATAAAAGGTCACTGTTCAAGGCCCATAACTCTAATATTGATTTTGACAAAAGTATAGCCCATAAAAAATACTGCATTATACAGAATCTTGTTTTACAATTAAGCTCTGAGAATAGTCGAGCACACTGTCCTACTGTCAGCTCTTGTTATTTCACCGCTATTTATTGGGATGATGGGTGGGAAGCACAGGGGTACAAATGATTGGTGCATAAATTGTCAAATTGATTAATATCATTAATGTTACATAATGATGACATATGCTATTGTCTATTGTCATCCATTTCTGTCTCAAATTAATTATGTAAAGGTTTACATATTTTCAGTAAAACCGGTTGAAGGTTGGAAATAAAAGCCAAAACAGTTACATTTTTGTATAGAATATTCTTACCTGAAAAATTATGCATCCTTTTTATGCCTAAGGCAGCAATACAGCATAAAGGTTTTGAAACAAACACAGCATTAAATCACTAACTTTCTTGCTCCTTCTGGTGCTTAGTTCTTTTGGAAAAACAGGTTATTACAGTGTAGAAACAGGGTTATTACATGTTGTTATTGGCACAGCATCTATAGGAACCTTTAGGATGTAACTGCCAGTCAGTCTATGACAGAATTGCTATAACATACAAACTGTAATATAGCTTTGACGAAGGTCATCAAAACAATTCTTTAAACTTTTAATCATAAGTACATCTGAAAGGGAGATGTTTTTAAAATAGAAATTATTATGTTATTTCTTATGGCCAACAGGTATTCATTTATTAATGATGCTTGCAAAGTTAACCATTTCAACTTTGTGCTTAATTTAATATACCAAATTATATGAAGATCTAATATGATTTAATGAAAATTTAAGACCTAGAATGCAATATGTATGATGATTCTCAAGATGTATAAATGATTAAGTGATCGAATTTCATCAAAACATTTCATTTCCCTCAATGCATGCCCCCACCCCACTCCACGTGATAATCAGCTAGCTGTTGAACATGCTTATGTCTTAGTTATTGGACACAGCTGGACATACAGTGTTATCCCTGACCCTGTGTATGATGACCATATCAAGATGACCTAACTGATGCAGGAACAATGTAAACAATTTAAAATTCAAGGTTACAGAAAGTCATTGACCTTTAAGGATGTTTGTGAAATAACTTCAGAGTGCATTGTGGGAATTTCAAAGTGACCAAAACAATATCTAATGCATGCAAGAGTCATGCCACTTGCTTGATGGCCAAGGTGAGCTTTGATGGTCAGTCACTGACCATCTGTATGTCGATGACCGCCAAACCGGTCAAAGTTCAAAATAAATTCATATGGAAGATAATTTTAGAGTATTTACTAAATTTCTTGATGTAATACTAATACCATATTGTAAACAATGAGATAAGAAATTTTTGCAATGTAAGTGATATATTTGACCTCAGATGTTATCAAATGTTATAAAATGAATACATTTAGTAAATGACATTTGTCCAAACGCTTTGTATACATAATTATCATTAATAGTTAATTAATGAAATTTTTTAATTAATTTGTTTATTTTTTTATTTATTTTTTTTATTTTTTGATAAAGGTAGCATTTGCCGTTTTGAAACTTAAAGCGTGTATTTTAAAATGAGATGTTAAGTTTTAGATTTAATTTTTTAACATCTACGGCTTTTTGTCTCAGGTAGTGGAAGGGGCTTTCCCTTAAATTTTGGGAAAAAATGACACAGTGTTGACCTGCAGTAGAAGGGGGAAAAAAGCACTGTCGATCATTCAACTCATTATCAGTACAGATAAAATAGAACATATTTAGGTCACTCAAATATTTGCCACTAATCTATAGTACATCTACTATGAATTATTGATACTAAGTGTATTTTTTCACTTTTAAGTTACTTCTTTTTCTTGGAAAATAAAACAATTTGAAATTTTTTTGAAGTTTTATTTCTCCATTTTCTATGATTTTGAATTTAAAGTTGTGAAATTTAGCCTTGAAGAATCGGCTGAAATATATTTTATGTCTTTGTAAATGTGGTTAAATTTTGGATTTAAAGTAGCACACCTCCAGATTCATGCTTATTTTCATGAAAATGTTAAAAAATGTATTCAAAAGTAAAATATTGTAAACAAAGAAAATAATTTAAACATTGCAACCAACACTTACAGTCCGCCCAAATTACCACAAAAGGTCAAAATACACAAAAATAGCCTTTACTGTGTCAGACACACTGTAGAAATTTGGTGATAGATACATGTACTGCAAAATCAGTCATTAATTGCCAATAACATGTAAACTATTAATTGAATCTTGAATCTTTTAACTTTCTTTAAATCTTAATTTTAAAGTTAATTTTTTTCAAGTTTGATTTTCTTGAAATATTTTGGCTCAACTGGTGGCATGCAGCTTTAAATGTACTTGCTTTTTTTAATACCATGGAAAGTGACAAAGTTTGCTGCCTTAGTTCAATCTTTAAAGAGTGGAACATCTTCAGGAGCTAGTTTACACAGGCTTGAGCTGCTGTATGTTTACACTGGCTTGAGCTGCCGTATGTATACACAGGCTTGAGCAGCCGTATGTATACACTAGCTTGAGCTGCCGTATGTATACACTGGCTTGAGCTGCCGTATGTATACATTGGCTTGAGCTGCTGTATGTATACACTGGCTTGAGCTGCCGTATGTATACACAGGCTTGAGCTGCTGTATGTATACACAGGCTTGAGCTGCCGTATGTATACACAGGCTTGAGCTGCTGTATGTATACACTGGCTTGAGCTGCCGTATGTATACACTGGCTTGAGCTGTCATATGTATACACTGGCTTTAGCTGCCGTATGTATACACTGGCTTGAGCTGCCGTATGTATACACAGGCTTGAGCTGCCGTATGTATACACTGGCTTGAGCTGCCGTATGCATACACTGGCTTGAGCTGCCGTATGCATACACTGGCTTGAGCTGCCGTATGCATACACTGGCTTGAGCTGCCGTATGCATACGCTGGCTTTAGCTGCCGTATGCATACACTGGCTTGAGCTGCAATATACATACACTGGCTTGAGATGCTTTATGTATACACTGGCTTGAGCAGCCAAATGTATACTTAAAATGATTATGTTCAATACAATAATGTAATGACTCTAAAATTTGTTTACAGGAACCTTTTTGAGAAGCCAACACCCATTCAGGCACAGGCAATACCTGCAGTAATGTCAGGCAGGGATCTGATTGGTATAGCCAAGACTGGAAGTGGTAAAACACTGGCGTTTTTACTACCAATGTTTAGACATATACTGGATCAACCAGAGCTAGATGATGAAGATGGACCTATAGGTTTGTCATTTCTTTTCTTATTCAGCGATGAAACCCACATGTACTGATTTTATTGAAATACGTTTGTCACAAATCAAGTGTACACATAACGAGTATGCCTGTTGTGTTACAGACAATGTATCCTAAGTTCTATTTGTATGTGTGGATTTTATGTTCCGTGGAACATTTCGGTGGAGTGCATAGTTACTGGTTTGTTCTTCCTTTCATCCTTACTGCTTGTTCTTCTGTTTCTTTTCCTGTTTCCAGTTACACCTGCATTTATAGACTGTTGTCATATATATTTGATGTGGTGGTATCTACCATGGTACTTTGTTTCAGGTCAATTTGGCTAAAAATAGATTTTCCAACTTTTCTTGTTATAGTTGGCCCATGTTTTTAACTGTGACAAAACAGTGTTGGGAAGAATTTATAGGTGTATCTTATATCCTTGTTGTTGTGAATGTTGGTTGGTTGGTTGGTCAGATTGGTTGGTTTTAGGAGTGATAATGATAATTATCATTGACCTTTAGCAAGTTGTAGGGAGTGTTCATTATCTTTATCCATTTATTAAATAGGAAATATCTACCTTTAACCTGGTGGGGGGGGGGATCCATACTGTAAGGAAGGATAGTGGTTCTACACAATAATGTCTAATAGATAAATAATATGCATATATGACCACCGAGGGTCTTTACAACCAGAAAATTTTAAAAAGTCAGCGACAATTAATGCGTTTGTGTGACTCAAAATGTAGCAAAACAAACATAGATGTTTTGGGGATTACATTCTTGTTATCTATCTATCGTAGATAATTATGGAAATTATATTGTGGTTGAATATCAAACTGTAAGGAATTGCATGGGGAGTGGCATTCTCATTTACTAACCAATTTTAACATAGGAGTTTAAAAACTCATTGAAATTTTTACTTGAAATTTTACTTGTGAACTGCACATTGGAGAGTACATATTCTTTAAAGAGTTTCTTTTTAAAATTTTGGCCTACACAGTCATACTCAGTGAAAGTCCACCTTTAAAGCGACTCCACTGAGGTATTTTGACATGAAAAGACCAGAAATATTTTTCCGAGACTTGTGTACTCAACTTAATCTAATGTAGGTATGGACAAATAACTTAGTGCAGATTTCAGACCCCTTCTTCACTCTGTTTTCCAAGTTGCGTCAATTTTCACACTAAGCAACCTAAAAATATAGCAATAAAATCAATTTTCAATTTCACGCTTAGTTTATTACATTGTTATCTTTTGCAGATTTTATATTTGTAAGTGCATCACTTGGTCTGTGGAAGAATTTCAAATTTTATGGGATATTTTTTTCGGCTTTTTTATGGAACTCACTGGAGCTCCTTTAAAATGAAGGGTGATACACTCATCTAAAAACATTTTGATGGCATATTCATTGTATATTCCCTGTTATTATGAGAGAAACATCTGCTGTAAACATTATGGAATGAATGCAAGTTGAACATACACTTGGGGAATGGTGTACTCGTTGAATATGTATATCTACCTAATAAATATCAAATATCCTAAAAGGCTGGTAAAATGGGAAAACTTTCCATTATTCATAACAATATAACATTGACATTTGTTTGTTCGCACATGCATTTCAATTAGTTTGTACATGTACTTGCTAAGTTGAAAAGTATTCTCCAATTACTGCTTTGTTTTTTTGTTGTTTTTTATTAAATTGTGAATTCTTTATGCAAATTCATATAAAATGTAATTCTTTCTAAAGTTTGGTCTTTCTTGGTTGTGAAACATTTTTTGGGGATTTGTATAGGATTTTATGATTTTCGTTGGTCAATGCACATTATGTGCAGGTTTCTGACCATTCAAATACCTGATTCAGAAAATTTCTTTATAACCTTGCACCTTGATGTTCTAGATTTTGCACAATATAATATAATTCCTTGCTGCATGTTGACTTAAAGGCCCATTATGCCTCAGAAATCATTTTTATTTCACAAAAACTTCAAATGTTTTGGACTCGATTATTTAATATCTTGTTACAGTTTTACTCATTTGCCATATAGATGAACTATCTTTTGCTTTCTTTGCTCTGTTGGAAATTCATATAATCACAGTGAATTAGTATTTTGTATGGAAGACAAAATACTATGTTTGTTTACATTTTGCTACCTTTACGACACATTACTGTACATTCAATGCTACTTTCTTCAGCAGTTAAACATCTTACATGCTCTAAATCCATTATTAAAACATTATTAAACACATGTTTGACATTTCTAAAGAATTTAAAAAATATGGATTTCTGAGGCATAATGTGCCTTTAATTGAGACTGCTCAGATATAGTGACTGTATATTGAATACATTGTATATATTTTATACATGTTGCATAATTCATAAAATTGTAGTCATTTATCTATATGATCAGTGAAAAAAATTGATATATATATTCATTTTTGATTTTTACCTGAAATTACTGTTGAATATTTAACAGATCTGAATACGAATTAATAATTTTCATTACTAAATAATAACATGATGTAAATAAAATTTTGATTTGATTAACTTTCATATTGAAAGTTAACTGTTTTGTCTAAAATTGTTGTACACATGATGTTTTGCTATTAAATTTTAAAATACTTGTTGGCAAGTTGATCAACTCTCCTTGATTCGCCTGCCAAAGATTACAATGTTTATTTACATGAAAGTTTGGAGAAAGTGGATTACTCTCTCTGATTAAAAGTGTGATAGGTCAAAGTTTACTTGGACAAGTAAAGTGGGACATGGGAGAAATGCATTTGTCTACCATTCCCATACCCCTATATTATATTTTTTTTTCTAAGATAAATAAAAAAAAAGGTCATAGGTCATACATATTCTCTACTGAGTCATGGTCAGTGGTTTAAAAGAATTAATATTTGACTTAAAACTTTAAGATTTCAAAGCATTTTTTATCCAAGTATTTAGAAAGAATATATTAATTGATAAAGGTTTAATGATGGAATAGATTGATGTGTTGCTCTTACTCATAAAATCCAGTGAAAAATATTTCAAAATTAGTTTAAAAACAGAAAACAAATCAGAATGCTCATATTAAAGATTTTATTAACATATTAACTGTTGTCATTTATTTATTTATTTATTTAACCCAGCCATGGAAATAATATTAAAGGACTGTAACTGCCACAAGTATGGAACTGAACTAGTTTGCACATAGCCATTCTCCACAACCCCTAGAAGACCTAGTCTGCAAATCTGTTCAGTTTGACTTGACTTTATTTTGTAACCTGTTCAGTTTTAGTAGTTTTATTCTGAAATTCCTTGAAATACATTAAAATCTGGAAAAAGTGTGATCCCTCGGAAGCTTAAATCACAATAAAATTACACGAAAATTTCAGAGTCTGTACCCTTCAGGTCTGCTGGGGGCAAAAGATTCTACCCATGTGACCATTGCGGACCATGATCAGCCGGCATGTCCGTGCGATCTGATCATGGTCTGCATCGTTCACTATTCAGTCTTTACATAATTTTGAAATTTTCCCTAAAAATGATTTATATAGGCAAGTCCATTTAAGATATTTAGTGTGACAAGTGTGATTAAAAGCAGGAAAAGTCCATTCTACAAATTTTGCAGGGATAAACGATAACATCAATGAGGTATAACTGTATTGCAAAGAATCCTTTAAATATAACATTATGCATTATTTAAAAAAAAACATCATAATACTTGTATAATAAATAATTGTTTGTAATTTACAATTCCAAAGCAAAGTTACATTTACACATACAAGTCATGTAGTTTACTTCGGCACTGTGCACCAATAACACCATATTTTCCATCACGCAATAAAAAAATCTCAGGTTAAATTATGCATCTGTATTTAATAAACAGTCACAACAGTAACAGATTCAACAAATGTGACAGTTTTGATTGGTCGGTTTGCAAGCATGTCATTTCGCGGGTCATTTCGACCAGACTTTAAAACACTTTTTATTCCTCCTGTTAAACTCATGGACCTTGAATCCCTGCGGGCATTATCGTTATGCAGGTGACCGCACACTGGTAGGCAAGTGTTGCACGAATGCATTGTTCTATCATGTTCGTTGGTATTGAAGATTGGCACAACACTAGATGCGTCCGTAGACTCCTGATTTCGTGAGTCATGTGAGAAGAATAAAATCCGAGTATTTTTAATGTGAATGTTATCGCTAGGCTTTGAACTGTTCATACATGCATCACAGTGATGTTGTTCATTATGCAGAGAATTTTCGAGCATGTCCGCAGAACAATTTACCTCTGAGTTCTGGTTTTCGTAAGTTTCGTTACTATCATTCTCGTCTGAGTATTTTGTCGGCATCTCTCCCGATGACAGGGGAACATTCATGCTAGATGAGCAACCCTGAAATACAAAAGTTTTATAAGTCCATCATACTGTACATTTATTATTACTATACAAAGTACAATGTAATTATCTTGTAAATGTAGACATGTCCAGAATAACATTAGCAAAATATGTACTTTAATCATATCTCCTTGATATTGGAAAAAAAAAAATAGGAGCACTTAAATTTAAAAAGTAACATGCAATTGTATGTATTATTTGTACTCACCATCATTTTCTAATTGCCATATAATTAATTTTGTCTTTAAAATGAAATTATGCTTATTTCCAACAAGGATGTTTCCTTATGAATGTTCTTGAAACAAATAATGTGTGCATAAATACAATCTGTTTGGACAGTCACATGGGACCAAGACTGTCCTTGATTTATGAAACCAAACAAGTATTACAAAAATAATAATAATAATAGCCATACTATTCCGATAATAAATTGACCTTATACTCACAAATTTTAGGAATTTGGGATTTTCGGAATAGTTACTGATATTTTCTCTTGTCAGCGTCTTATGTCTGGGGTAATGACGTCAATTTGTTTCACGTGTTTACTTTAGACGTGAGTCAAGTCTGTATTTATCCCTTGTCACTCTTCCTGTGGGGTAGCTTGAGAGGTTTGGGATGATAGCATATCTCTAAGAGTATCATTATAGTGATAGGGGTTTCATTTCGTCTGCCTCTTCTATCTATTCCCTTTAATAACGTGACATTTTGGAGATCTTACTTCCTTATTCAGAGGAAGATTTAAAATTGCTGAAATCATCATGGTGATCTATGGAATAGTTTCTACATTTGCAAAACAATCCTGTGTAGTTTCTAGGTATTACCATTATTTGATGAAAACATTAAGAATTAATATTATGAACAATCCTTGTTTCCTAGATATAACCACTATTATATGAAAACATTAAGAATTAATACTGTAGGCTTTGTGTTATGCAAATACATTATGTAACCAAAAGGTCTGTTTATACTTATTCAGATGTACCTACCAAGGGTCTGTACTTTTGTTCTGTTTTTTTTTTTTAAGTTGAATGGGTCAAGGTCACTTGGGCTAAAAAATGTTGTTGTTGTTTTTCAAAAATCTTTTATTTAATAAATTGAAATATTTGGTTACCATTTCTGGACCTGAACTTGGTGAAGAGAAAATTCAACAACAATAAAACAGTAGGTTTTATGTCCCTGCAATGAATTGGTGGGGAGGGACTGGTAAACTTAATCATTATAAAGGGAAGTGTCATGTGGAAGACCCAGGTCTCAAGCTCGAAAGTCAAGGTCAAAAAAAGTGATTATACATGCATGATGGGATTTCAAAAAATATAAGCACATATGATCACCATAAGTAGACAATGTGACAAGTTGCATGTACACTTCTTTCAAAGGTCTTACTTGGAGGTCATTGGCCAAATTCTTTCTATGGTATCACTTTTGTCATTACTTGATAGATTGTCTTAATATTTGGCACATCTCTTCACAACAGTCAGACAAATTGTGTCACTTGCAAATGAAGAGTTATGTTGACATCTTTAAGGTCAAGGTTATTTTCAAAGATCAAGTCCTGTTTGCCTATACCTACGGTCAATTGGCATATCACAGTCAGACAATGTATCATGCGTAAAACCTATGTATACACTGTCAAGGTCAAGGTTGCACTTGGAGGTCAAAGGTCAACTCATGTTTGTGCACAATCATTTTAGCTTATAACCCACTTTTTTGCCTAGATGTATTGTCAAAACATTAGCAGATGTTTTCGCCAGAGTCAGATGGTATTTTTCGCACAACACCCAAGACAAGGAGGTAAAATTGTCATATGGCAGGGTATCTGTGTCCTGTTGACATATTTCTTGGTGTTTATTTTTCAAAAAAAAATCTTCTTTTATTAACCAATGTCCAAGATATTATTATTATTAATTATTACCTTTTTGTTGGGTTTATCAAATCTATAGGTCAAGGTATCTCAGGGAAGAAATAGACATTGATACATATAATTGCACCCGGGCAACATTTATTGGCCTTAGTCTAAAGGTTATATTTGTTTTACAAAAAAAAAAAAAAAAAAAAAAATATTTTAATGTACTCACCATTTGTTTTCTCTATAATTTCCTACATGAAATATACACTACAAAGGTCGTAGAAACTGTCATGTCATTCCATATATTTAAGTTTAACAAGTATATTCTCAGTTTGCTTGTTTCAAAACCTCATCATTTATTTAGTGTTGTCTTCACTTGCTTTTGTATTATGCACTTCCTGTGTCCGTTTCATGAAATACTATATCCTGTATGCTTAAAACTGCTGAAACACTCTTTTTAATGTTCACTCTTTATTTATTTAAAACTTGTTGTTACTTTTTTCCTAACACTAAAATGTTTATCTGAATATATGTATGTATAGCTCTGATCAACATACACTTTTTAGAAAATCGCTTTGTAAATATGTTCTTTACCAGAAATTAAAAGAAATATGTCCTTCTTTACCAGAAATTAAAAGAATATGTCCAAGAAACGATGAATTCAATTTTCACGCTGTTTCGCATCCAAATATTGGCTGATATGGAATATTTTTCTATCGGATATTAAGTTAATTTGAAAATTTTCTCCACTTTTTTTTCACTATTTCTTATCATAAACAATGATATTTCAAATCCAATCTTAAATTGTTGTTGTTGTTGTTATTATTTTTCCTTCAAACCCAAATAAATTCTATAAAAAAATCAAAACAGATTATGATAATAAACAGTTATTTCCTTGTACTTTCTGAACTCTAGTATTAATCTGTTTAAAAGATTGAATTAATTTTACAAACTTGCCTTTGATATAAACATTATATTATTTGCCTTAAAATTTTACGGGGGGTCATTCGGTCACTGTATTTTTAAATGCACAATAAAGAGGAAATATATATTACAGTATATCTAATTATAGAATAATAACGGCTTATTCTCTGCAGGCGCAAAATATTAAATTAATTACTTTTTATCTGTCTATTCATACTACAACACTCCTCTTTTAAGAGTATTAAATGCATTTGCATGCCTATACAAGAAATAATTAACAACTGCATTAAGATTACAAGTTATATTATAATAATAATTATTTGATGTAAATTTTGTCATTTTGTTCACATTTTCAGATGTAGACTAGTAGATCTAAAATCAAAGTTTCTGCAAATTTTTAAAACATTTTAAATATAAAATAAATCCATGGAAATATTCCAGATATATCATGAACGTGTCTTACGTAAAAAAAAAAAACAATCCAAAAATAATCGTCAAATATTTTTTTTTTTCTTCCTCAAATGCTATCTCATGCTATGTAAAGACTCCACTAATATACTTGCGTTGAATTAGTTTGAATTCATTCACTTAGGTGATTACACGTCCACGCCAGGCATTCCAATTTCGGTCGTAATCATTACGATAAAAGATCCATTTCATTACTTAATTATCTCAACTATCCAAGTGAACACTTTCGTTCGGAGATATTTTATGTCCACAACAAGTTGTAATATTGGTCAATCTTTCCTTAATCTCCGAGATTGGTGAAATTGTCGAGTCTCAACATTTGTTTGTGACATGAAATAAACACAGTGCATCTTTCTTGTTCCTTTTTGAAATGTTTGAAATAAACATTGTTTTCAAAGTACAAATTGAAACTAAGGTTTGTAAATATTTTTTTTTAAAAAGTCACTTTTGCACTAAATTTAAGGTCTTAAAAGCACAAAATTTTAGGTCTTAAATTTCATCATCGGTAGGTGTATAATTTTATTTTGTATACATTACGCATTCGACAAGTGGAAGTGTTATATAGACTTATAACAATTTGTTTAATCCGTTATTTAAAAGAGTTTAAAGTACTTTTATAATCCAATAAGATATTTTTAGTGTTAATACTATCCTATCTTAATCTGTATTGGGAGAGGGGGGTTTATTCTTTTTTCCCATTGAACGAATAATGACATCTTTAAACCTATCCCAACTTGGTTTGGGAAAACCGGGTTTGAAACCCAGGGGCAGTAAACAAACCCAAAAATTCCTTTTTTTTGCAAATCCCGGGATAGCAAACCCTTAAACTTCTAATAAAACTTTTCCCAAAATTTAAAAAGGGCAGCATAAGTTCATTATAAAAAAATCAGAAAAGTTGGGGTTTGAAATTTTAAAGTTTTTAAAATTTGTTACATTTTTATTCAAATGTTGATCTTTTGATCTTTGAAAATAATTGATCTCTTTTTCATCAAAAAGAGGCCTCGGGAAATAAAAACAAATGCTTGATTAAAATTTATTTACAAATTTTTTTTTCTTTCATTCTGGTGAAAAGCTTTTTTAAAAAAACATCAATATTTAATGTTTTTCCCTAGTCAGTAGTTTAAATTAATCTGAAATTCCCATAATTGAAAGTTTTTTTGAAAATTTTTTAAAATAAAAAAATTAATATAAACAGGGGTAGGTTTAGAATAGTTTAAAAATAAAAATTTTATTGTTTGAATTTTAAAATTCCAAAATCCCAAACTCCGCAATTTTCCCGTTGTTTGTTTTTTAAAAACACCTTAAAAATAGAATAAAAACCCATTTTTTTGTAAATTTTCTAAATTTTCCAATAGTGATCTTATGAAATAAGTTTTTTGCAAAAATGTGGGTCCATTTTTCCGGTTAAAAGGCAAAAAAAAGCACTTTCCAAGTCACATATTATCCGAACATGTCCCCAGTCCAACGCCATTTAAGGGGAAAAATTTTTGAAGCCTAAAGGGGGTGTAATATACCCCCAAAAGAAATAAGCCCAAATTTTTAAATTAAAAATTTAGTCCACTGTTCAGTGGTCATTGGGCATGCACCTAAATGTACAGAACCAATGACAATAATGAAGAAGGTAACCCCTGAAAAGGTTTGTTTGTGCCAGCTCACAAACTCTAGTATCCTTCCTCATTGTCTCTACCATATTTATTTGCCACTTACTCTCTGACCGACAATTTAATGTCTACCTTCCTTTTCCACCCCAAACTACCAATTTATTGGCGCATTTCCCGCTACCACAATTTAATGCCATATTCCCTTCTACGCACATTTTAAATGGCAATTTCCCTCTATCACATTTAATGGCCATTTCCCTCTACCAAATTTAATGGCAATTTCCAACTACTACATTTAATGGTCATTTCCCTCAACGGCATTTAATGGCCATTTCCCTCTACCACATTTAATGGCCATTTCCCTCTACCACATTTAGTGGCCATTCCCTCTACCACATTTAATGGCCATTTCCCTCTACCACATTTAATGGCCATTTTCTCTCCACCGCATTTAATGGCAATTTCCCTCTACAGCATTTAATGGCCATTTCCCTCTACCACATTAATGGCCATTTCCCTCAACCCGCATTTAATGGCAATTTCCCTCTACCACATATTAATGGCCATTTCCTCTACCACATTTAGTGGCCATTTTCTCTACCATATTTAATGGCCACTTTCCCTCACCACATTTAATGGCCATTTCCCTCTACCACATTTAATGGCCATTTCCCTCTGCCACATTTAATAGCCATTTCCCTCTACCACATTTAATGGCCATTTCCCTCTACCACATTAAATGGCCACTGTCCTCTTCCACATTTAATGACCACTTCCCTCTACCACATTTAATGGCCATTTCCCTCTACCACATTTAATGGCCACTTCCCTCTTCCACATTTAAAAACCATTTTCCCCTCCCCACTTTTTTAAATTGGAAATTTCCCCTCTACTTCTTTTTAAGGGCCATTCCTTTTTTTATTCAGGATTCATCAGCAGCTTACTTTTTACAGACTATTGTTCCACACTAAGTGTAACCCTGTGCTGTAAAAAAATATGTAAAACTCTCCCTGCCTATACCTTTCCCAAATGTTATAAAAGGGAAGAGAAAAAATTGTTGTCTTTCCCAGGGGTTGTAATTTTTACCCCCTAAATGAAAAATAAATGCAAAAATTAAATTAAAAAACCTGAAATTTTCCTAAAATATTTTTTCCCCTTTAAGAATGTTTTTTTTAAAACAAGTGGGCTTTAAATTTTTCAAATTAAATTTTTTTTATAAACAAAAACCACTTGCCCAGGAGCTATTTACCCCTTTTAAAGAAAAAAATTAAAATTTCACTTGGGCGTAAAAAAAAAAATTTTAAAATGAGTCATTCGCCAGGGGGCCCCTTATATGTTTTTTAAATTAAAACTTTTTAAATTTAAAATTTTTAAATTTAGTCTCTTTTAAATTTTTCCCTCTATTAAGATCTATAGATACTTTAAATTTTAATGTGTTCTTTTAATTTTCGAAAATTCATGGACTGGTTTTAAAGCAAAGATGAAAAATCATGCTTTTTAGTGCTTTTCTTATCCATTAGCCCACTGTCAGAGACTTTACCCATGCAACCTGAGTGTGGTCTGATCATGGTCTGCACTATCTTCTTGATTATAGTCAGTACTTAGATGGACATTTCAGATATTAAGCAGTATATGAGTTAACCATATTACATTTGAGCCGCGTCACAACAAAACCAACGTTTGCGACCAGCATGGATCCAGACCAGCCTGCGCATTCGTGCAGTTTGATTAGGATCCATGCTGTTTGCTTACAAACCCTATTACAAGTAGAGAAACTGATAGCGAACAGCATGGATCCTGATCAGACTGCGCGGATGCGCAGGCTGGTCTGGATCCATGCTGGTCGCAAACGCACTATGTTGGTTTTGTCGTGACGCGGCTCATTTGTTCCTCTTATCCACAAGCTGGATAATTATTAGCACTGCTAGGTCAATAAACTATGGCAAGCCAAGGTTAAAAGAATATGCCAGGCCACTCCCACTTTTGAATAATTAAATAACTTGACAGGAAATGATACAGGATATAAATACAATCTGTATGAAAACAATGTATTGATTTTTAAAAAGAGATTAATGAAATATTGTTTGAAAGTCTATTTTTAAAGAAGCTCCATTGAGGTCAAAAAGCAAAAAAAAAAAAATTAAATAACCCATAAAATTTGAAAATCTTTCATAGGTCAAGTGAAGCACTTAAAATAGAAAAATCTGCAAAGGATAATATTAAAGAATTATAAAATCAGTATTAGATTGAATGTAATTTTTTTGTGCAATTCTTAGCCAGATTTGAGTGAAAAGCGTTGCAAAGTTTTTCTTTTTTTTGTAAGATTTTTTGCAAAAAAAAATGATTAAATTTAGTTAAAAAGGAAAGGAGTAAGATCTTAAAAATTTGGGGCACAAGTTTTTAGCCCCGAAAATCATCAAAAGGTAAACAAGTTCGGAAAAAAATTTTCCGTTCCCCCCTTAAATTTAAATTTTTCTAAAACCTAATGGAATTTTGTTTAAAAACGCAAAACAAATTGAATGGTTTTTAAATTTAAAATTTTTTTTTTACACGTGTTAATATAACTTTTTTTTTTTTTATATTGCCACTGAAAAAAATAAAGGGTGGGTTCCCCTTCAGAAGAGTTTTTATTCTAAAGAGCATTACATTTTTAATTTCGTTGTAAGTACTTTAAAATTCCCCTATTCCAAAAAATTGGGCCCTAAGGGGTTTTTTAAAATTTTTGATAATTAATTAAAACCCAAAGGGAAGTATCCCTTCAGAAAATTTTAAAATAGGGGTTTTTTTTTGGTATGAGGGGTTATCTTAGCAACTGCTGAAATTTTATTAAAAGTTTTTCGCTAAAAATTTTTCTAAAAAATGAATTTTAAAAAAATTCTTTTTTAAGAGTTTTAAATTTTAATTTTTTTGAAGACAGTTCATAGTTAAATGCTTACACCCATCTTTGGTTTTTTTTTCCTGGTATTTTAAATTAAAAATTTTTAAAAACCAAAATTTAAATTTTTTATTTTTTTGTTATCTTTATGTTTTTTCAGGGGGAAATTTTTTAAAACCCAAAAAGAGAAATTTTTCCCAAGGGAGATAAAAACAGATGCCCAAAAATTTTACGAAAAACCCCTGGGTATTTTATGTCGTGTTGGGGATCGGAATAAAGGGGGTCTTTGGAAAAAGATCGCAGAAATTTAAAAAAAGGCTGCGAGGTGATTGTGTGTACACCAGGCAGAATGATTGATATGTTAGCAGCAAATAATGGTAAAACATTGTTTAATAAGATATTTATTTATTCAAAAAGAGTGCACAAACCAGTCTCTCTTTGTTTTTTTCCTACCTCTTTTATTGTCAAAAATGCATAATTATTTGCCTATGGCATTAGTTTAGAGCCAAGCCTTCCTGTAAAAATTATAATCATGATCATCTGATTATGCTGTATACTGTTACAATTTTGATAAAGAAAACCCATTAAACCACTAATGGACTATTCCAAAGCTAAACAGGGCATAACCATTAAAAAATTTCAGGAGGGAAAAGGTTAATGGGCTTTTGCATTTTAAGACATTAAGAGTTTTCTCCCTTGAACCATTGCACAGTGAATGGATTATAAATACCAAATGAATTCACAGGGCTTTGATTTATCTCCGTTCTTAATGCCTGAAATATTGAGCAGACGGGACATCCTTCTCTGTACTGGTGTAACTTCACTCCTAACCCCCTACAAAATATCATACAGCTTTATTATCATAACTGTGGTTTTCACTTTTTGGAAATTTTCTTGAAACTTTTACTAAAAAATTTTCCCCTTTATTGACAAGGGTTTTGTTAATTTCATGAATAAAAAAATTTTTTTAAAAAAGAAAGTTTTTAAAAAGGTGGCACCCCGCTTAATATTATTATATTTGGTATAAAAACGACAAGGCGCTGGATTGATTATATGCTAAAAACTTGCCTTTTCTCTCGCTGAAAGGCACATCTAATTCATCTCTTCACATCGATATACGATAATGAAAGAAAAATGTAAAAATCAACAACAACAAAAAAAGGGTTATTTTTATTACTTTCTGATCATGACTACTGCAAGCATTTAGAGGTACTGCTCCAACACTGTAGTGAGTGAAATCTATTTAAAATGATGAGACTCAGAACAAGTAAGCTATAAAGAACTATAATTTACTGAAAGTGTTTTAACAATTCTTAACAATTCTGTCCAAAGCTATCCGATCTTTAGAAAACTGTATACGAATTTGGCCTAGACATTTTAATTATTGGGCAAAAATAAAAGTTGCATTTCAAAACTCACCATATATGTTTTCATATTCATCTAATTGTGTTGTTTTATTTATTTCAGGAAGGGTAACAAATTTACGAAGATGTACTTATGTGGTACTAGATGAGGCCGACAGAATGTTTGATATGGGATTTGAACCTCAGGTATTAAATCATACCTTTTTATTTAGAGGTGTGCAGTTAAAAAGTAGTTGACTGTCTTCTAACACTGTAGTTATGTTGTCTGATTCAATGGAAATGTCAGAAAGTTACTATTATCACCCAGTTATTAGAATTGAAACATTGTCAAGAGTTAAAGGAATAGGAATGGATGGATTGATGTCTGTCTAATATAAATATTCATCATTTAAAAAGAGGTACCATGACAGTTTTTCTGTTGACATCAACCCTATAAGTTGAGAAATTCGTGGTTTTTAAGACACTATTTTTTACTTGAGAAATAAGTTCATGGGCGCCGCCATTTTGGCGTTCTGTCATTCTCGCGAGACAGACGAGACCGAGATTGTGACGTGTTATACCCACTTCCGGTAAAGGTGTACACGCTGGTACAACTGAAATATATCTTGATGAAGAACTTAATTAATCTTATTGCGTACATTATTTATTATTTATGAAAACATCATATGGAACTGAATTGCTTTAATTAAATTAATTGAAGACGCCGCGGCATTAATTATCATTCGTCGATTTTCAAGCTTGCTGATGATCCCACCACAATGATTTAAGCAATGACTGCTTAGTTTTCAAAGATTTAAACCATCAATTTAATTTGGGTACTTTGAGAAACTTTCTTCAAATTGACGATATATCCTTTTATTTTGTACTTAATTTTCGCTAGACAAGCTGTCCGAATAGGGTACATCGCCGGTCATGTATCTTTTTCTCAGCGTAAGATATCAACTAAATCCAATATGCAGAGATCTGCTGAGGACGCGATTTTCCGACATTGACGCTAAAAATAAAATGGCGCAGGAAAATTGGCAGCTAGACTAATATCGAATGAAAACAAAACTGTCCGTTCGGTTATTTAGGTACCCAGTCAAAACTGGTACCAACAGCAACAGGTTGCCCATTGCCATTCCCCTATAATTACGCATATTCTCGGTTTATCCAGTTCCCTATAGCTTTTTTCCATGTTATCTACTTACCCAATCCCTTTCCACACAGATATGCATTTCTACTACCGTAAATTTAATCCAATAAAACAAAAAATCATAAATCTACTTAATATTTAAAATGATTATTGGTAACTGAAAAAAAAATGTGTTGCTATTTTATGAAATGCTGTAATTTACAGTATAACTTGACAGGTGCGGAACTTAATTTCCCTTAAGGTCATTCAGTTCACTGATGAAGCGTAAAAAAATAGATGTCTATTTCGTCATTAGAATATTTGACAAGGGTGATTAACCAATCAGGGCAACATTGTGCATGATCAAAAGGTCCGTCGGCACAGAGGCATACAAGGAGCAATAAAAATCGTCAGTACACAGTGTGACAGGAACATTTGGTGCAAATTAGGAGCAATTAAATGGATAATGCACAGTATTAGACATAAGTAGTAAGAACCAGCAATTGTGTGAATAAATTATGCAAATGAGATTTTTGAGCAGCCAATAAAAATGTTTGCCTGCAGTTAATTTTAGGCTACGATTACGATGTAAATAAATACCACGCAGCATCATACGTTGACAGACATGTTAACAATTTACTTTTCAAAAGAGTTGCTTACATTTTTGAAATGTGTACATCACTACTAACATATGTTCACACCTTTTAATTTGAAAGTCAGAATCAAACTGCAAAAAATTTAATTACATGTACTATTAAGAACACGTTTAAGTAGGACTTTTATAAAAATGATAATTATCGCCGTTCAATAATTAACAGCCAATTATTCGTTGGTGCGTTTGTTTATTCAATTGCATTATTTGATTGTGAAACTTTGTTAAATAATAACATGTGTATTTATTAACTCTGTGAAATATTGTTTAATTACATTAAGATGAGACTTTAATGAACATAGCATTGTTTGGAGTAACGGGCATCACTGGCCTGAAGTGGTGCGACCGGTAGACGTTGATTTTTTATTTGTTTCTTTATTTTTTATTATTTTTTTTGGATATTGTTACGTATTTTGAACCATAAAAATCTCCTCTGCACCTCCTGTGAAAATTAAATTGTCTGGTCAATACTTTATTATATAAATATTTCGCTACGATTCAACTAGATTTATCATAAATCTAAAGATGGGGAAATGACATCACGCGCACCTGTTTTTATACGGCCAATACACAAACATGGCCGCGCCTACTGATTTGTAGAAATCGGTGATTTAGCGATTTAAATTTCGTTATCATTCGTTTAATATTATTATTTGGCGGCAGAAAATTTGCAGATTTATTATTTATAGTATTCTTTTTCTGAAATCAAGTTTTTATTCTAACCTTGTCTTTCCCTTTAAGTAATCATAATGTTAAAATATCAGGATAACCATAGCTGTAGTTTTGCTTATAAAATTTTGAATCAGATTTTTATTTGTATTAAAGTGACATTATGCTTCAAATTTCATTTAAAGTTGAGCTGAATTGGTTATATGTTTCAAAAGATTGGATGTTATAATAATTATTGACCAATAATTGATAAATGACAAATTATTAGGATATGAATTAAAAAATGCCTAAAATATAAAAAAGACTGATCCACTCTTTTTACTGATAAATTATAAAGGATATACCATGTATATAGAAATTTCTGCAAGTTATGTGAGATATTGATTATTTTTTTATAGCAGAATATTATATTGAAAACAGTGATAGCAAAATTAAAGAAATTAAAAAGTTATTTTGACATTTCCGTATATACACCCACTATTTGATACTAGATGGGTATAAAATCACTTAAAATAATGAACTTAAAATAAAGACTATTGCATTATTATTACAGGTAAATCGTATAATAGACAACATACGACCCGACCGTCAGACAGTCATGTTTTCAGCCACTTTCCCGAGACAGATGGAAGCCTTGGCGAGAAAAATATTAACCAAACCTATAGAAATACAAGTAGGTGGGAGGAGTGTGGTGTGCAAAGATGTTGAGCAACATGTGGTAAGTTTTAGTCATACCAACAACTTTGGTATGAATTAGGAAATAGATATCAATTCTGAGTGCATTGTTGTAGAATAATGCACGGTTTGAGTTCAAATGGGTAGTAATATAAGCACGAAGGCTGAAGGTCCTGAGTGATTAATTACAAAGCATTTGAACGAAAAACGTGCATTATTATACAATAATGCACGAAGAATTAATATCTATTTCCATTCTAACACGTTAAGAAAAAATATAATTATTATCATAAAGTTGGACTTTATGTTTGGTGGTTTAATTTGATTTCGCCTCAGAGTTTCCAACAGAAACGTTCCTTAAAGGCTGTTTTAGTGGGTTGAAAAAAATATGTCGTTTAATCTACCGTGTGTAGAAACATTTTGAGGATAACGAATTTTGAAAACGTTGATAAAACTGTGTTTGTTTATATTATTTCACTCTATAATTTTTCAAGCGAATTACAAATTATTAAAAGTGAAATAAATGTAAAAGATAACTCGTTTGCGACATTAAAATAGCGTACTTGATTTGCACGTGCTGTTAGGCGCTATATTATGACATCACGTACACAACACTTTAAACGTCTGTAGAGCGTTAACGACTGAATTAAAGATATTGTTGTTGGATTCATTTTCTTAGTTAGACTATTTTCTTTCATTATAGATAGTTTTCACAACAATGTTCGAAAAAAAATTGTTTTTAATTCATCAGATTTTTCAAACAAAATGGCGCCCTCAATGTGAAAATACACAGGGAGATAATAAGAACGGCGAGTGCATTGTTGTAGAATAATGCACGCTTCAAGCTTTCTTTGTTTATATAGAAAAAATGCTGATAGTGTTAGAATGATAATTAGATGATTTATTGCTACTGTTTTTCAGACTGCTTGATTGATTTTCACTAGACTGTAAAATGACTTGGTATTCTTTATAAAACCATAACCTGCTGAAATATAAGTCATGGATTTGTCCAACTTTTAAACTTGGAACAACCCCTTGTGGCTAAGGGGTGCCTGTAATAGTTGAGGCATAAGAATTGCAGCCACTGTTTATCCCTGCATGCTGGTATAACTTGAGTCTATGCACCTTTTAGCTCCAGCAGTTGAAATGGTTTTGAGACCTTGGGTTGCTTTGAAATTTGAAACCAAGGGTTTTTCCCCAAGTCATCTTTCTGTTTCGTGCCAAAATGAAATTTACTGGTTAGTGCACATAAAACCCAACCCAAAAAAAGAGGGCAAAAAAATTAGATTAGTCCCCTTTAAAGTTTTGGGGAAAGGGTTTCAAAAAAAAATTCAAAAAGAGTTGGGCAGCAGGTTTTTTGAGTAAATGCAGGTGGGGCCCGGCTCTTTCTGGGGTGATTTAAAAATAAATTTAAAGTTTGTTTCCAAACAAGGGAAACATTTGGAAATGAAAAAACTTTTTCCATATTTTTGAAACCAAAAATTTTGGGTTGGAAAAATTTTGATTGTGAGAAAATGTTCCCCCGCCCCAAATAATATTTAAACAAATTTTGAGACTAAACCCCGTATAATTTTATTTTTAGAAATATGGCCCATGACCAAAAAGGGTTTTAAAAACCCAAAAACTTTATGTGGATTTTTTGACAATTCAAGCATTAAGTCACTTACCTTAATATACAAAAAACACAAAAATTTGCTGTCTTACCAATACTTTTTAACATGTTTCAGGCAATTCTTGAAGAAGATCAGAAATTTTTTAAGTTATTAGAGTTACTAGGTCAGTACCAGGAGGATGGTGGGGTAATTGTGTTTGTAGACAAACAAGAGCATGCCGATGATCTGATGAAGGACCTAATGAAACACTCTTATCCCTGTATGTCACTACACGGTGGTATAGACCAATATGATCGAGGGAGTATCATCAACGATTTCAAAAATGGAGATATCAAACTATTGGTATGAAATGATTATTATACCCCCAAAAACGAAGTTTGGGGGGGTATATAGGAGTCACCCGGTGGTCGGTCGGTTGGTCGGTCGGTCGGTCCAGCGGTCCGTTGCATTTTCCTTGTCCGGAGCATAACTTGAAGACTAATGGTTGGAATTCAATATAACTTCATACAATGGTCAAGCACATTGAGAGGAAGTGCAGTGCACAAGAACCATAACTCCATCTTGACTAATTACAGAGTTATTGCCCTTTGTTACTTTTCCTTGTCCGGAGCATAACTTGAAAACTACTGGTTGAAACTCGAAACAACTTCATACAATTGTCAAGCACAATAAGGGGAAGTGCAGTGCACAAGAACCATAACTCTATCTAAGGTAATTACAGTAAACTCCGCTTATAACGATATTCAGGGGACATACAAAACTATATCGATATATCCGAATATCGTTACAACCGAATTTCTGTACGGTGTGTAGCTTACTGACGATGCACTGCATCGTTCAACATGTATAAGCTGTATGGCTTTTAGAATGTTAATCTGTTTATCGATATGTTTGTCTAGACATGAAATAATATGGTCAAGGACACGTGACCTGTAATGCCTTTTGAATGAAAAGATAATCCCTTGATCACAGGGCTGTAACTTAGATGTAGTGTTAGGTGGGAAAAACAACAGTTTTACAGCTTTTAATCCCTCGATTTTCGGATGGGCCGGGCAATTATCAACAACAATAGAATAGATCTTTTCTCACGTGTCATACGTTTGTCAAGTTTTTTCACCCAACTGATAAATATTTCTGAGTTCATCCAAGCATGTATAACTTATTTACAACGAAAATTGTTATTGAAAGGAAACAATAAAAGGACAAAACCATGCTTTTATTTTTTGAGATGAATTCACCTGTATTGAGAACAAAACGGTAGTTACGTACGCACAGAACATGTTCCGCGTCATTGTATTTAATCGAGCAGATATTTATGCATTAAAACAAGCGGACCGAGACCGCTCTTCCACAACAAACTTGTGCAGCAAATTATCGTTTTAAGAGGTAATATATGTGCGTTGGGGTTGAAAATCCACATCGATATATCCGAAATATCGATACATGCGATATCGATATATGCGAGGATGCTTCCGTTAGGTTATAATGGAAGTTGGCAGGGACCAAGACAAACGTATCGATATAACCGATATATCATTACAAGCGATATCGATACAGTTGGAGTTTACTGTACAGAGTTATTGCCCTTTGTTGTTTTTCCATTGCTTTCTTTTGTCCGGACTATAACTTGAAGACTAATTGTTGGAATTCAATATAACTTCATACAATGGTCAAACACATTGAGAGGAAGTGCAGTGCATAAGAACCATAACTCTATTTTGACTAATTACAGAGTTACTGCCCTTTGTTACATTTCCTTGTCCAGAGCATAACTTGATAACTACTGGTTGGAATTCAAAACAACTTCATACAATGGCCAAGCACAATAAGGGGAAGTGCCATGCACAAGAACCATAACTCCATTTTGACTAATTACAGAGTTATTGCCCTTTGTTACTTTTCCTTGTCAGGAGCATAACTTGAAAACTACTGGTTGAAACTTGAAAACTACTGGTTGAAACTCGAAACAACTTCATACAATTGTCAAGCACAATAAGGGGAAGTGCAGTGCACAAGAACCATAACTCTATCTAAAGTAACTACAGAGTTATTGCCCTTTGTTATTTTTCCATTGCTTTCTTTTGTCCGAACTATAACTTGAAGACTTTAAAAGTTTGAATTCAATATAACTTCATACAATGGTCAAGCACATTGAGAGGAAGTGCAGTGCACAAGAACCATAACTCCATCTTGACTAATTACAGAGTTATTGCCCTTTGTTACATTTCCTTGTCCAGAGCATAACTTGAAAACTATTGTTTGTAATTCAATACAACTTCATTCAGTTGTCAAGGACATTAAAAGGAAGTGCATTGCACAAGAACCATAACTCCATTTTGACAAAATACAGAGTTACTGCCCTTTGATACTTTTCCTTGTCCGGAGCATAACTTAAAATGTACTGGTTGGAATTCAAAACAACTTCATACAATGGTCAAGCACAATAAGAGGAAGTGCAGTGCATAAGAACTATAACTCCATCTTCAGTATTTATAGAGTTATTGCCCTTTGTTCCTTTTCCTTGTCTTTCTGGACTTATTACAGAGTAATTCAATATAACTTCATCAATGGCCAACCACATTGAAAGGAAATGCAACATACAAGAACCACAACTATCTTTAATTGCCCACAACCATAACTCTATATTTCAATTCTTTTACAAGGTATTCTGTTACTAGTAACATCCTCTTTTCCGAAGTAGTCTTGTGGGGGTATTAATCACATTTAGTGATAGTTCTAGTTTCATTTTTATGTTTTCATAAAACTCCATCAATGTTGTTGTTGTGGTTGTTGTTGTTGTAAGAATGTTTTATTATTAATCATTAATCATTTGCCATTGTGCTATGAATAATCATTTCAAGAAGGACCCTTCATGGCGAGTGTTTAAGGTAGCTGACTTCAAATCACTTGCTCTTCACTGCTGTCGATCTTTGGATTCTTTTATGTGAGGAAATTATCCAGCTACATATAGCTTGGAAGGTTGGTGGTTCTACTCAGCTGCACAGCTGCATCCGCGCAGTCTGATCAGGATCCATGCTGTTCGCTATCAGTTTCTCTACTTGTAATAGAGTTGGTAAGCGAACAGCATTGATCCTGATCAGACTGTGCAGATGCGCAGGCTGGTCTGGATCCATGCTGGTCGCAAACGCACTATGTTGGTTTTGTCATGACGCGGCTCAATTATTATCAAATCATTTCAAGAAGTGGAACTGATTATGGTAAAGGTGAAAATTGATTGGTAACTATAAATGGGAAAAAAAATCATAGCAATTTAGCTATTAAATAGTAGATAAATAGGTAAATGGTACTATTGGCAATAAATAGATGATAGGATTTGAACCAAACTTTTAATGATAAATATTTAAATTTTTCTTTTTTTATGTAAGAAAATTTTGAAGAAGTAAATAATTCTTTCTTTCTTAAGAAATTTTGTAGAAGTATTTAAACTTGAACAAGTATTAGAGAATAAAGATTCAGTTTGAACCATCCTTTTCTTGAAAGATTCTCATTATATACATGTTTGATTGTAACTTCATTTGAGCCGCGTCACGACAAAACCAACATAGTGCGTTTGCGACCAGCATGGATCCAGACCAGCCAGCACATCCACCCAGTCTGATCAGGATCCATGTTGTTCGCTGTCAGTTTCTCTACTTGTAAGCGAACAGCATGGATCCTGATCAGACTGCGCGGAATGCACAGGCTGGTCTGGATCCATGCTGGTCGCAAACCCATTATGTTGGTTTTGTCATGGCACGGCTCATTTCATCTACTGTTTATTGAATTGATTGGTTGTTTATAAACTTTCAGATAGCCACTTCTATAGCAGCTAGAGGTTTGGATGTTAAACATTTGATGCTTGTTGTAAACTATGATTGTCCTAACCACTATGAAGACTATGTTCACAGATGTGGGTACGTAAATGTTTTACTTTTTACTTTATTACTCAATACGCCCTGCTAAATTTGTATGATGTTTTTCTTTGAATCTTTGAATCTTGGGCAGTCTACCTTTTGTGATATTATAACAAAGTTTGCATTTTTGAGAGAAAAAGAACTCTGTTTTGTTGGTGGTTTTTTTTTTTTTTGGGGGGGGGGGGGGGGTCTGTATTTGTCAATTTTTACAAAACTTTCAAGTATTATTAAGGTTATTTACAAAACTTTCAAGTATTATTAAGGTATTTCTTAGTGTTCTGTATTTATATGGTATACTGGATATAACAGCATTTATTAGTAAACAAACAAAAAAACAAAAAAAACATAAATCATTGAAATTTCATATTCTTTTACAATTCAAAGAATGGAAAAATGAAAAAATATTTACAAACTGTTACATAAATACATTAGCATTTATCTTTTACCAAAAATATTTCTCAAGTATTTCGAAAATATTTATTACATTATATATGTTTATTATTTTAGACGGACAGGGAGAGCCGGAAACAAGGGAACAGCATTTACATTTATCACACCAGAACAAGTCCGGCATGCTGGTGACATTATCAAAGCTTTGGAATTATCAGAAGCTCCTATACCTGACAATCTGAAGAACTGGTGGGAATCTTACAAGAAACAAGCTGAGGCTGTATGTTTTAGATTTTTCTTCCATGGTTTTTTTTCTGGCATGGTTACATAACCTTTTACTATCTCATTAACAGTAGATAAAAAAAAAACTAAAACATTATTTTCATCAAAAAATTATCAAAATGCATATTATCAATAATGAGTTATCTATTTTGATGAAATTAAGTTCTGTCTGACATTGAAACAATTTAGGTTTTTCTTATTATGGAATTTTGATTAATTCTGATAATGATAGTGCTTTGTGTGGTGCACATAAACATTCATGAAAAATATCAATTTATTTTCTCATACAGTTCTATACATTGATTTTTAGCTCACCTGTCACGAAGTGACAAGGGGAGCTGTTGTGATGGCTTTTCATCCGGCATCTGTCCATCCGTCCGGCATCAGTTAACTTTACTTTCAACAACATCTCCTCATTAACCACTGAGCCATTTTCATCCAAAATTCACAGGAATGTTCCTTTGTTGGTCACCTATGAAAATTGTTCAAAGAATTTAATTCTTTGCAGAACTCTGGTTGCCATGGCAACTGAAAGAAAAAATTTAAAAAATCTTCTTTTAAAAAACTCAAAGAGCTAGAGCTTAGATATGTAGCATGAAACATCTTCTAGTGAGTGTCTACCAAGTTTATTTAAATAAAACTCTGGGATCAAACCCGCCCCGGGTGGTCATTGATTTTTCTTACATGTATAGTAAAAACTTAAAAAATCTTTTTTTTAAAAAACTCAAAGAGCTAGAGCTAAGATATTTAGCATGAAACATCTTCTAGTGAGTGTCTACCAAGTTTGTTCAAATAAATGCCCTGGGGTTAAAATTGGCCCTGCCCCAGGTGGTCATTGATTTTCCTTATATGTGTTTAGTAAAAACTTAAAATATCTTTTTTTAAAAAGCCCAAAGAGCTAAAGCTAAGATGTTAAGCACTAAACATCTTCTAGTGACTGTCTACTAAGTTTGTTCAGATAACAGCCATGGGATCAAAATTGGCCCCGCCCCCGAGGGGTCATTGATGAGGTCATTGATTTTCCTTATATGTATATAGTAAAATCTTCTTTAAAAAAAGAAAAACAAAGAGCTTAAGCTTAAATATTTAGCAGGAAACATCTTCTAATGGGTGTCTACCATGTTTGTTCAAATAAAAGCCCTGGGGTCAAAATTTGCCTTGCCCGGGGGTCATCTATCTTCCTTATATGTGTGTAGTAAATATTTAAAAAATCTTCTAATCAAAAATTTAAAGAGCTAGAGCTTAGATATTAAACATGAAACATTTTCTAGTGAGTGTGTATCAAGTTTGTTCAAATAAAAGCCCTTTGGTCAAAATTGGCCCAACCCCGGGGGGTCATTATTTTCCTATTATGTACATAGTAAAAACTTAAAAAATCTTCTTTAAAAAAACCCAAAGAGCTAAAGTTTAGATATTTAGCATGAAATATCTTTTAATGGGTATCTACCAAGTTTGTTCCAATAAAAGCCCTGGGGTCAAAATTGGCCCTGCCCCGGAAGTCATTGATTTTCCTTATATGTATATAGTAAAAATTAGAAAAATTATCATCTTCTTTTGAAAAACCCAAAGAGCTAGAGCTTAGATATTTAGCATGAGACATTTTCTAGTGAGTGTCTACCAAGTCTATTCAAATAAAAGCCCTGGGGTCAAATTGGCCCTGCCCCCCAGGGTCATTGATTTTCTTCATATGTATATATTAAAAAACATGTACTATTTCAGATACAAATATGAACTTTGTGATATCAGGTTTAAGATTTTTATATTTTAAATCTGCTTTTGTTTATAGTTTACAATATTAGTTGTTCCTTGTCATAGAGAGTTTTTATAAACAGGTGAGCGATTTCAGGGCCATCATGGCACTCTTGTTATATTTCTTTTAAAGTATTGCAGTATCAAAATGCAGTTGAATCAGCGTAAAAAAACAGTACCTTTTCAATTTTAGTATTATATATTGGAAAGCTCTGTTTAGTCCTTGTATATAAAAGAAGTCTTATTTTTATTTTTAGGATGGTATTAAAATCAAAAGTAGCTCTGGTTTCCATGGTAAAGGATTCAAGTTTGATGAATCTGAGGCACAGCTAGTTAATGACAGGAAGAAATTACAGAAGGCAGCACTTGGTTTGGTGGATTCTGACGAGGAGGACCCGAATGAAGATGTAGGTTTATAAAATACCTTTATCACATACCCATGCCGGTTTTCCGACTCAGTAAAATGGTAATGCAAGGACGTGCATTATTGTGACGTCATTTGTGTTAAGACATGCTAAATGTCAGCATTATACTATATGTGTGCCAATGAAAAAAAAAATTATTTTTGGCATTAAACAGTACAGTACTTATTTTGGGTATGTGATAAATAGAATATATGTTTTGTGTAAGTGTAGCTTTAGTATCATATTTGTTGAAGTTGTTGAATAAATCATTGTTAATACTACCGGGGAAAACTAATTTTAAGACAAATCTGACCCCTTGCAGCTGGGCATTCAATTAGGGGTGGTCTTAAGTGGATCTTCTGAATATGCTTACCCACGAAAACCACCTAGTCGTCAATTGATAAAATATGTATCGAACCTTTTTCAAATACAATAAAAGTATATATTTATAAATGTTAATTGAGGGGAAGAAAACCCAAAACATTCCCTCACCACTTAGGTTAAATCCTACGGATTGTTGTTTCTGGATTTCCGAAATAATAATTATTTTAGGTCTTCTCCCCATATGATAATCCAGACTTTTCTGTTTGTTCACAAAACCCAAAATTGCAAACAAACAAAATTAAACAATTTATGAAATTAATATATTTTAAAAAGATTTTTTCCCGATTAAACATCTTCAATAAAAATAACAAGTTTTGAAACCTTGGTGTTCGTAGTGTATGCCCAAACAATCAAAGCGTTTATAATATAATATATACACTTTTACGGATTAGGAAGGTGTTGATTTTATACTGAGTATGGGTCTTCAATAGAGTAAGGTCCAAATAAAGAAGAGAAATAAAGAATTGGGACATGGTTTGGAAGGTCTTAAAAGTAATGTAAGTCAGGTTTGGTTCTTAAATTCTACATTCTGTGAGGGATTGTAAACATAAGAAAACAAATGTCGTTCTTTTAAAAAAACTGGTTCTTTAAAAAGGGGGTGGTTTAAAATTTTCCGAATTTTGGTCTTTTTATATTGATTCTAGTCAAATGTACAATTAAAACAGACCATTTTTCACTGTCATTCTATTTATAAGGCTGGATCACTTACAGAGGATCTCTGAATAATGCTTTTTAGTCCCAGCAAAATCCACCTTAGTCGAATTAAATAAAATATCCATATCAAGACAGTCTTATGATTCAAATTTACACAGAAAAACATTATTTGATATATTTACTAACACTTTCTGTGCATCCATAATTTGTAGATTTGTCATTTGTTGTGGTTCGGATCGGAATATCAGTCCTGAGGGGACCCACCCGTTACATATTCTTTAATATTCCATTATATTTTAAACTCTTTACCTTAACAAAAAACAATTTTCCATGGAAATTTATGTCTTTACACCAGTAGCTAATTTCTTACAACAGTGCATGAAATTACAACTTTATTCAAAATGGTGAAATTATGTCATCCAAAGCATGCCATTGTACAGCATCTGAATCATCTTGCTTCCCCCATGCCAGATGAAATTTCCGGCATAGGTAAAACTAACGGATGTGCCAGTCTGATATGCTAGAATTAAACTAGGTATTGATGAAAAATTTATGATACTGTTGTAAATGATTTTAGATTGAGCAGCAGATAGAGGACATGTTTGCAAGTAAAAGAAGAGTAACAGATGTTTCAAAATCCTCACTCCCACAGATGGTTCGTATTGTATGTCATCCAATAAACTTTACATCAAATACCTTCTTCATGATAATGAATATGACCGTGAAAAGTATAAAACATTGTTTGACAATGCTTATTGTCTGAGCAAATATGGTATTTCCCTTGGCAGATAGGCAGCATTCAGTTTTGTCCTAAGCATATCTTCTACATGCATAGGGAGATTTAAATATCACATATGATACATAGTGTCACCTGCATGAACCAGGTATCTAAGTCAAAGGTTGGTCGAAAAAAACTTTTCTCTGAAAAGACTTCTACATTCATGGACAGATTGTAATATCATTTGACACAATCTGACTGGCAGCCTAAGTGTCACACACAAGTCCATTGGCCAAGTTCAAGGTCACAAATAGAGGTCAAAGGTCAGGTAAAAAATATAAAAATTTGTCCACGTACAATTTTGTGTGACTGAAATTTTTCATTTTGATTGCTAGTCAAATGTTCCGGTCCTCATATATAAATCGGATTTTTTTCATCAATATTTATTCACATATACTTTCTTATATTTATTCACATATCCTTTCACTGACATATATGATAATGTTTTACTATAATGGGGCATGTTGTGTAATTGCAGCCAATAGCTGGAGGTATAATGACAGGTCCTCAAGGCAAGATGGGAGCAAATAACCAGATGAAATTAGAGATGGCAAAGAGGCTTGCAGCAAAGATAAACTTTAACAAGAATCTAGGTCAGGAGGCTCAAGATATTACTCAGCAGGCCACTAAAGCTATTTTCCAGGACGGGGTGTCTGCCCCACAAGTGGCTGTAAGTAATAAATTTTTTACCTTAATGTGTTTGTTAAGACTTTGATGACTTAGTAGCTATGGTTGCAGACTTTATCGCATATTCGGAAATCTTGTAAGGTTAGTAGTTGGTCACATCTGATATACTGATATGTATAAGTCACATCTGGAGATAATGGTAATTACTAGATACTGACATGTCTACCTCCATTCACCTTCTGTCAAAAAATCTTTTCCTCCATAATACTTTGATTTCATATAAAAGTATGACATCTCGTTATTTTAAACCAGTGTATCAGTAACACTGAGGTTAGCCAAAATCATTTTTCCTGTTTTGGCGCTATGTGACCTAAATTGTGTTGGTGCACCTTAAAACCAAACAATCTAATTTAAACCAGTGAAGTAAAGACTTCTGTTTGAGTAGGATGGTCCCCTATGGTAACACTGTTCTCATGACTTCTAGCAAAATGTACAAATAAAACAAACTTACATTAACTATCTTATTATATTTTGTTTAAATGTTGCATCTTAACATTAAAATAAACATGCCATTCAAAGAAAAAGTCAATAATAGAAACATCTAATTCAGTCAGCCAGCCCTTTTTAGCTCGACTTTTCTATGAAAAGGGGAGCTATCCTACTCGCCCCGGCGTCGGCGTTGGCGTCGGCGTTGGCGTCACACCTTGGTTAAGTTTTTCGTACCACCCCACTTTATTTCAGAAGTATTACAAGTATGGCTTTGAAACTTACCATACTTGTTCACCATCATAACCTCCATCTACAGACAAGAGTACATAACTCTGTCAAGGTTTTTGACAGAATTATGGCCCTTTTTTGACTTAGAAAGTGTATTGAGCTTGGTTAAGTTTTTTGTACCACCTCACTTTATTTCAAAACCATTGGAGGTATTTCTTTGAAACTGACCATACTTGTTTACCATCACGACCTTCATCAAGAGACAAGAGGACATAACTCTGTCAAGGTTTTTGACAGAATTATGCCCCTTTTTGACTTAGAAAATACATTGAATATGGGTAAAATCCACTTATTGCCTTAACCCTTTGAGATATTGCTTTGAAACTTTTAATGCTATTTCACATCATTACCCCCATCTGTACGCAAGAGAAGGTAACTCTGTCAAGGATTTGTTTTAAAAATTAAGGCCTTTTATCGACTTAGAATCTTGGTTAAGTTTTTAGTACCAGTCCACTTTTTGACTGAACTGTTTGAGATATTAATTTGAAAGTTGGAATACTTGTTTACAATCATGATTCCCAAACATGTCCAGGAGAAGGTAATTCTGTCACTTTGTTCACTTTAAAAATACAGAGATTCTTGTATTGCCTTTTACTGCAAAAACTTTTTTTATTGGCAAGCAATAAAAAAGTCGAGCGCGCTGTCTTACGGACAGCTCTTGTTTTAACAGGTACTCAAAGGGAGAGCACAATGATACCATTGTTACTCTTGAAAATTGAAGTATGGTGTCCATTAAGGCACATAACTTAAAATAACTCTTCAGAAGTAAACAAAATGTAGTTATTTTTGTTTATCTTATCAAGTTCATGTAAAATTAACTAACTGTTGCATTATTCAATTTCATTTTTGTCTTCGGAATTATGATAATAAAAAAAACCTTAGTGCATATTTGTTGCACCATTCTTTTTTATGCTAAATAAAAAAAAAACATCAATTTTTTATGTGAATTGTTGGCCCATTTTGGCTTCAGTAGAATTTTTTAAGAAGGGAATGACATCACAGCAGTTCAGGCATCACTTGTAAAAACATGAAATATAAGTTTTATTGGTAAAACGCTCTAGTAAATGTGGTGTAAAATATAGAAATATTTTCAACAAATGTCGGAAAATTGGTTTTTCATATTATTTAAAGAAACTTATAAGAAATTAAAACATTTGTAATTATTTCCATCCTAATATAAAAAAACTTCCGCTTTAATAGGTGGTGGGTGCTCTTTGTGCAAACTAACACATTTTCTTATTACATCAGAAATGTGTAAAGACACAGTACCAACGAGAACAACTATACACTTTGTATATTGCAAAGTGAAAGCAGACTGCTCAGTGAATAATGATTTCAATTTTGTAATGATGTCATATAATGTTAGCATAATTATGTCTCCCCCACCTCGGGGGGAGACATATTGTTTTTGCCCTGTCCGTCCGTCCGTCCGTCCGTCAGTCCGTCCGTCCGTCCATTCTTCGTTTCCGGACGATAACTAGAGTTCCTTTTGACCTACAGCTCTCAAACTTCATAGGATGAATGGTCTTATTGAGCAGATGATCCCTATTGTTTTTGGGGTCAGTAGTTCAAAGGTCAAGGTCACAGTGACCGTTGGTCAATTTCTCGTTTCCGGATGATAACTAGAGTTCCTTTTGACCTACAGCCCTCAAACTTCATAGGATGATTGGTCTTATAGAGCTGATGATCCCTATTGTTTTTGGGGTCAGTAGGTCAAAGGTCAAGGTCACACTGACCGTTGGTCAATTTCTCGTTTCCGGATGATAACTAGAGTTCCTTTAGACCTACAGACCTCAAACTTCATAGGATGATTGGTCTTATTGTGCAGATGATCCCTATTGTTTTTGGGGTCAGTAGTTCATAGGTCAAGGTCACAGTGACCGTTGGTCAATTTCTCGTTTCCGGATGATAACTAGAGTTCCTTTTGACCTACAGCCCTCAAACTTCATAGGATGATTGGTCTTATAGAGCAGATGATCCCTATTGTTTTTGGGGTCAGTAGGTCAAAGGTCAAGGTCACAGTGACCGTTGGTCAATTTCTCATTTCCGGATGATAACTAGAGTTCCTTTTGACCTACAACCCTCAAACTTCATAGGATGATTGGTCTTATTAATCAAATGATCCCTATTGTTTTAATGGTCAGTAGGTCAAAGGTCAAGGTCACAGCGACCGTTGGTTAATTTCTCCTTTCCGGATGATAACTAGAGTTCCTTTAGACCTACAACCCTCAAACTTCATAGGATGATTGGTCTTATAGAGCAGATGATCCCTATTGTTTTTGGGGTCAGTAGGTCAAAGGTCAAGGTCACAGTGACCGTTGGTCAATTTCTCATTTCCGGATGATAACTAGAGTTCCTTTTGACCTACAACCCTCAAACTTCATAGGATGATTGGTCTTATTAATCAAATGATCCCTATTGTTTTAATGGTCAGTAGGTCAAAGGTCAAGGTCACAGCGACCGTTGGTTAATTTCTCCTTTCCGGATGATAACTAGAGTTCCTTTAGACCTACAACCCTCAAACTTCATAGGATGATTGGTCTTATTGAGCAGATGATCCCTCTTGTTTACGTTTGTTTCAAGTATCATCAAAATCCTTTAAAGGTTTGAAGAATTATGGAGCAGACACAATTTCATTTAATTTCATTTGTGAAACTATATATGATATGACCGACCATCAAGTGCAATTTCGTTTGACGCCCGCCTGCCATACGCTGATTGAATAACCAGGATTTTCAAAATTGAATACCTGGTTAAAAACAAACAGTTTAGGAAGCATCTTCTCATACAACCTTAACAATAGAAACCATCCATAGACAGCCTTCATTGAAGTGACTACCGGGTATTTACATTATCTTATCTCCATTTCCATTCCTGTTTCCATTCACAGTTATTCTCAGCAGTGGGGGAGACATGCGCTTTTTTACAAAAGCATCCTCTAGTTTCCAACCATTTTTGGTAATCTTTAAATGAAAAATGAAAGTCATACATTAAATAAAAAACAAAAACAAATATCTTGCTTGATTTTACAAAGAAACTTCTTGTCTTCTACACTTATTTCATGATAGAATAAACTGAAAGTTTCTTGTTCATGATATAATAATCTGAAGTTTTCTTCTTGATTTTCTAGTCAAAGACAATAGCTGAGCAGATGGCAGAAAAGATCAATGCTAAGTTAGGCTACACGCCACAGATTGAAGATGATAAGGAATTAGAACAAGATACGTTCAAACGTTACGAGGAGGAATTAGAGATAAATGACTTCCCACAGACTGCTAGATGGAAGGTCACATCAAAGGTATTCATTTTACATAATAATGTTTAAAGACACATCATGCCGCTGAAACTTACATGATAATGTTTAAAGACACATCATGCCTCCGAAACTTACATGATAATGTTTAAAGACACATCATGCCTCTGAAACTTACATGATAATGTTTAAAGACACATCATGCCTCCGAAACTTACATTATAATGTTTAAAGACACATCATGCCTCCGAAACTTACATGATAATGTTTAAAGACACATCATGCCTCTGAAACTTACATGATAATGTTTAAAGACACATCATGCCTCTGAAACCTACATGATAATGTTTAAAGACACATCATGCCTCTGAAACTTACATGATAATGTTTAAAGACAAATAATACCTCTGAAACTTACATGATAATGTTAAAAGACACATCATACCTCCGAAACTTACATGATACATCATACCTCCGAAACTTACATGATACATCATGCCTACGAAACTTACATGATATATCATGCCTCTGAAACTTACATGATACATCATGCCTCAGAAACTTACATGATACATCATGCCTCCGAAACTTACATGATACAGCATACCTCCGAAACTTACATGATACATCATGCCTCTGAAACTTACATGATACATCATGCCTATGAAACTTACATGATGCATCATACCTCCGAAACTTACATGATACATCATACCTCCGAAACTTACATGATACATCATGCCTCTGAAACTTACATGATACATCATGCCTACGAAACTTACATGATACATCATGCCTCCGAAACTTACATGATACATCATACCTCCGAAACTTACATGATACATCATGCCTCTGAAACTTACATGATACATCATGCCTACGAAACTTACATGATACATCATACCTCCGAAACTTACATGATACATCATGCCTACGAAACTTACATGATGTTTAAAGAGACATAATGCCTCAGAAAGGAATGTATTTTTACTTCTTTAGAAAGGGCAAATATGAATTTTATAGTATTTAAATAATGATTTAAGAGCAAGTTTGGTGCATGTAACCTGAAGAGAGTAGCGATTAATGTAAACAAAGTAGCATTTCATCTTGCATACGAAAAACTGAATCACTATAACTGTACAAACTGCCAAAATGCAGCAGATGAAAAAATGATTCAGGCAAATAGCCAGTGAGTAACTTTTTGAAAACTTTAAAGTATACCTAAAAATAAAAAGTTTTTGAGAAATAAAGATAAAAACATTTCTGACTCATAATGGGCCTTTAAGATTAATGAAATTCTCAACAACAAAATATATATGTATATTTTTTTATTTTTGATAGAGCTATTTCGAAAATTAAGCAGTAACATATTAGACATTATTCAGGGCTTACCATTATAAAATTTCTTTTAGCCAAGTGTATGTAACTTTCTTATTTTATACAAAATGTTGTCAAAGGGAAAGAAAAAATAAGTAGCCAAATTATAATGTTTTTTTAGCCAAATTAATGAAATTTTAACAAATGGCTAAAAGAGTTTATAGCAGAGTGAGCCCGAAAACAATTTCAAGAAAAAAAATATCATAAATTTCTTTTTGAAATTATTAAGTTTAACAGGAGAGTGTAATACACTTAAAGGTATACCCTGTTTGAAAATATTAAGTTTAACAGGAGAGTGTAATACACTTAAAGGTATACCCTGTTTGAAAATTTCTTTTAGCCAAATTTATGGGATTTTTTTCTTTCAGACAAAATGTTATAATAATAGCTAAAGAAATAAATTGATGAATTTTGTAATCAAATTTAATGAAATTTTAATGGCAGAAAGCATGCTGAAATTTTTACCTTGTAGATAAAAATATATTACAAAAGCTGTATCTCGTATCTCATTGTATGGAAGAAGTGAAATAAAGTGTAATGAATTTCGTATGATTTCTACATATGCAATGTAATTAGTAAAATACAGAGGAAAACAGTAGATAAAGATTTTATTAACAAAGTTAAAGTTAAGTTACATAGTTTTGATCTTGGTCCAGTATTACCAAGTTGTTCTTATGCAAAATCTTGTATAAGCTTGGTTTCTTTGTTTGGTTTAATTTTTATAATCATCGAGCTTTGAATCTAGACTGGTATTTCCATTATTTTATTATTATCCCTATTGATAATGTATTTCAGGAGGCCCTTGCTCAGATCTGTGAATATTCTGAGGCTGGTATTACAGTAAGGGGTACATATTTCCCTCCGGGGAAACAACCGAAAGAAGAGGAACGTAAACTGTACCTGGCTATTGAAGCTACTAGTGAAATGGCTATACAGAAGGCAAAGAAAGAAGTTACAAGACTAATAAAGGAGGAACTAATCCGTCTGGTAATTATATTAATATATCATTTGATCAGTTTTTAGCTTGACTATTTAAAGATTAGGCAGAACTATTGTATTGACCAAGAAATGGGTGTCGGCATTGGCATGGCCGTCACACTTTGGTTCAGTTTTTTCATGCAAGTTGCTATCTCCAAAATTATTAAAGAGAATAGGTTGAAACTTTGCACATACTAAAGAGCAAAATATGAGGTCCCTAAATTGAGCAAAATATGAGGTCCCTGAATTTTGACAGAATTATAGCCCTTTTTGAACTTAGAAAATTTAACATAGTCTAGGATCAAGCTCTTAGAATAGTCAAGCATGTTGTCCTATTCATAGCTCTTGTTTACGTCTTAATTTAAAATCTTTCATTCAATGTTTTATATAAATTATGGTCTCTAGATTAAGCCAAAGTGCATTTAAGAAACAAGGTACAAAAAGGTCATGTCAATATTCATAATCTTGTCAAACTGAATTAGCTTGAAACAAATATACTTTAAATGTTTTAAGATACTATAAGTTTGCTGAAAGGCACAATAATCTTCAGAAATGACTACTTTTTTCCTCTTTGGAAAAAACAAAATAAATGTTTAATAATGTTTAAGTAAATTAGATTCTTATCACTTTATAAAGTGGGTCTGAATGTGAAATAATTTGTCATAAAAGTTGTAAAGATAGTGGTATTTTGACTAACATACAAAGTACTAAATCGCTGTAATTGTACCAGTTGCCAAAAAGCAAAAAGACAATTTATCAATAGAGCAAACAAGTTACCTTATGTAAACCTAATGTTAATTGTGACAGGACACCAAAGATAAAAAACTTTCTGGAAATAAAAGTAAAAGCATTTTTATATGCCCGAAAGAATTTCGGGCATATTATGTTATACCCCCTGGCGTCCGTCCGTTAGCAATTTGGTTTCCGGAGCATAACTTAAGTTCCATTTGGCCCACAGTATTCAAACTTCATAGGATGATTGTCCATATTGGGTAGAAGACCCCTATTGATTTTGGGGTCACAAGGTCAAAGGTCAAGGTCACTATGACCTTAAAACTGAAAACAGTTTCCGGAGCATAACTTAAGTTCCATTTGGCCCACAGTGTTCAAACTTCATAGGATGATTGTCCATATTGGGTAGAAGACCCCTATTGATTTTGGGGTCACAAGGTCAAAGGTCAAGGTCACTATGACCTTAAAACTGAAAACAGTTTCCGGAGCATAACTTAAGTTCCATTTGGCCCACAGTGTTCAAACTTCATAGGATGATTGTCCATATTGGGTAGAAGACCCCTATTGATTTTGGGGTCACAAGGTCAAAGGTCAAGGTCACTATTACCTTAAAACTGAAAACAGTTGTCGGAACATAACTTAAGTTTCATTTGGCCCACTGTGTTTAAACTTCATAGTATGATTGTCCATATTGGGTAGAAGACCCCTATTGATTTTGGGGTCACAAGGTCAAAGGTCAAGGTCACTATTACCTTAGAACTGAAAACAGTTTCCGGGGCATAACTTAAGTTCCATTTGGACCACAATATTGAAACTTCAAAGGAGGATTGTTTTGTGAAGGAGGTAATACTTTATTTAATTCCCATGTCTTACAAATGCTTCATCTTTACTAAAAAAAAAAAATCACTTTTGGGCATATAATGCTCCGCCTAGCGGTGCTCTTGTTACATCTTTATATGCCTTTAAGGATAAAAGATAATGATGATATTTAATAACACAATTATTTTGATAATGATATAATAACAAGAATTTTTTTTTTTTCAGCAAAATTCCTACCAGCCAATCAACAGAGCCCGATACAAGGTTGTGTGAGGATGATGGGATATGTAGAACAATATTGGCTTTATTACAAAGTGTTGAGATACATTCACATTATTTTAGTGTTATAGTCAAAATTGGACCTAGAATTGGTGTAAAATTGTACATTGTTTCCCTGCCAGTTTTGATATATTTCAGAGTGTCTAATTTGTTTGCACAAATACAAAGGTCTGTTGGAAAGTGTTAAAGAGTCTAGGGATTTTTTTTTAAATTTTATTATCTCTTTTTTTGCAATATTCCTTTGGGAAATTTTAATGCGTTAGCTATAAGAAAATTGGGGAAATTTTACAAGCCTATTACAATTTTCAGAACTGTTTACAGATAATGAGACATATTTGTTATGTATGTATATATAAAGTTATGTTTTTCAGAAAAAAAGTACCACATTTACTTTATTAGTTATAAAGATTTTTGACAGGTTATATGGCCCTATTTAAACGGTGGTTTGGAAATCTAGTTTGAGCCATGAGGCGTCATTTTTTAGGGGGAAAAGTGAGATTTCTTTGTAAATTGAAAGCAGCCATGTATATTAAACTATTGTTATAAACATTACGATTATCCAGTGAAAAGCTACCTTAGAAACATGCAGTATTAAAAATTTTATATGCCTAAATATCAAGTTGGTTAAGGCAATTCTTTACAAATTTATCAGATTTACAAGATTGAATTTGGCTTTTTCAATGGTTTCATAAAATGGAAATAAATTTGAATTTGGTCTGCATTTAAGTTCAATGGGGTGATGAATGTTTCAATATGATGAATAACATTTTTCACCAGGTAAAACAGATGGGGTGGAAAGTTCTTGGGGGTATTTTTCTTATCAAAATTTTTCATTTTTTAAGAATAATTGGAAGATATGTATGGTACACTTGATAGCTCTTCAGAAAGTTTAAGATTAAGAATGAGAATCAGTTTATTTACAAAGTATAATGGTGCCTCATATTTCCGTGGTACTTAACTGTTTAACACAGAAAACAAAGGTTAGAAGAATAAAATTCTGCAAAATATGTTGAATATTGTAGGAAAGACATGTCAATTACATCATAGTTTATCCCTTTTAATGTTTACATGTAAGCAATTATATATTAACACCCATCTGCTGCCTAGTGAGTAAAGTTGTGTTCTCATATTACCAAGGCAATTACATTTTAAGAATTTCAGCAACAAAACCAATAGTAATTTTTATTTTTTTGCCTTGTCTGAAAGTGGGGATTTTCTCTATAGCATTTATCAAATATCTCAATGGTTGTTTAAAAATGACAATTGTCTTAAAAGGAATGAAAAGTAAAATTAAAATGGTGAAACTAAATCTGAATAAAATAATAAATTTTCTGTCATATATGTGACATTTTGATAAAAATACAATAAAACATTAAAGTAAAATTCCTGGCAGGTGTATGATGTCTAGGAGGAAGTTGAGGCTGTTTATGCCTAATACCTTGGAATATTGGGTACCTCGGAAATATGAGGCACCAGTATAAATGATGAGGAATTGAGGTTGGACATAGTGTGGGGAAATAAGTACATATAATAAAGCGGAGACATATTCATATTGAATTATGTTGTCTAATTTTCTTCTTCAGCATAGAATTTCAAATAAATTCTTCGCATTTTTAGCTCACCTGTCACAAAGTGACAGGGTGAGCTTTTGTGATCGCTTTTCGTCTGGCGTCCGTCCGTAAACTTTTACTTTAAATGACATCTCCTCATAAACCACTAAGCCAATTTCATCCAAACTTCACATGAATGTTCCTTTGGTGGTCACCTTTGAAAATTTTTCAAAGAATTAAATTCCATGCAGAACTCTGGTTGCCATGGCAACCAAAAGAAAAAACTTTAAATATCTTCTTCTAAAAAATCCAAAGAGCTAGAGCTTAGATATTTGGCATGAAACATCTTCTAGTGAGTGTCTACCAAGTTTGTTCAAATAAAATCCCTGGGGTCAAAATTGGCCCCGCCCCTGGGGGTCATTGATTTTCCCTATATGCATATAGTAAAACCTTAAAAAATCTTCTTTAAAAGAACCCAAAGACCTATAGCTAAGATATTTAGCATGAAACATCCTCTAATGGGTGTCTACCAAGTTTGTTCAAATAAAAGCCCTGGGGTCAAAATTGGCCCTGCCCCAGGGGGTCATTGATTTTCCCTATGCATATAGTAAAAACTTAAAAAATCTTCGTTTAAAGAACCCAAAGAGCTAGAGCTAAGATATTTAGCATGAAACATGTTCTAATTGATGTCTACCAAGTTTGTTCAAATAAAAGCCCTGTGGTCAAAATTGGCCCCGCCCCAGGGGGTCATTGATTTTCCCTATATGCATATAGTAAAACCTTAAAAAATCTTCTTTAAAAGAACCCAAAGACCTATAGCTAAGATATTTAGCATGAAACATCCTCTAATGGGTGTCTACCAAGTTTGTTCAAATAAGAGCCCTGGGGTCAAAATTGGCCCTGCCCCGGGGGTCATTGATTTTTCTTATATGTGTATAGCAAAAACTTAAAAAATCTTCTTTGAAAGAAAACAAATAGCTAGAGTTTAGATACTAAGCTTGAAACATCTTCTAGTGAGTGTCTACCAAGTTTGTTGTAATAAAAGCCCTGGGGTTAAAATTGGCCCCGCTCCGGGGTCATTTATTTTCCTTATGTGTATAACAAAAACTTAAAAAATCTTCTTTGAAAAAACTCAAATAGCTAGAGTTTAGATATTAAGCACGAAGCATCTTCTAGTGAGTGTCTACAAAGTTTGTTCAAATAAAAGCCCTGGGGTCAAAATTGGCCCCACCCCGGTGACATTGATTTTCCTTATATGTGTATAGCAAAAACTTAATAATCTTCTTTGAAAAAACCCGAATAGCTAGAGTTTAGATATTAAGCATGAAACATTTTCTAGTAAGTGTCTACAAAGATTGTTCAAATAAAAGCCCTTGGGTCAAAACTGGCCCTGCCCCAGGTGTGTCATTGTTTTTAACTATATGTGTAAAGAAAAAACTTGACCAGCTAGACCTTAGATATTTAGCATGAAACATCTTCTAATGGGTGTCTACCAAGTTTGTTCAAATAAAAGCCCTGGGGTTTAAACTGGCCCCGCTCCGGGGGCCTATATACAGGTGAGCGACTTCAGGGCCATCATGGCCCTCTTGTTTTCATTTTGCTAACAATATTTATTATTACATGTTTCTTTCACCAATTGCTGTGTTTTGTTATTTGATATTATGACATTCTTACTGCAGTCTATCATACAAAATTATTTGATTTTTGTTTAAAACTTTAAACATCTTAATGTACATACCTTAAATTGTACATATTTTCAAAAATCAAATTTAAGAAAAATTATTTAGGAACTGAATCATGTTCTTAGGAATATCATCATATTTAAGAAGTGCAGAAATATTCAAAATTAAATAATTTTACATGGCCTGGCTCTATACTGGTGTCAAATGTTAATCACTCTTGGATCAGCAGGGTTAATCAACATTGAACTAGGTGCCAATAGATAATCATATAAGTAATAACAAACATCAAATTTGTTCCACAAAGACATGTACCTATTAAAATCTGGAAAAAGTGTGATCCCTCGGAAGCATTTATCCCAACAAAAAGGAAAAAATGACAAAAGACTATTTACCCATGGCAAAAGCTTTTTTTTTGCCATGGCAAAAATTATTAAGTATTGAAGTTGGAGAAGCTTTTTTGTACAGGTTTTCTCTCAGAAAGGGTATTTTGTACTGCTATTGATTTGAATTGAAACTAACATATTGTCTGTTATCAAACTGAGCCTACCACATTTTCAGTTTTCAATTTTTGGGCAATCTTTAAAGTTTCCATTTTTATTTTGACATGGGTTTCCTGTATACAGTAATTATCTATAATTTTTCTTTTACACAAGTTTGTATACATTGTATGCTCGTTCTTGTAATATTATAAAATTTGTCTTGTGATGTTGTAAGACAAACAGAACTATAAGTATATGTACAAATGTCCAGTTTTCTTTGTCATTTGTGTTTGTCGTAAATGTCACAAACATATGATCATAAAAGAAATCAAATAAATGATAAAAAAACTACTGTAATTTGAATTTTGTTTTAATGTACAATGCACTTGTGACTCTATCTTCACAAAATCTTAAGGGGAAAGAGGGAGAATGAAAAAGGTAATGCCAACCATCTGTCGGGAAGGCTTTGTTTTTGCTCAATCAAGAGTGCGGGGGCCCTCAGTTAGAATTTTACCTTCTAACTGTCATAGATTGGTTCATATTTTGGCAGAACCATCGTATTAAGTAAATTAAATTCTATAGTATGACTGACCTTCATATGACATTGACACTCGAGGTCAAATACGAAAATTTAACTAAATATTGAAGAACTTATTACTTTATGCACAAATCGAACAACAACATGTTGGCTATCACCATCATACTGCATATAGTCCCCCCCCACCCCTGCATCTCTTATTTTCATCATGTGAAATTATTCTTTGATTAAAAACAAGTTTGCATTGGCTGCCAGGCATTTAATCAATCAACTCCTACTGTTGCACTTATAATTATATTCATTGTCACTGCGACCTCGTTCATCTTCCTTTTATGACGCACATGGGTGAATTAACTAATGTCATCAAACTCTGATTTCGTCAGTCACAAGGAGTTATATCACCATTTAACTGGTAATCTTAACAGTGTGTAATTGATAAGAAATTCTCTTTCTGTTATGAAATATATACAACAAGACTGTCATAACAAATTAAATGTGGAAAGAAAAGGTAGAAAAAATACAGGACCGTATGCAGCATTTTCAGGTGGCGGATAATTTTTTTGGAGTGGAAGAAAACAAGTATAGGCAGTATTAATCTAGTTTTGAAAAACTCATAATGTAAGACTATGGAACAGAATTATTGCATTATTTCATCCTGCTTTGTGACATTAAAACTTACATACCAGATTTCATATAGCTTAGTTTCATATTGCTCAATTTTATTAATGCTTGTGATATGCTTATTTATTATTGTCATTTGAACTTGAATACTGAAGCGCTTCTTGTACCCATTTTTCATCGTCAATTTAAAAACTACCTTTGTCATCATTGTTTAAATAATCAAAATGCGATGTTGTGTTCACACTGGCCATGACTTTTACAGAAGCACTGACCATCGTGTCAGGGATGGAGCATCGGGCGTCACAATAGCGCAAATAAATATGGTTTAGACCAAGTTCTTGATTACATTGTTTATTTCCCACCATATTATGCAAATAAAAGAAATAGAAATGCCAAAAAAATATTATAATGCATGGTCAACTTTCTTTAAAGGGACTCCACTGAGGTTTAATAGCCTAAAAACATAACATTTGAATTTCTCACATAAATGAGCCTGGGCACTTTAAAAAGAAATATATGCAAAGATAGTTAAAACATATACTTTGGAATAAATTGAAAATCGTATTTTTATGCTTTTCTTAGCCCGATTTGAGTGAAAAGCGTTTAAACGCTTTTCATGTTTTTACAATTTGAATAATTATTCTGAAAAAACGAAGTGCGCGAATGATCTGAAATTTTACACAAAGGTTAGTGGCATAAACCTACATCTAATTGTACATTTATTTACCTTGAAAAAAATATTTTCAGTCCCGTCATGTCAAAAAACCTCAGTGGAGTCCCTTTAAGGTATTGGACGTGAATTATTTGGCAATTTTTTACAAAGGCCAAAAAAAAAGAAACTTTAATCAAGCAGACCATTTTTTTCAAGATTAGTTACGAGTGATTTAAGATTGCCGAGTGTTTTGATGTTATTTCTCTTTTGTATCATAGTTAAAAATAAACACATATTCCTTGTGGTCAAAATATGAAACCCCAGAAAAAAGTAACCAATGAACAAGCAATGAATATGATATTTTTATCGCTTTTCCTTTCTCTGCCGTCACAATAAGTAAACCCCAGAAAAGATGAGTCAATCAATGGGCATGCTCTGGAGTGCGGGTAACTGATACCTGCACTCCAGTTAACGCACTGTGCATGTATATCTTATACGAGTTAACTGTGACAATTTTCCACAGAATAGTCCTCAAACTACGATACAAATTTCATTAACTTATCTTGAAAAAATGGTGGGTGGGGAGGAGTTTAGTTTTATTTAGTTCTATTGGCAATACCAGATGCCGTTCCACATCTACCATTCAAAACTAGGGTATTCTTAACAAAGTTTCAATCCGGTGTATTAAATGCAAACAAGAGCACCGCTAGGCGGAGCATTATATGCCCGAAAGTGATTTTTTTTAGTAAAGATGAAGCATTTGTAAGACATGGGAGTAAAATAAAGTATTACCTCTTTAAAATATAATCCTCCTTTGAAGTTTCAATATTGTGGTCCAAATGGAACTTTAAGTTATGCCCCAGAAACTGTTTTCAATTCTAAGGTAAAAGTGACCTTGACCTTTGACCTTGTGACCCCAAAATCATTAGGGGTCTTCTACCCAATATGGACAATCATACTATGAAGTTTAAACACAGTAGGCCAAATGATACTCAAGTTATGTTCCGAAAACTGTTTTCAGTGTTAAGGTAATAGTGACCTTGACCTTGTGACCCCAAAATCAATAGGGGTCTTCTACCCAATATGGACAATCATCCTATGAAGTTTGAATATTGTGGGCTAAATGGAACTTAAGTAATGCTCAAGAAACTGTTTTCAATTTCTAAGTAATAGTGACTTTGACCTTGTGACCCCAAAATCAATAGGGGTCTTCTACCTAATATGGACAATCATCCTATGAAGTTTGAACACTGTGGGCCAAATAGAACTTAAGTTATGCTCCAGAAACTGTTTTTCAGTTTTAAGGTCATAGTGACTTTGACCTTATGACCCCAAAATCAATAGGGGTCTTCTACCCAATATGGACAATCATCCTATGAAATTTAAACACTGTGGGCCAAATTGAACTTAAGTTATGCCCCAGAAACTGTTTTCAGTTTTAAGGTCATAGTGACCTTGACCTTTGACCTTGTGACCCCAAAATCAATAGGGGTCTTCTACCCAATATGGACAATCATCCTATGAAGTTTGAACACTGTAGGCCAAATGGAACTTAAGTTATGCTTTGGAAACTGTTTTCAGTTTTAAGGTCATAGTGACCTTGACCTTTGACCTTATGACCCCAAAATCAATAGGGGTCTTCTACCCAATATGGACAATCATCCTATGAAGTTTGAATATTGTGGGCCAAATGGAACTTAAGTGATGCTCCGGAAACCAAATTGCTAACGGACGGACGGACAGACGGCAGGGGGTATAACATAATATGTCCGAAATTCTTTCGGGCATATAAAAATAGAAGCAACTTTTAGCTTAGATTTAAAACCTTATAAGGACATATACCTCAATATTATAAGTGTTTTAATCCTTTTTAGGAATTTACGAGTCCCTAATTATTTGTAAGTTTCTTTATAGAATATTTTATATCTATGAAAGTATTAGCTTCTTATTAGGAGTTATTATGACCTAATTAGGACTTTGTTACTCCCAATGAAGTCTTTTAAAATCAATATTAGCAGTAATAAAACACATAATTAGGATTATATTCCTCCTATTTATAAAATAACAGAATTTTTTTTTTTAATTAATTAGGTATTTGTTTAAAAAAAATCTTTCCTATATCCTCCATTTAAGCCATTTATAACATTTTAATTTATTAATTTCCTTAAATGGGCTTATTAACTGCTAAGAAGAAGAGGTTTTACATATCCTATATTTACGTTTAAAGGAGAATTTCCTTTTATAAATACAACCTAAAGAAAGACTTTCGACCGTGCGACCACACACACGCATCGAGGACATGTTGGGAAGAAAGTGACCGTGCGACCTCATACACGCATCACAGTATTCCCCTTCTCGTACGAGAAAGGGACAAAGAACAGTCCGCCCCTTTAAAAAGAGGGCAGACTTTAAAAATATGCCAGTTCCCTATTCTTATTGATAAGGAGGCAAGTTTTCAAAAATATGTTTTGATTTGGTATATATATACAACTATAGTTATGCAAACCAAGCGGGTTTGAATGTTCGTCCTTTTTAAATTCTCTATGAATTTTTTAAAAGATCATATTTAATTTATAAGAAAATCTTGAGTTTATTTTTTTTTCTTCTTTTCATTCAATTTATATACATGCAATAGTATTATTTTATTTCTGCAGAACTTTAACTTTTCAAAAACGATTTATATGCATTAAATGTGGGAGATATATTTCACACTTTGCTTACAAATATTAACCTGGGGCCATTTTACGAATTCGTATACTGGATGTAATAGAAAAAGGTAGTGTGATGGACTGCAAGAAAAAAAAACAATAGATTAAGCCTCAGCAGACGACAGTGCTGAAATTGGTGAGATGGTACAGGTTGGTAAATCGCTGATTTATGAACTCCCATTTTTGAAAATGTCCATAATGAAGATAGAAATTAAGAAATTGATCAGCCAACAGTACAAAGCCCGGATGTTCAGTCTGACTTGCTCTATATACTTGTATACTAGTGAATTAATTTTGGCTCCAACAGGGTAAAAGTGCAGTGTTTTTTACAGTTGTCTTGATAACACAAATACTTTTGATCAAACTTGTTGGACAAGTAATCTAAGGATTTGTGGCCGTGTGGGTTAAAGTCCCGTCAGGGGCAATTCGTGGTTTCCTAGAGCAAGAAACGAACGTTATACTCCTATTAAAAAGACATTGCTTAGTAGCCATTGTACCTGTTTTGTCGAGAGGGGTGTCTGTAAGCTTAAGTTGATAGTTTCTTACACACTTAGACTAAATTAAATTATTTATAATCTAGACAAATTGAACTTCAAATCTCTAACTAAATCCGTTAGTTTAAACCCACTACATATTTACGTATTGTCTGATTAAGATAAAAAGTTAAACAATAACATTAAAGCAGCACGCCTTCAGATTCGTGTTAACTTTCATAAAAATTTTGGAAATGTATTTAAAAGTAAAATTATGTGAGGTGAACAAATAAAATAATTAACATATTGCAATCGACACTTACAATCCACGAAAATTACCAAAAGTGGTCAACAAATGCAAAAGCAGCCCTTACTGCGTTAGTAACGCATTTGAAAAATGGTGATAAAATACATTTGTACTGCAAAATCGATGTTAAAACACACAGAACAATAAAATATAACTCGGATCTTGAATGTTTTAACTTTTCTAAAAAAAGTTAAGTGCATTTTTTTTTCAATATTGATTTTCTTGAAATATTTTGGCTCATCTGAAGCGTGCAGCTTTAAATAGACATGAATTTATAGTAAAATAATATTATTACATGCTGTCTTTCGAATCTTAGGACCTTACTATATCACATATTATTAACAATAAATGTATAGGGTTAACGTTGCAATAAAGTTCATAACTCCTCATGAATCGACCATTTTACTTATTTTTTTCTGTTTATGATATGCTTACAGTATGTCCCGGCAGCCACGGCAGCTCCGTTTACTCAAAATGTATTGCGCTGTTGGATTTTGGTCACTTATGTCTTCATATCCATGTTTTGCTAGTTAGTACCAAGGTTTAGCACAGTTTAAAAAGATATCTCCGACGAGCCGTTCCAGCCAAGAAATCGCCCTCATAGGCGCAGATGTTCTGTTTGACTTGTTATCATTTGTCTTGTTTACAGTTTTACAAAATGATAGAAAGGAAAAAAACAACACTTCATCTTCAAGATGTACTTTTATCTAATTTATTATCTATAGCTCGAGTAACTCGTCTTACTTTTTTTATGGACTTGCAAATATCAAAATCAATTGTAATATTGTTTCCATTACTTACAAAATACTGCTTAAGCCGGTGCCGGGGGGGGGGGGTGAAATGCACGATGTTGCATTTTACGTGAGCGACTTTATCAATGCATTTTAAGTTTCCATTGCAGTGAAAGTAAAAAAAACTTTACAAGACTCGCTCGGTAAAGAAAAAGTTTATGATATGATAAATATCAAGAAAACAGACAGTGTAAAGGAATATCTTAGGAACATATGAGACGTTATTAAAACAAACAGGAAGTAAACCAAAGTTATACGAATGTATACTAAAAACAGACAGAAACTAACAATTTTGTAACAGAAACAAAGATATCACGAACATGTAAACGAAAATATTTCACAATACTGCATATCTATGGCCGAGTGTCCAAATATAGAAATCTCGGGAGAGTGTGTCATGATTTCCGAGTTTTGCCTTACTTTTTCTGTCGTGATTGACTCGTTGGAAATATCCCACAAGATAAACTGAGATTGTTGGCAAAATAAACACAAAAATGATATGATTGAGAATTAGACGTCATTACTCTGACAAGAATTATCCATTCAGTGATAATTAAAGAGATTAAAATCAGTGAAATCATGCTGAAAGCGGAGGATTTAGTATTGTAGAGGAATATAGTGCAAACGGGAAATCTATTCACAGCTTATTGTCATTTTTTTCAATGGAATAAACGGAATAGTGTACTAGTTTAAAAAAGTTACACGGGAGATACAAGGAACAAACACAAATGAAAAGAATGGCATGTGTGCCGGGTGCTGGAGTGCCTGTTGGTAATATAGACCCATACCTTGTTCAAAACATGACGGCTCTTTCGATGCCGAAGGACATTCCAAAGTGGGAAATAGGATTAAAAGTGAGTTTTTATATAATAGCATTTCTAATGGATATCGTTGGCAACAGTCTGGTGATTTTGATCGTTTTCATAAATAAACGTATGCGAACTACCACTAATTTTTTACTTTTAAATTTGGCTGTAAGTGATATTATGGTCGGATGTTGTTGCATGTGGGTGCACGCCGGAAACAGTATAACTAAAGAATGGCCTTTTGGACCGTATGTCTGCAAAGTTAACACTTTTATGCAAGGTAAATATAACCCATTTGGAGTAATTTTGATATTAAGAACAAATATGACATTATATAATTATGTTTTATAAAGGTAGACGTAGTTGTGAAAAGAAGAAGAGGCACTACCACCAATTTCATTGATACTTAATTGGTACAATGGTTTTAGATAATAGTAAGCGTGTTTTTAATCATAATCAGAAATTAAACTGCTATGAGTATTTGAACAATTCCTTACTTATTTGATAGGTCATTCATGAAGAAAGATAAGCGTAATTACTTTAGTATCATGGTTTCCAATACTACTGTAGTGATCTGTGTAGAAAGAAAATGAAATACTCTTCGTATGATTGTGTCAAATGTCAAATAACGGAGAGAGAGTTTTTTTGTTTGTTTTTGTTTTTTTAAGTTTTTTAAGCTTCCTACTCAATTCCGTATAATTATTTTATATACTTTATTATGTAAATGAAAACATTACATACAAATATTGTGTAAACTTAATGTACGTGTCAAACGTAATAAGTTCTTTCTATAAATACATTATATTGTCAGCAACATGAAAAGTCTAAATATGCCTGTAATGTTTCTTATATGAAGTCCTATTCAATTAAAATCTACCTACCGTATTTTGTATTTTCCTTAAAGTTAAAATACCGTATTTTGCTCAAAGTTAAAATACCGTTTTTTGCTCAAAGTTAAAATAGTTATGATATTTTACCAATTTTGAAGAAGTTGTCAATGCTACTTTGGTAATGAGCTTTTTTTTCTTTTCTTAACCCCGAAAGAAAGTTTTTCATGGTTTCTGATTTGGTACACTTTGCGCGTTGCGTTGTCGATAGCGACAACAAAACCTTTATCGTTATCGCCTCATCGTCATGTCGCTAGCGAAAAGCGCCGAACGGCGCGATGTCGCACTGTCGTCTTGTCGTCCTGTCGCAAGTGAAGCCAAACGGCGCGTTGTCATGCGGCGCGTTGTCGCGATGTCGCCTTGTCGCTTGGCTTGTATATATGAAGAATAGCCAATCCTTCGATTTGAGCTGAGCGATAATTTGACATCGCGACAACGCGCCGTTTGGTGTGCTTTGTTAGCGACATGACGAAGACAGTGCGACAACGTGCCGTTTGGCGCTTTGTCGTGCTGTCGCCATAAGCGTTCCAAATCAGCCATTTCACATTTAAAGTACCTAATGACAATGCGTTGAACCATGTAGCACGCTGTACTTAATGGTTTTTCGTCCAAGAGTAAGTTGAGCTAATACCTGTTTCATGTTTATGGATTTATGATAGATAGCAGATAGATGTTGGCCACACTTTCGAAACGAATTAATTGTTATTTTCAAAGACCTCGATAAGAACTAAAATCTACTGTCAATATATGATAAACTTTTGACCTCGAACAAACCCAGAAAATTTCGGTCGACGTAAATGTATTGAACAGATATTTCTTTAAGGTCAAACGTTTGTAGATTGTCTGATAAGAGCATATTAAAGTTAAGTGTGTAAACTTCATTTTTTTTTAATTTTTGATTAAAGTTCACGCTTATCTACAAGGAAAATAATGCGAAACAAACTTTATCCCAGACATCATATACGGCCGGTGTACTCAATATAACAGATCAAAATTAATGTGTTCTAAGTTTTGCCGGGTTATTTTCATTAAAAAAACACACACAATTCAAATTAAGTTTTTATGCAAGACCATTTTACACGTCAAAATTTAGTTATAATGTAGTCATTTTTAGCAATTATTCAGTGACACAATGTATATTTTTGATGAAAATTAACGGTTCTGTTTATATTTCGTAAGATTTACTGTTTGTTGTTGTTGTTTTTATATAGAAATTTCAAAAATTGAACAATTTTTTTTATATTCCATAAAATCAACAGTTTTGTTTTTGTTTCATAAATTGAATTTTTTGTTTATATTTCATCAAATTTACTGTTATGTTGGCACTTCATTCAAATAGCTGTTGTTTATTGTTTTTAATACATTATTTTCTTCTTCTTTTTTTTTCAAAGTAAAATGTACACTTGTCGGTCACTGGTTAATATATGGCTTTAAAGTTTTCATATATTTTTTTTATTTTCGCAATAAAAAAATAAAATAACCTTTTGGATGATTCATTGACATATTTTAACTAACTGTAGTTACACAAATTATACATTTTGGTGGCATTTCACAACAAAAGATTTTCTAGCATTCAATACTATTACATGGTACATCAAATTGGAGATACATTTTCGCCTAATATACAATTGTCAAATAACTTTCTTGCACGTACCTATAATTATAGAAATATGTTTCACTTTAAATCATATAAAATGTAACAATTTATTTTCTGATAATGTCTAAGCCAATTACCAAAAATTTTGGCTTTTTGTTAATGCAAATTGTTAAACTAGAATTTCGTGTATAATGGTAAAGTTATATTTTATAAGTATGACTTTGATTTACAGTGCTTGCTGTGACTTCAAGCGTGCTAACACTGACAGCTATATCCGTTGAACGTTTTGTAGCTATCCTCTTTCCACTCAAACGTCGTTTGACACCTTTGTTTGCTTTCATCATTATCGTCACCAACTGGGTCCTCTCTGTTGCCATAGCATCTCCTCATCTGGTAGTACGTAAACAGTTCGAGTATTTCTGGGCAGACAGGCACGAAATATGGTGTGAAGAAGTGTGGCCACAAGTGTACACAAATGACTGCAAAATGGATATGCCCGGGAAAACAATTTATTATACAATACTCTCCGTGGTTATGTTTTTCATTCCAATAGTTGTAATGCTTTTCGCGTATACGCTAATATTAGTAAAGCTCCTGATTCGGAAGAGGCCGGGAACTGTTATCACTGTTACAAAACAGGCCCAAGACAGGTCTAGGAAAAAGGTGAGTCACTTTGGTTAATTCGTATAACATCATGTCAAATTATTTACATGGCAATTTTTAAGCCAAACAGTAATTTCATACCAAGAACATAAAGAATAATGATAATGTTCTACAAATTGCCGTATTTACATTTACTGTATGTAATTTAGTTACCAATTCAGAAAAAAAAAACCACTAAAAACATAAAGATTTTAGCAAATTTGAAAATTAAAGAGAGCGTCACAAACATTGCCGTGCCAATAACTGTGCCAATAAACTGAACACAAGACATTTTGAAAATAAGTGCTTATAAGATTCTGCATCAACTTAGAGTTTTATCTGAGTTTTATCATACTTAATGAGACGAGCAAGTTGCTTACAACAAAATTTCAATATCTGTGACATTTTTTGTAACAAAAATTGTTTGCTGATGGCCCATTATGCCTCAGAAATTTTGTTTTTTTTATTTCCCAAAAGCTTTTTTAATTTTGGTGTACTTGTATAGTATCCAAAAAGTTACTCATTTGCCAATTACCTGAACCATCTTTTTCATCTGTTGCTTTTTGACAGTAAGTACAGTTATAGTGAATAAGTATTTTGTATAGAAGTCAAAATACTAATTTGATTACATTTTGCTACTTTTATGACAATTAATTTCACATTAATCGATACTTTCCTCAGGTACCAAGCATCTAACATGCTCTAAATCCATTATCTTAACATTATAAAATTCACGTGAACCCTTTCTAAAGAAGCAAAAATGTTTTTGTTTCTGATGCATTTTGTGCCTTTTATTGAAAAACTTTATAATATGCTCTGAAATGCTGTCTGGTAGCCTCATATTAGTTTCCATAACTACTCATATAACTTTATTACCGAAATTTGTGATTTTTAACTTTGTTAAAACGTTATTTGTAAAACAATATATTTCGCTATCGGTATAGGGTTTGTAAGCGAACAGCATGGATCCTGATCAGACTGCGCGGATGCGCAGGCTGGTCTGGATCCATGCTGGTCGCAAACCCATTATGTTGGTTTTGTCGTGACACGGCTCAAATTATATTTGCCATTAATGTTATTCCTACACTTCCATTGTTTGCAGGTTATACGTATGTTGGTTGCTGTTCTGGCGGTGTTTATTATATGTTGGACACCACAGCAAAGCTTTCTTTTATGGGATATTTACCGTGACAAAAGTGAAAAAGTATGTAAAACAATATAGCTTTTTATGCAATTAAAATTGATTGACGTATCGCAAAAAGTGATACTTTTTTGAAGTGTGTGCTTGTAATAAAATATTATTTGCATATAAATGTGAGTTATTTAAGCCTCAAAATGTTAATACGAGGGTTGTTCAAAAAGTAATAGGACTAAGAGTCTTATGTCTCCATATTCCATTAGATTTTAAATATTTTCAAATCCACGGCAATAGTTAATTGTTTTCTACAACTTCAGTATAAGTTTATTGAATTATTGCACTAAACGCGTGTTCCCTGTGATATTAAATAACCATGGTAACACGAACCCGGCGCAGCGCATCAAAAATATGTTGACGCTAATCTGTACTTTCAGTTTATTCATAATATGTTGTCTTTTCCCCTCTAATATTTCACCAACACATTTTATCATATTAAAGTGTCATGTTGTCCACATTTGACGTCATTCAGACCAGAAATCGCTAAACTATAACGTTTTGAACAGCAGTGATAATAGAGTTAAATGTAGAAAAATGACGTTCGTTGAAAAACTTAAAATGTGTACGATCATTAAATTTTGCCAACAGATAGGCTTCAGCTACGTAAGGAAAGATTAAATTTTCACAGAACAATAATTAGGCAATTAAGACACTCAATTTCAGCTGGGGAAGCAGTTCAAAGACGGTGAATATGGGATCACAGACACGAAAGGGCTAGGGAGAAAGCGGAAAATTGACGGACGTTAGAGACGTTAATTGCAATAGCGCTACAAAAGTATCGGCGATATACAGTCCGCGAACTGTCCGGCATGTATGATGTTTGCATCGGGTCTACTGTTTCAGTTCTAAGAAAATTATTGAATAGGGGAAATTTGTTTTAAACACTATTTTATTTTATAAGATATTTATGTGTGTGTGTTATCATTGAATAAATTTGATAATGATACGCGGTAATTATTGGTATTGAATAAATTTGATAATGATACGCGGTAATTATTGGTATCAAGTTTTTCTCGATTTCGTTAAATAAATGATAGCCTGTGCTCAGAAGAAGAGAATATTTTTCAATTAATAAGCATTTTTAATTTACTGTAAATAATCATATTGTTTTTAGAATGTAAGATGGCATGTGTAAATAAATAATATAAATCACTTTGTCATTTACATTATATGTCCATGCCCGTTTAGCTTCCAGAATACTCAAAATCACGAGATAAAACCGAAAGTTGCCGGCCACCGGGCATGTTTCGAATAAAGAAAAGAAAATGTGATTGCTTTTTTTCGCTACATCACCACAGATGAGTTCTGGTTATAGTTACATGATTCAAGCACCTAGAACATTGTGGAGAATAATTTCAGAAAGAATGACGCTGTTTACCTTTTGAATTTATTTTGAGACGTCATGAACGTCATTTATTTAACTATTAGCGTGCGCCGGGTCGCGTACCCCTTGTCATTTATAAGTTGTACAGAATTGTTGTTTGTAAACATATTGTATTGATTTTTTCACTGTATATAGAGGACAAGTTCCGATATGCGATTTTTGTAAACTCGTGTACGTAGATGAAAAAATGTGAACAGTAGAGCTGCAGTCCTATTACTTTTTGAACAACCCTCGTATATAATTTTTCTCTTTAAATAATTTTTTGAAGCCCCGTTACAGTTTCCAAAATGTTACATATTGATAAATTTGAGCCATCATTTGCTTCCCTTGCGTTTTTGACAATTACTACAGTTTTGAAGCACCGTTTCAGTTTCTAAAATGTTACTCATCGACTCTAAATTTAAGACATATTTTGCTTCCTTTGCGTTTTTGACAATCAGTATAACAAATAGAGCGATTAAGTCTGAAAGTCGAAATATCAAGTGATTTGTTAACAGTCTAAAATATTCTAAATCCTTGATTACAACATTATAAAACACATGTTTACGTTTTCTACAGAAAGAAAACAATTCTGAGGCTTGCTGTGCTTTTAACAAAAACAACAACAAAAACTATTACAAAATGTATCTAATGCTATTATATGTAAAGGTATATATTTCATTTATTTTATAGTGTTCATAATGCCGTTTTTCTGCTTTTGCAGCTCCAAGAGTATGTCCTTAGAACAAAATATGCTGCAGTATATATTGCATACTTTAACAGTGCTATAAATCCCATATTGTATGGTGGTTTCAATGAAAACTTCAGAAAGGGTTTCAATGATGCGTTTCATTGTATTTTGTGGAGGCGTAGAAATACTGTAGCCCCATGTAAGTTTCAAAATTGTTTATTTTATGGCTATTTAAATTGCTTGTTTTAATAAAATGTTGATGTCATTGTTATTTCAATTGTGTTTTAATTAAATGATGGTGCCATGGGCATTTTAATTGTGTGTTTAATTAAATGATGGTGCCATGGGCATTTTAATTGCGTGTTTAATTAAATGTTGGTGCCATGGGCATTTTAATTGCGTGTTTAATTAAATGATGGTCCCATGGGCATTTTAATTGCGTGTTGAATTAAATGATGGTGCCATGGGCATTTTAATTGTGTGTTTAATTAAATGTTGATGCAATGGCTATTTTAATTGCGTGTTTTAGTTAAATGTTGGTGCAATGACTATTTTAATTGTGTTTTAGTTAAATATTGGTGCAATGACTATTTTAATTGTGTTTAATTGAATGTTGGTGCCATAGGCATTTTAATTGCGTGTTTTAATTGAATGTTGGTGCCATGGCTATTTTAATTGCGTGTTTTAATTAAATATCGGTGCCATGGCTATTTTAATTGTGTGTTTAATTAAATGTTGATGCAATGGATGTTTTAATTGCCTGTTTTTATTTAAAGGTTGGCGCCATGGCTATTTATATTGTTTTTAAGTAAAATGTTGGTGTTATGGCTATTTAATTGTGTGTTTTAATTAAATGTTGGTGCCATGCCATGGCATTTTAATTGTGTGTTTTTATTAAATGTTGGTACCATGTCCATTTTAATTGCGTGTTTTTATAAATTGTTGGTGCCATGGCTATTTTAATTGTTTTTTAATAAAATGTTGGTGTCATGGCCGTTGAATTGTGCGTTTTAATTAAATATCGGTGCTATAGTTTCATGCAACTGAGCCTTTTTCAGAAATTGTTGAATCGTCCCAGAAACTGAATGTTATGCTCTTCATACTTTCAATATGTCTATTTTTATGTTTTAAAATACGATTTTGCATTGTTATTTTTGATTCTTTATTGTCCTAATTAAATAATGAGTTGTTTATTTATCTTTATTATTATTAAACATTACTATGCCAAAGACTGCAATTTAAATTAAAAAAATATCGTTTGTTCTTGTATGGTTTCAGTTATATACACAAACTTTAATTGAGCCGCGTCACGACAAAACCAACATAATGGGTTTGCGACCAGCATGGATCCAGACCAGCCTGCGCATCCGCGCAGTCTGATCAGGATCCATGCTGTTCGCTTACCAACTCTATTACAAGTGGAGAAACTGATAGCGACGGCATGGATCCTGATCAGACTGCGCGGATGCGCAGGCTGGTCTGGATCCATGCTGGTCGCAAACGCACTATGTTGGTTTTGTCGTGACGCGGCTCATTTAACTTTTTCATATCACTCTAGAAATATATAACACTGAGTAGATCAAACCAAATGTAAGATCATTTAGAAATAAAAACAACAACAACAACAACAGAAGTTAATAAATTGTAATACACAGATAATGTATCAATCATTTCAGTGTTGCCGGGCCAGGCGATCAATCAAGCAAACCAAGGTTCTGTTAACACAACACCTGTTGGAACGTCAGTTGTTTGAGCACAATGTGCTTGCAAAGATTCTTCATAACATTTAGATACATTTTTCTAATTTATCAGAACAGAAATTGTCAATGGTTATTACCAGCAAATCACATACAATATATGTTAACTTTTTTAATTCTTGATCATTATTAGATTGATTAACATAAATTCTTATTTTGAAATACTTGAAATTGTAAAATATGTATTTCAAATCATGTAAATCCAAATGAAATACAAGTTTTAATTTTCTTAAGGACTTTTAGTGAATAGTTATATATTTGTCAAATTAATTTGGACACTTTTGAGGACAAAGTTATTTATTAATCCTTATACTGATATTTTTTTTTAAATTTCTGCATAGGTAAAACGTAATAAAATTTCTAAATACCACAAAAACAAATTAAAGTCAATTTACCAATACAGAAAAATTGTTGTTTATTCGAGTTGACCAAACATAATTCAAAATGTTCATGCAATTTACTAGTACATTGTGTTTATTAATAAGACACTTTTATGGTACTGTATGAAAACAGATTCTATGATTCCATCGTACATAGGATTAAAGTTTGACTAATAGTGCTGTTAAAAAGTACTGATGTAGTTTGGGTTCTGTATTCTTTACATAGTCTTAAAGCTTGACAAAAAGTGCTGTTAAAAAGTACTGACGTAATTTGGGTTCTGTACTCTGCTTGAAAGGGCGGATGGATCCTCATATTAAGCCTAGAATATAATACACTGATACAATTTAGTTTGTGTTTAGGATAACAAATTACTGTGCATGGAACGTCGGAGAGTTTTATCATAATTATTTCATGTACATAGTTAGTAAAATTTCAAAATGTGTTTGCAAGTACAAATGCACTGTTTCAAGTGCAACTTTTTTTTCTTTGTAAATGGTTCCATTATAGATAATTTAATCTAGATGGAAGTACTTGTGCCATTAAGATAGGGATACAATATATATGAAAATTGAGGACTCTATATTCAGCTGAGAGTGACCCCTGAAATATGATAAGGGCAGTCGTATGTAGGTTTAGTCTAGTCATAAAAGACTTGACATATTTTCAAAACATGAGACTTACAAAATTTTACATAAACTGCAATGAAAGAATAAAGTGAACGAAACATAGCTTACACATTTTAGACACTCGGAAGAACAATATGAAGGTTGCGTTTTGATTTTTATGAAAAGATGAAAAATGAGTCTAATTCGTTCTTACCTGGGGAAGAATATTATGATTATGACTTTAATGGAACGTTTGATATTGATGAATATCTAAAAAAGGATAAAGAATCAGATTTTGATATTGGAATTAAATATGGACTGAACATTTTGTCGTTCATCGTCGCTTTCATTGGAAACCTTTGTATAATCATAGTTATACTAAAAACCAAAAGTTTGAGAACAAAATTCAACCTATATATTGTTAACTTGGCCATCGCAGATTTTTTAATGCCAACGATATGTATGTGGATATATATGGTAAACAGTTCTAGAGACCAATGGCTACTGGGCAGTTTTTTGTGTAAAATTCACACTTTCGTTCAAGGTAAGTAAATAAATAAACCACCATCAATTATACATGTATAACTTTTGTAAAGAGTGTAAAGTTATAAATTTGCGGATGACACGAAAATGCATGACGCTAGAAAACAAAAGTTACGTCGATATGAAATTTCGTAATTTTGTTCATAAACAAGATAATGTAAAAACAGTTACTGCATGTTATTTTGAATCTGCATTCATACTTCTTACTTTAAGCATCTAATGATTATAAACCAATTGATTGATTGAGGCAATTTGTTGACTATTTTATTCTACGTTTTATTGTTTCAGTAACAATTGTTTGCACGAGCGTATTCACATTAACAACTGTAACATTGGACAGATTTCTGGCGACAGTTTGCCCGTCGGCTGTATGGATCACTCAGAAATGCCAACCGCTCGCGATCGTGATAATATGGATTTCTGCCTTAAGCATTGCGGTTCCTTGGATAGTTTATCAGTTTTACGCCGAGTTTGATTGGATTGGTGGTCATGAAATTGTTTGCCAATCCAAATTTCCGTCAGAACAAGCACGGAAGAATTATTATGTGGCTTTTTTCACGATTGTTTTTATAGTTCCACTGTTTTTAATGTTTACTTTAATTATAATTACAATCGTTAAAGGCGATGCGGTGCCACGACATTCATCAACAGAAATTGAAACCTATCAGGAGACTCGCAGAAAGGTAATTTTTAGAAGCAATTCTAAAAAAAAAAGAAGAAGATGACGATAAAATGCTCATTTCTTTTTGATAATAGTTAGAATATTTGCCTATAATAAGTGGCTCTTTTTTAATAATTCAAACACAACTTTTCATTTAGTCTTAAACAATATTAATACAACAGTAGCTTTTATTTCGTCTTGACTTGATGCAATAAAATATTGCAGCATCTTCAAGCGGTTTTTTTTTATTTAATTTTTGGAAGTAAACTATTTAACTAGTATCTGAACATAAAAATGTAATCAATTTTGCTGTGTAATTGCTATTGCAGATGCACAAATGCTGTGTAACAATTTTGCTCAATTTTGATATTTCTATCTTGTATACTAAATATCAATGCATGCTAAAGATAAATGAATATACAAATTTATACATGTACTAAATTAAAAAATAATGATTTCTCCTTAAGTCGGTGCTAGGTGGTGTTGACGGTAGCTTGCAATAACCACTACTGCCCATGAATAGGTTAGTCTGCAAAATTTTCAGTTTTGCCGTTTTGGGTATTCTTTAAGGATTCCGTTTTTCTCTATTCTAAACTAATTACAAATGACTGAACAAAGTATAATTGCATATTGACATGATTTAACAGGCTGTTTATATGACCTTGACAGTGGTAATAGTATTCTGCGTGTGTTGGACTCCCCAGCAAAGTCTTCTGCTATGGGATGCCTGTAGAGACCACAGAGACAGATTCAAAGTAAAGTTATAATCACATGTATTCTGTATAAAAAATATCTAGTCGGTAAATGACATATCAGTTTTGATTGATTAGTCCCAGCCGGGTACTCACGTTCTGTTCTAGTAGCGTGCGCCATGATGCACCTGATCGTAGATAAAAAAAAACAAAACAAAAACAATCGAAAACATTTGACAAAGAGTTGTTGAGCATGCAAAAGTTTTTCGTATCTTTAATTTAACTTCTTATTTTTACGAAAACTTTCTTATGATGCCTCTGCTTTTACATTTGGTGTACTTTCTACTCGATAACACACTTTACTTGTGTGGCTTGCTTAAGAAAAATAGTTGAATCGTAAAATAACTTAACGTCCATACTAAAACGTATTCTTCAAATTTAGATTAAAGATTTAAAAAAGATGTAATAGTAGGTTGCTTTTTCGCGACTAGAACCATAAGACTTGTGTATAAAATTTTGGGCATTCAAATATTATTAATTCAAAACTTATAAAACTCGCGCATGTGCAAAAGTTACTTCCGTTGTTAGGGATAAATTTAGTTGTTAATTAAACCGTCTATATGAATGTATATTTACGCTATTCCAGAAGCAGCCAGACATCAAGAGTTTACACAACATTACATTGTATATGGCTTATTCCAGTAGTGCCATCAACCCTATAATATATTACCTATATAACAAGTGTTTCAGGCACGCTCTGTACACGCTCCTCAAGACGAGATGTAAGGGAGATCATTCCGACATGTCCATAGCACCAGGTATATAAATTAAACATTCTAATGTCCAATTTCTATGTGAGTATCTAATATATTAGTTTGTTTAAAATATTTATGAACAAATTTAATTTTGTGAAGTTTCATCTTCTTTTGACATTGTGAAAGAGATAATGTATGACCGAACGCAATGCTTTTTCTTTTCAATACACTGCGGACTAAACCTCCACATAGCGAGTGTCGAACATTTGAAGTGAAAATAAAGCATACCACCACTCCAATCAACTGTGTTTAATGAGTAAGTTATATGACACTGGAAATTCTAACGAGCTCTGTTGTATATATCTTCATATAAATTTATCCAAAGTAATATCTAAAAAGTGTTTTTGTAGTTGTTTTTTTTTCTTCTAGAAACAGTACCTGAGCCGATAGAGATGAATGTTACAGCAACAACAAATGTGGCAACAACAGTCAACAATAGAAAATTAAATGAGGGGTCGTCAACAAACGGGTTTACTACTGACTCGTCGCTCACAACGATGTCGCTATCAGACTAAATATTCGTGTTCAAAAACATTTTATCACATACCCTTGATACTTCTACGACTCATTTGCGTAATACAAACATATAGTGCGTGTTACCTTTACAGTACATTATACATGTAGGCGCGTCAATGAAAAATGATTCTTGTTCACTTTAAACAGTCTTTATATTGGGTATGTGATAACAAGAATATTATATTTGTGTAGGTTCATTACTGAATATATTTGACTCGTTGATGTCCTTCAGAAGCTCGCATAATACATTTTTATTCAACTCGTTCAATAAATTTAGTATTGCACTTGCACGCATTCTCTATAATGAGGACAAATTTAAAATAGTTACAGAAACGTAACATCAACTGAAACAAATGTGCGTATCCAAACTATAGAGTGATGCAATATTGTTTTCATGCAATAGAATAGTCTTTACTGGCACAAAACAAGTAGAAAGAAAACGTTGCTTTTGTGAGAGGCCAGTAGAATTTTGTAAATTGTCATGTTGGTGCTTTCTCTTTTTTTCATGTACATTTGTGTATAAATGTGCATGTAATCATAATTATTAATTTTTTGTCAATAAACTGAGTACATTTTTATATATTTTTTTCTTTTTGAAAAAAAAAAGTTTTAAATATCAATTGCTCAGTATCGGCAACTTATGATGTATATTTTGTTGTTTTTGTTATGACTTTCTTGCTTGCCTAACACATGTTTAGTCATTAGTTCACGAAGCCAACTTATGATCAAAGTGAATGTACTATTGAAAAGGGCGCACGATTTTTGAACCTTAAACATTTATCACCTATGTGTCATTCCTTAAATAATTATACATGTATTATGTAAGATAATAATTAAGATGTACTATTAAGGATTGCAGACCGTAATGGAAAATCTAAATTTAGAATCATTTGATTGGCTTCTTACTTTTCCCCTAATAACTATATTTTGAACCTAAAATATCTATCAGCTATGTTTCATTCCTTAAATAATTATACATTTATTATTTAAGATAATAATTAAGATGTTAAGATGATTGGCTTCTAACTCCCCCCACCCTGATAACTATATTTGAAGTCTGTGGACAAGAGGCTCGCTGAAGATGTAGGAGGTCTTGGATTCGAATCCGGTCCAAGCAACCAATAGTTTTTGCGATGTGAATATTTTTTCTTATGAAATTAGCCAAAGTATGCGAAGAAAACCATGGGCACTTAGTTTCAGGATAAAAACCCTTTTGAGAGTTTTGTAGAACTCAAATTTGATTGAATGTAATGATTTTAACGTAGATGTCTCGATTCTAAAAACGTCATTTTTCCGATGTTACTAAAACACGTTATATAATCGTTACATTCATTTATGGGGGGGGGGGGGGGGGAGTGTCGAAGAAACATAACAAGAGGTGTCAACAGGACAGCATGACTATTCTCTATCATCAGTACTTGATAGTAAAATAAGAGCCTGGATAATGTTAAAAATATCAGAAGTTTAGTTGAAAATACAAAAAAATGTACACGACATAGTTATGAGTCTTGGATATGACCAAAGAATTTTGTTCACAATGGCATCATTACATTCAAATTCTATGCCAGAGTTATGGATGACCATGAATTGTTGTTTAAATTAGCAGTTTTACCAAAGATTAATGTTACCAAAAACTTAAACTAAAATTTTCTAAATTCACAAAGAGACATAATTTTGTCAAAATCCACGTCAGTCATGGGTAGTGACCTCCAATTCTGATCCTTGACATGTAATAAGTTTCATGTGAATACCTTCAATAGTTTTGAAGATTGATGTTGCATGCAAAACTTTAACCCTGAATATTCTAAGTTCAAAAAGAACCATAATTCTGTCAAAGTCTAAGCTTGAGTTATGGGCCTTGGAAAGGGACCTCCAATTATGATCCAAAAGACTTCTATAAAGTTTCAATTGAATGCCTTCTTTAGTTTTGAAGATTGATGTTGCACACAAAACTTTATCTTAAATTTTCAAAGTTCAAAAAGGGCCATAATTCTGTCAAAATCCATGCTAGAGTTATGGACCTTGGATAGTAACCTCCTACAAGGCTCTCAAGACTATTTAATTACATACACATATCTTAAGTGGTTGATGAGATATGCTACATGCAAATTTAAACGAAAATGTTATGCCAATGCTGAGTATGTTAGCCCTACTATATTCCGAAAAACGAGCTAAAAATAAATAAACAACCGTCTTTCATTTCAATCATTTATTTTGACATTTGTATCAAAACTTATGTATAACAACAGGTTGAAATTATAACTGATTCTGCCACATAAACAACCAAATAGGTATGGCATATCTTCTTGTCAACAAATATTACAAGTCTTTATTTATGACTATTTTGTGGTCCATTCATATTGACGTTTACCTTTGCAATAAATATTCTTACATCAAATCTACCAGCATTTAAATAATCATATTTGAACTATTTTTTATTAAATAATACTTATTATCAATTTTATTCTGTTTAAATCTGACAAAAGTAAACTTTTATATACACTGATTCTGTTTCTAACTCATGGTACACCACTTAACAACTTTCTTGGGAGAAAATAAGGAAAAGCGTATAAAAATCTACACTACGAGATTTTCAATCAAAACAGGTAATAAGCCAATGAATATTGTCTGTCCATGCCATTGTCATTAAAGTTTACGCACACCCACTTCACAATCAAATAATGTTTAAATGCTATACAATGAATATAAATAAATCTCTGCTCTGGTTACATCTTCCGACTGTAAAATCTAGAACAGCTAGCTACCATATGCATCAAAGTGAGTCTATATCTGTACATGAAAAGCAGTGAAAAAACATTTAACAAACAAATAATGCCTCACAATCAATACCGTGTCCTAGTGACTTTAAAAATTTAAATCAATACAACAAATCAAACAAAGTTGGCACGGAATGACATGTGCTAGTACATATATAGGTTTCACAAATACTTTTAAAAATTTACTTTTTACAACTGCTGTTATATATTACAACAATAGAGCAGGTTTTTTTTTATATATAACTGAATCAAACAATTGCTAATATCATTACTCTAATCAAATACTGGAGCACTTTGAAGATTCAAACATCACAGCTTCAAAAAAATAGTGTTTTGAAACATAAATTTTTGTTTCATTTTATTTGTTTCATATCGGGAGGGTTTTTTTTATTTCCGTTTTTCTGCCATTCTGTTTAGAGCACTACCGGCCACAAACCACTCGATCTGGCCGGCATTTAATGTATGGTTCAGCTGTATTTTCTCGGAGGATCCATTCTCATGCTTTATCTCACAAGTTACAGGCTGAAATAGAAAGAAAACAATCCAAGTTCATAACAGTACATACCTTTATATATAACAAGTATTCTCAGTAAAATAACAATATAATTATGAAATTTTGATCATTTTGAACCCTTTAACTGCTAAATTTGTGTAATAAATTTTGCCCTGTTTTGAATTTGACACAGTCCATTGAAAAAAAAAAAAGATTCAATATCAAAATACAAAAGTTTTAGAGTGTTTTCAGGCTGCACAGATGTGCCTGCAGACTGGCCTGGCTCTATACTGGTGGCAAAGGCTATTCACTTTCAATTTCAGCACTTTAAGAGTTTAAGCATATAAAAAGTTTTTGTATTAACAGGATTATGCAGATGGATGAAATATTTTAACATGAAAAAGTTGACAGTGACATTATTTCCCGGGGGAAGTTTACCATGTATTAATAACCCAAGTTTTTGAACTATTCATTATGATCTTTATGGGTTTGACTTTTTAAAAATATTGAATTGAGCCAACGACTGTATTAAGCATGGTCAGATGTAATAGACATGTAGCAAGGTCTGCTATATGTATGATATTATCACTGTGGCCACATGGCTGAGTGGTTAACACGTCAGACTAGTAATCTTAGGATTGCTGGTTGTGTGGGTTCAAACCCTGTCAGGGGCAAGCCGTTGTTTCCGTCAGCAAGAAACTTTACACTCATTGCTTAGAACTGACTGGTTCCAGAAACAGATTTGAGCTTATAGATTCCATCACATTCAAACTAAAACAAGATATGTTTGTAAAACATGTATGCCCCCTATCGGCAGCCAATTAGTCATGTGATCAGGTTATTATGCATTAATCAGACATCTGACCCAGTGAACAAACAATTAACAAGATATGTTTGTAAAACATGTATGCCCCCTATCAGCAGCCAATTAGTCATGTGATAAGGTTATTATGACTTCTGACCCAGTGATCAAACAATTAATAAGGGTTATCAAGTATCTACTGGTCATGACCTTAACCTTTGACCCCTTGACCCAAAACTCAATAGGGGTCATCTGCTGGTCACGACCAATCATCATACAAAGTTTGAAGTTCCTAGGCCTCAGCGTTTTTAGTTAATTGATCGGAAACCGTTTTAACATACAAGGTCAATGTGACCTTGACCTTTGACCCCTAAATCAATAGGTCATCTGCTGGTCATGACCAATCACCATACCATGTTTGAAGTTCCTAGGCCAAAGGGTTCTTAAGTTATTGATTTGAAAGCATTTTTACCTACAAGGTCAAAGTGACCTTGCCCTTTGATCCCTTAACCCCAATATCAATAGGGGTCATCTACTGGTCATGACCAATAATCATACCAAGTTTGAAGTTCCTAGGCCTAAGGGTTCTTTAGTTATTGATCGGAAACCGTTTTTACCTAAGAGTCAATGTGACCTTGACCTTTGACCCTTGACCCAAGATCAATAGGGGTCATCTACTGATCATGACCAATCACCATATCAAGTTTGAAGTCCCTAGGCCTAAGGGTTCTTTCGTTATTGATCGGAAACGGTTTTTTACCTACAAAAGTCAATTTGACCTGGACCTTTGACCCCTTAACCCCAAAATCAATAGGGGTCATCTGCTGGTCATGACCAATCACCATACCAAGTTTGAAGTTCCTAGGCCTAAGGGTTCTTTTCGTTATTGATCGGAAATCGTTTTTACCTACAAGGTCAATGTGACCTTGACCTTGAACCCTTAACCCCAAAATCAATAGGGGTCATCTGCTGGTCATGACCAATCACCATACCAAGTTTGAAGTTCCTAGGCCTAAGGGTTCTTTTGTTATTGATCAGAAACCGTTTTTACCCAAGAGGTCAATGTGACCTTGACCTTTGACCCCTTGACCCTAAAATCAATAGGGGTCATCTACTGATCATGACCAATCACCATACCAAGTTTGAAGTTCCTAGGCCTTAAAGTTCTTTAGTTATTGATCGGAAACTGTTATTGCTTACAAGGTCAATGTGACCTTGACCTTTGACCCCAAAATCAATAGGGGTCATCTACTGATCATGACCAATCACCATACCAAGTTTGAAGTTCCTAGGCCTTAAAGTTCTTTAGTTATTGATCGGAAAACCGTTTTGCTTACAAGGTCAATGTGACCTTGACCTTTTGACCCCTTGACCCCAAAATCAATAGGGATCATCTACTGATCATGACCAATCACCATATATCAAGTTTGAAGTTCCTAGGCCTTAAGGTTCTTTAGTTATTGATCGGAAACCGTTTTTACCTAAGAGGTCA